CTCTCTCTCTCTCTCTCTCTCTCTCTCTCTCTCTCTCTCTCTCTCTCTCTCTTTCTCTCTCTCTCTGTACCACTGGCTCATCACAGGGACTCAAACAGCAGAAAATGGAGGATAATAACACTTGACAGCCATTTGACCACTGCTGAATAATGAACTTCTACCTGCACCTATTCCTACCATTACTAGCCACTATAATCGACAATACCTAACACATAACATAATAGAAACCATGATTAGAATTAGACACCAGCAAATCCTATATCATACCACGTAAAATTAAAGAAAGAAAACAAGAAGTGTGCAAATTTTGCAAATCTTCTAAAAACATTTTCGTTGCTTATTAGAACGACTCCTCATAATAGTTTATAAACTAACCTGAGCATTTTCATCAGCATTATCGCCAAACAAAGTTGTTCAAAATAAACAACCAGCTACCGGGGCTTTGTATCCAAGACAGCAGGATTTGAAAAAGGAGATCCCGTCGTTAATAACAAATACCAAATATTGACAACAAAATCCACCTTTTCGAGCCAAACAATGTTAAATTTGATGAAGTAAGTATCCAGCCCCTTTATTTTAATTTATTGTATATTTCGCACAAGTTACTTGAGCATTCATTTTAGATGAAGCTTGCTCAGATACAGTGACCGCAGAAGCGTACTTAACCCCCTCCCCCAAATGTGACTTCTTAGAAACTGATGTTATAACACTACAAAAATAATCTTGCTTTTGGAAAACTTTTTAGCACCATCACGCCCCCCAACCCGCAACATGCTCCGTGGTTCCTGCTCTTATATACGGTTGAAGTCGAACAAGTAAACACGGACGGACGTATAAACGCAAACCAAATTCGCGTTTTTGATGACCTATCACAATATAATAGACATCGCATTCCCGATCTCGAATTCGATCCCAATCTCGAATTTTATCCTGATCTCGAATTTGATCCCGATTTCGAATTCGATCCCGATATCGTGGATAAGACCTAGTCGGCTGCAGGGTCGAATTTGAAACATGTTCCAAACTTGTGTGTTTTGTGAAATCTGTTCACGTAAAAACAGGTTTCCGGCGAGGCCGTGCGTAAAAATATTGATCCAATAAAGGTTAGACTTATAGTTGAGATAAATTTTTTGTGAAAAAAGTTGATTAAAAATTTTAGCTGCCGTTTTGGTTTTCATACAAAATTGTCTCTGATAACGATGTCAAGGCAATGATAAAATTCTAAACATAACGTGCGAAACTTCCTTCTTTGGAAAATCCGTTCAAAAAAATTGAAACCTTTAGTTGCTGACTTTTTGAAATTTATGTTTTGCCGAAACATAAGAAAAGGCACAAAATTTGTTTGCTTACTCTGTCGAAGCATTTTATACATTATCTATACTGCAAATGTGGAAAAACGAATACGACCAGCAGTACCTTAGGCGCCAACTACCTGGAGGCTTGGCTGCATGGGGCTCTAGAATTTCTAGCGAAGCTACAGTCCCTTGTGACACAGCTTTGAGGAAAACAATTATTACGGACATCAAAATAGCAACACGATTTCTGCATTCAAGAAACTGCAGATAAAAAGAACACTTTTGACAATCAACATTCTTTATCAAAGAAAATATTTTGATACCATTTTGAAAAAAAGTATTAAATGCACATTTTCCTTTATATAAGAGAATAAGATCATCAACTTTTTCAGAAGGAAGCAATAGATTGCTTAAGAAATGACAGTACTTTTTGCCAGGCAATGGCTGACTGAAAACAAACAAGGATTCAAAAAATGAAAAACAATACAGGTATTACTCTCAAGTGGTCAGATGCCAATTTTCTAGACACCTTATAGCAAAATTACAATGAAAATGCTATTCAAATTCATTACTGTGTGATATGTCCTTGCCATAGAGGTTCTTGTTATTTCAAGGGTCATCTAATTTTTCGAACAGAACAGAATGGCTTTTGCCATTCCTGTGTGTTGCTTTCTAGACCAGTTCTACATTATTACATTCTATTTGTCCATAAAGGTCAAAATGTAAATCATGATTATAAATATGGATGACCTGCTTATTTCACAAAAAAAACATTTTCATACAGGCAGCGAATATTGGGAATGAACAGGAGTGACTTATTATTCCGCTGCTAGTTGAAAGTTTCTTAAAAGTCAAAAATTTACAGACAAGTAAGAGATTATGTCAAATTCAATAACTATGAGATGCAGGCTACTTAGCATCACATTTTGATACTCTTATATTTGTTATTAGAAGGACCTATTTAGACAAGTCTTATGTACCTAAAAAAGAACAACCTATTGAAAATCCAATGTGATTTAGTGACATTTTTTCATAAAACAATACTCAGATTTGAGAGAAAGTGAGAGAAACATTATTTCATGAATTGTAAAGACCATACAGCTCCCTTGCTTTTCATTGTTCTGCTTATTTACCAAGCATCTAAATTCCCCCCTGGAGGAATCTGACAATTCTATGCACTGCACTAAAGATGTTCTCTCATGGGTCAAAGGCTTAACAATGTCATGCAAAGAATGCACTAAAATAATACCATGAACTACCCCTTGCAATAATAGGCTTTTGTCTATCCCAAAGTGTGTGAGAATGGTTTAGAAACATAATTTCTGCAATCCAATGTTTAAATGTGACATATTTAAATATGAGAATGGTTTAGAAACATAATTTCTGCAATCCAATGTGTAAATGTGATATATGATACCCAATGTATATGGAAAATACATATGCATGCACCAAATGGTCTCAAGATCTCAGTAGAAGATGTGAACAATTTATGTGAAGATGTGAACACAGGCACGTGGCACTGATTGGTCAACTATACCGGTTTTGTGCTTGCATTTTTCTGATTGGCCTATTTCGATCCACAGCTGGGTATGTATTTTTCATTATGTTCTTTCGGACCCTTATTCTGATGTTTTATGCTCTGAGGAGTGTCAGACAAAAAGCTTTTAGCCGATATGTTGTAAAATGTTTGCTTTTTTCAAATCCATTTACAGTAGAAAATAAAAAAATTTGCACTATCAGAGAGCTATATGTATTTCCGACAATTGCTTACAACAGTATAAGATCATATAGGAGGAGTTAAGTAGAAAAAATAAATTTGCGAGGGCTTTTTTCATCTGCACAGTTTTTTAAACCAACATTCTTATTCAATCCGTGCAGTTTAGCTTCCCAATGTTTGTAAACAGCTAAATATCAGGGTGTTAGTAAATAAAGAGAAAGAGGTTTTTCAAAACGTCTTGTGTTTAACAAATGACATTATAAATAGGAGATTTCTGTTTCCTAATATAGCACATGTTAACAAACTATTGTATTATCTGCTAAAACTTTCAATAGAATAGGAAATGTGTTTGCACGAAAGGAATAACATATGGCGTGGTTAATCCTATGAATAATTAAATTGAGAAACGTTACGCCATGCTGTCAAATACAATCTCTTTACAAGTCATGACATATAAACTAGGCACTCCCAAAAAGCCACATTTGACTGGCAAAACCTAACAAAACTTTGCTATATTCCAAAAAAGTTATGTTTCTCGTTTGTCTCATTTTAAGTTTTTAATACAACATGTAAAGGTAGTAATACACACAAAAATGCTTTTTAAAGGTGAATAGTGTTTAAAGAATTGGCAAGGTAATTTATATTTAAATACTCAAATATAAAAAATTGGCAACAGTTTTGCGAGTGCACCACAGATCTAACTGTTTGCCGCTTAGCCTAGCCTATGTGTTGCTATGCACTCACATGCACTGTTCCCCATAAATCACACAAAAAGGTGGCAAACATTTTAAACAACCTCAAAACTCTTCAAAATATTTTGGGCTCAATATTTAATAAAAAACATTTTTGTTTATAGACAAGCTTTAAACTTCAGTGGAAAATAAACAAGCGGTATTTGCAAATACTTCTCCTCTCACTATCTCTGACATTTGTTCAAAATATGGTTTCTCGACAACTGAGCCGAGTTTTCCGATGTTGATCTCTGGTAAGTGACAGTTAAAGAAGAAAATAAAGATGTCATTATTCAATATTTAAAGCACACTTACTTCATATTCTCTTTTGCCTCCTCGACATCTTTAAAAGTCACTAGACAAAAACATTTGCTTGAAAAAGTTGGATTATAAAGCACGACTTCAAAGTCACCGCCACTATGAATTTTGTTTTCAAATAAGAATAACAAATATTTTCCTTCGTAAGGGACTTGCTGATCCAAGAATTTAGTAAAGTCATAATTTAATGGATTTTCATCTGTCACTCCTTCTGCACTTGAACCAATCCCCATCTCGAAAAGCCTCCTTGTAAATTAAACTGTCTACTTTCGTTTCTGTACAAGTTAGGCCACCTCCTCCAAAATGAAAACCTCTATCCTGGGTGGCCTCTTTTGCGTTCCCGGTTGAGTAAAATACGAATCAAACTGAAAATACTAATTTCTATGGAAGATACCAAACAAATTTGCAAAAAAATAGTAAATTAGGAATATACACCAACAGCAAAAGATTCTAATGTTCTATCTATACAAGATATTGCATCATAGCTAATCTAGCCTTTGCTATAGACCCCTAACTTGAGGTCAGGGTCTGGAACATTTGCCAAGCTTCTCAAGTTTGGAAAATATTATTTTTAACCTTCTCATAGGGGGTTTTGTACAATGAGTGTATTTCTACCGGATTTTCTCTCGAATGTTAAAAATCACAACAATCGATTTGAGAAAGAAAGATTTTGATCTCAACAAGTCAACAAGTCAATCTTAGCAATCATGTTGCACTTCAAAGTTTATTCTACATTTGTGATAACCTATAGGAACGCTGATTGACGAAGTTCCTATATTTAATTTTGGTTTTGTTGTTGCGAATGCTGTCGTTTTTATGTCTGATTTAACGTGCAGAAAACACGGAGCCAGCAAGAGACGATATTGCGTGACCGTTGCGTCTTGATGAATTTACTGACTGACTAATTACAATTTAGGGCGTATACACATATAACAAGGGGACGCTACAAATGTGTTGTTTATTACGTTACGTGGATACGAAGACAATGGAAAGTGTTAATGACAGAGACACAATGGAGGACATGATTATGTTTAGACAATGGTCACTACAAACCTATTGTTTTTTGTTACAATCTGCTAGAGTAGAAATTGCACCCATCACTCTGCAAAACTGGACATTTATAAAGTTTTAACAGCAAATTAAGTTATTAGAAAAAAGGATGTGAGACATTCCTGGGAAACCAGGCCCTAAGACCCTAGGACTCCTTGACCCTAAGTATGAGGGATGCCACTTCTTCCGCACAGCCTGGCTCAACTGCTAGGGCTGTCATTATGGCGTTCTTATCACTGCTCTGCTTGAATGGTGTACTATGTGAAGTGACATGTTCGCCCTTTAATTCTAGGGGGCTTTTCCTGCAAGTATTGACTTTTTTCCCAACAAACTTAAGCTATACAGAACTATGTTCAGTCTTGGGTGCACCCACGGCCATTACGGCTACTGACCAGTGGTGGATTAAAGGGGGGGGGGTAATTAGGTGGATTTAAGCAAGTATGGCACCCCTTTTTGGAAATTGTTTGCCGTTTTCGAAGAATGAGAAAAACTTTCTGAGACTTATAGGTTAATTTGCTTCAAGGATTACCTCAATGTAGAGAAAAATTATTTCGAAAACTTTCTTACAAAATTTCCTTAAAAAATTTCTGTCAGTAGTTAGGATCTAAAATTTTTGCATACAGCGCAAGCTCGTCACCAATTTCTGATAATTTTTCAGCGCCCCCACTACCAAATGCCCCTCCTTTGAATTAACTTTGGATCCGCCCTTGTTACTGACAAGATGATGATGACTTAAGCATCATTTGTGGTTACCTTGGCGCAGTTGATGTGTAATTTCTATTTCAGACAGTGAAATGGATTTTATCTTCCTTTTTAAAACCAGTTTGCATGCTTTTATCACAGAAGGTCATAAACGAGGCTTTGGTCGAGGGCATAGCTTTTAAAACAGTATCTTTGGCAATAACTATGGTAATGTTGACTTGTGAGATAAGCTGCAAAAATATAATAAAGAAGTTCAATTGCAATTAATTTTAGGGGTGTCTTCTTTATATCTATTAAAAAAATTTGTGACATCAATTTGGCCAAACACTGCTTTATAATAACCAGAGGCGGCCAAAAAAGAAGGGCAGGCTCTATTTAAACTAGACTGAACCTCTTCCTTTTGAACATAAAAGTAGCTCAAAGACTTAAACGCAAAAGCCAAATTTACATAGTTTTAATAATTTTTGAACACTATATCAGATTCTTAGTTCTGCTATTAAAATCAGTGTCTTCATAACATATTGGCATCATAGTTGCAATTTATGATGTACATTGTAGAAAAATTGTTTCTGCTTTTCTTTTACCTTCATACAAAGAGCGACTTTATATCAGAACGCCGATGTTTTATATTTTCCCTTGAATTCTCACAAATAGTTTACATTTATTAATCATTATCTCGAAAATTCAAAATGTTCTTTTCTAATTTCAAACTTAAATCTTGGATGCTTCATCATTACACAAACTCAGTTCATTGCATTTTCGATTTATCACTGAACAAATTGGTAATCGCCTCATCTTAAATTAATCCTTCGTAGAAATGCTTCGTTTATTCTATTTAGCTTGCGATTAATTTAAGAATTTTTGAAAATTTGTTGAATCTCACAGTTGCCGTTATTTTTTTTAAAGCTAGCTTAACCTGAAATCTCTTGGTTTTTCACGTTGAAGCTTTGAGAATTTAGGCCCTGTGGCACGGGACAGTTTCAAGCTTCATCAGTGCCCATACGATCGTATTTATATTCTCGTAGCCTCTTCCAAGACTTCTAAAAGAAACTTGATTAACTTAGAGGCTCTTGCACAACCGGCACGCTTTGCGATTATAACAAAAAACTGGCCTTATATCGTACTGCATGAAAATAAATAACACAGTCAGCTTCTCAAGATAACTGCCGCTAAGCATGCCGGTTGCGCAAGAGCCTTTAGCGAAATAAGAGAGTTAAATCTGAAATCTGAAAAATCTGAAAAAGTATCTAGAAATCTGAGATGCGACGAGGCAATTGTAGCCACGCCCTTCTTTTATTTGCTCTGACGTGGCTAAAGCCTCCAAAGATTTGCATTGCCATACTTGAATCATTTAATATCTTGCTATTCACAAAGTAAAATGTAAAAATTTAAAAACAGTGACCACACTTTCATTTGGGTATCTGGTTTTGCATATTAATTCTTCTGAGTTTTACATTTACAGCTTAAAATTGCAAGAAATCTACCAATATAAGAGCAAAACGTATGGGTTTGTTGTTTATTCTCTTGAAACGAGATTTTATATATGATTTATGCTACTTATGATACAAACTGACTTGTTGCTGGCTTTACAAATGCAACAGGGGAGAAAATGGTTGCCTCGATGCGGTAGGCATACTGAGATATATTAACGAAAAGCGAATGGGTGCCGACATATAGGTTGAATAACAAGAAATACTATACAAGGAATGACTCTCTTGAAACCTGTCAAATTAACGGTGCAAGAAACAGAGAAGAAAAGCACAATTACTGATATAACAATCGGTGAATATTTTAATAAACTTTACGCAAATCCAATATAATGGTTTGCAAAACAAAGTGAAAGAGAGAATTTGTATCAGGTCTAGTTAAGACAGGATTAAAAGTTGAGTAAACATTGCAAAGACGATTATACAATAAAGAATGTAGGGAAACAGACGAGTAATTAGCAATGAAAAAATTTTGAAATATAATGTCAAACGCAGCATGCCGCCATTAAGTTGCAAACAATACAAACACACGATATACACTGGGGTCTTGTAAAGATACGAAGAATTTTTAAAAACACCAGTTTATGTAGTAATGACTCGAAGTTTTGGTCCAAAAATTTCTCTGCTACATTACAAAGTAAAGTAATATCGCATGTTAAATTTTTTGGAAATGATAAGCAGCTGTTTTGTGCTAAGTAGGAGCCAGGTGTGTGTTCCTACGAAACAGTTGTGAGTCCTCCTTCTGTGTCAAGAACTCATGTTTAACGAAGCATAACTAATCTCTTCTTGGGATCACATCTAAGCAACCTTATTATAGTGCTTCTGTTGTGTGTTTTTGCTGTTCAGACGAGACTCTCTTATTCTGACAAGAAACAAACAATCGTTGCATCGTTAAGGGGCGAAGTGTAAAAGGTCGTGGCATTTGCTGCCACTCACCAAAATAGTGAGCCAAAATGTTGTTTTTTTGGCTCTTACTGGATGCATTTTGCATTGCACTAGCGTATTATGAAGAGAGACTAGAAGGAGAACACATGCTTGGTGCAATGTTGCCCATACATGATGCTGGGGTTAATAAATCATTATGTGGTGGAATAAATATGGAAGGTGTAGCAGTAGCTGAAGCATTTCGACTGGCTGTACACACGATAAACAAACGTTCTTCACTTGCAAGTGGGCCGTCACCTAGAGTTTTTGGTTATGATCTAAAGGACACTTGCAATTCAAAGCAGGGTGCGATGGATATAGGTTATTCTTTCAATCTCAGAATACGCGAGCAGCGAAAGGGAAAGCTCGGACCAAAGCCGGTTTCGTTTGTGGTGGGAAGATTCAATCGTTTAGAGTACCCAGCTGTCCAGCTTCTGAGTCTCGAAAGACTGCCACATATAAGTTACACCCCAGATAATATAAAACTGGTGCCTATGAAAGAGGTAAAGGATAATAATTTTAATCATTTCTTGTCTGCCTACCCTGGTGATGTCTATAAAGTACAAGCAGCTGTCGAGATTATGAAAGAGATGGGGATCGAATACTTCATGTTCATAACATCTAACGATAATCGCGGAACCAACGGTATGAATATCATTCACAAAAATTACCCTGGCACAGCAAAATTTTGCTACACTGAAGTATTAGCTTTAGAATCAAAGAACAGTGTCATAGAAATTGTATCAAAAATTCGAAGGAACCCACTGGCAAAAGCAGTCTTGCTCCATTTAAACCAGGAGGGAAGTTTACGAGTTTTCAAAGAGGCAAAGCGACAAAATTTGACAAATATCATTTGGTTTAGTACTATATCGTGGAACTCGAGAATAGCAGATCTCAGTCCGTTTGTCAGTGAAGTCGAGGGTATGGTTATGCTGACAAACAAGCCACAGAAACCCTCTGGATACCAACTACACCTTGATCGCCTCGAGCTTCCATATAAAGAAGAGCCTTTGCTGAATATGCCTTTATGAAAACAACAGGAGAAAAGGAATGCCTCTCATTGAGCGCAAACTCTTCAGCTGATGTTTTAAATAAATGCAAAAAACTACATCAACAATTTGTTGGAACTCTCGCCAAGTACAGTGACAGAATTGCATACGTTCTTGACTCGGTTTTTGTTTTCGAAGAAGGGACAAACAAAATGCTGGATGAAGGAGGTCGCATTACATTGATGGAGGCCATGAAAGCTCTCGAGTTTTTGTCACCTATGACGCAGAATCCAGTGCGCTTTGACAGCAATGGAGTTATGCTTGATATTGTTTCAGTCATTTATAACCTTCAATTAAACTTTGCAACTAACAAAATTGAATTTATTAGAGTTGGTGAATACGACAAAAACAGAGAAATTTCAAAAAGACTTAACCTAAATGTCAATGTTCTACGTTGGAAAAATGGCACAAAAACTGCCCCAGTTTCTAAGTGCAGTCCTGATTGCCTTGCTGGGTGGAAACGAATTTTACCTAACACTGGGTCTGCGTGTTGCTGGACGTGTCAGAAATGCCCGAATGGATCTATTAGTGAAAACAACAACTCTGTCTCGTGCTCTAAGTGTGGGGCGTTGTTTGTAAACAACCCGATGCAGTCGGCTTGTGTAAAGTTTAGAACGACGTCCTTTGGATGGTTCGACCCGATGGGGGAGTTCATGATTTTCTTGATAACTGCCGGCCTTTGCGCCACGTTCTTCATTCTGGGAATCTTCAGCCAAAACCGCGACTGTGACGTCGTTAAATCTGCTGACTACAAATTGATGGTGTTCATGCTTTTTGGACTTGCCTTGTGCTTCTTCACACCTGTCCCACTTCTACTAGAGCCCTCTTCAACAACATGCATTTCCTACGTCATCATGTTCAATCTAGGCCTTACCATCCCATTGGCTGTCCTGTTCATAAAGTCAGCCGCGGTGAGGCATCGGTTCTTCGACGAAAACATGGAGCTGATAAATGGGTCCCTTGGTTCAATGCCGCACCTGGTGATTGCTGGCATAATTGTGGCAATACAAGCGATCATACTAGGTATTGGCATCAATTTGGCGGATACAGATATAGAGTACCAAGAAACTAACCAGTGGGATTTGAAGTATTCCCAATGTGCTTACGTCAAAAATGCCGTCTTCTGGGTTGCATTTGGTTATAATGTCGTCGTCAGCGTTGTTCTCAATGTCGCCTCGTTCAAATCCACGAAAATGGAGGGAGAGTTCAACGAGCAGAAATGGGTATGCATTTCCACCTGCTGTTTTTACCTTGTCTCCTACCTTTACGTCACCTGCTTGTATGCAGTCTACGGTGCAAACGTAGTCGTTGCCGCTAGCGTCCTCATAGTCACATTTGGCCTCGTTTTCATTCTGACGTACTTTGCTCCGAAGTTGCGCCTAATTCTTTTCCACCAAACCCCAAAAGCCGAATTTGGTCCAGATGGAAAGCCACTGATGAGTGATGAAGACAAAGAGCACCACACACCAGCGCTCACTTCGCATATGTCTGGAACGGAAGGTCTGAGGAAACACAAGGTTTTGGGAATGAAGATAAAGTCAGATATGGGATCGCAGGGAGGACCTTCGAGCGCATAAGGTTTGAAATTTTCAACTTTATCAGCTTGCAAAGTTTGAGTTATAGAAATTAAGTAAGTTAGGCTGCGTTTTCATTTTGAATCAAGCAATACCCTCTTCCTTAAAATTTTGGTTTTAACAGCATAGTGCAGAATTCAATAGACATATTCTTTTCTTGAGAATTATGTTTTTTCTTGGTAAAAATGTGTTTTTGCATTAATATTAAGTGAATTTATAGCCAATTGAAAAGGCACATTATCCTGAAATAATTATTTTCCTGCAAGCTATCTATGAGTTCTATATTCAGCCTTAAAACGTTTTTAAGATAGCCTCAAATGATACTTCCAAAGAAAGTTTTCAAGAATTCTTCGTTTTATCTATGGAAACACAAAAATGCCCAGACATATGTGCAATCCTGATAATCATATTAAAACTTTTTCCTCTGAAAAGCATTTGATTAATAGCAAAAGATGCTTGCGAGACATCCACTCAATGTTCAGATTAGAGTAAGGTCTCAAAGAATGAGTGAATTCTCTTTTAAGAAAGACTAGTAGCCCACCAATATTTTACATCCTCGAAGACATTCAGAAAATGTATTTATTGTGATTCATTTTTCTTCTTCCAGATGAATACTCCTCTTGGAAACGCAGCAAAGATGCACATCATGATGAACTTCCATGGTAACAAGGCTTTGCGATGCGGTATCAAGCCATTTTGGCACAATGTAATCAACCTATATTTGAAGACAATTTAAAATAATTTCTATTTTCAACATTCGCAATAGACTTAAAAAGCAATAGCTTCAAAAATTAAGTAAAGTCATTTGAGAACGTTAAGCATTATTTATAAATTCCAGTTACAAACCTTTTTTCGATTATTTTATCTTATATTCCTATTGCGAGCATCACTTTACAGAAATGCGTGGAAGAGGGTTTGGTTTAGTTTCTGAGTAGGTCAAACAGTGCGATTATCGAAAGGGTTGTGGTTTTCTTGCATGGAAAAACTACGATCTGGGCTTTTTTGACGTAATTGAGGGATGGCACTAGCACTAGAGGAGTGCTAAGGTAGGATAGTGTCCCATGCTAACCTCCCGTTGAAAGATAAAAATCAATTCATCGTTAAAAGCCAGGGATGACGAAGATATCTGACGAAGATAAGCCCCTCCCCAAGGCAGAAGGTCAGCAACCCCCCCCCCCATCCGTCGAAAAATTTCCGGCAAGTATTTGCTTGATAGTTGAACTGTTACAGAAAGAAAACCAAGAGTTAAGTTTCAAATGTTTTGCGTCCATTTGTAACAGCAATACGTCTCTTCTTGAAAACCTTGATACAGCATTTTTATTCTTTCAAATTAAAATCGTTGTTGGCAATATTATGCTCAATTAAAAAAACTCCAAATACTGTATCGTTTTCTTTTAGAATTTCTCATAATCCTTTAAAGAATCCGATAGTCTCCGAAGTCAGAATAAATATCATCCCTCTTTTATAATTTTGCTTTAGAAACTCGATGATATCATTCGAAAAACTTCCTTTATGACTCCCCGGCCTTTTCTCCTTAATTTAAAAATCATCTTAACGATTTAACAAAACGGCGCAGTAGCTTTTTCTGTTGTTCAGAACTAGAAAAAGTTCAGAACTTTCAGCGCCTTCATCATATTTGGGTGGCTGGGTGACATCTGGTGTAAAGGGCCGCCGTTAGAGCTCCTGAACAGGAAGGTGGGGATGGGGTCACAAGCTGTAGTTAATATTTGCAGTTCACATAGATAACATTAGGTAACATTAAGTTACATTGAAAATGTGCATGTAACTTTAAAAAAAAATAAAACCAGCTTTACGGATGTTTTTTTAAGAAGGATTTTAATATATAGACTGTTTCAAGCCCGCGAGGGGCGCTTTTCATTACTTAAAAGGACATGCATAGAGATTGACAGAAAAGTGAGGATACGTGCCACTGGGAATTATTTTCAATAGTTTGGATCAGTTACTCATATCTAGCCTCGTGTTGAAACATGTATTTGAGAGATGGGCTGACGTGACGTCTCGGAGTGTGCACGGATCCTTTTTGGTTAAATTAGATTGATTCCAAGCTTAAATTGTATCTTGTTTCGTCAGTAAAAATTCAAAAACTCTAACCATTGTAATGTTAACATTTGGTTTAACGAGTAAAAAATTCAAAAACTCTAACCATTGTAATGTTAACATTTGGTTTAACGAGATCAACATCTAAGCCAGTCTTTTCTTGAGTTTCCTTTTGTCTCGCAAAGGGCTTTTAGAGTCACAGTTTATCATGATTAATTTCCAGCCTCTGTTTCACTCAGTGGATACGACGGACCCTCAAAGCCATGACATTTTGTAAATTTGAACAGGCCATTCGGTCGTTTTTAACTATTAAGCTAAAAGCTGCAGGTTTCAGGTGCTACTCCTGAATTTAGACGCTAAGTTCTTGCTGATAATAGTGTTTAAGACGCAGAATAATGGCACACAGGTATTATTTAATACAAAACTCTCTATAAGAACCTGACACGTTGAAAAAATCAATAAATTTTATCACCTAATCACCCTAAACTGTAAGAAATTTCTCGAAAAAACTCTTTCCAATAAGAGTTGATGAAGATTCTCATTGACGATTAGTTGTTCATTTTTTGTTTAATTGACATATATTATATTAAGAAAAACTCTTTAGACTGATTTTGTTCTCTGTTTTATGTTGTCTTATGCCACCTTTTTGTGTTTCTAAAGACATCAGCACTTGGCATTTAAGAAACCTTCAATGCTACAGAAAATCAATGTAAGGTCAAACTACTGATCTGCTTTCCAACTCTTGAAAATTCCATAAGAACGTTTCCGTTATACTCTTTTGCCTTTTCCCAATGTTGCCGGTTTGGAACACTTGCTATAGTGTTCTCCGGCCTTTTGCTTTCAAATGAATTTAAGGTCACGGTGAACGTCTTCTGGATGAAAACACCCATTGTTTCGATTTTTTCACATTCAAGTAGCCGAACTTTCAAGGCACACAATGACATCAAGTTTGAAACAAACAGAAATTTTGAAAATGGAAAAAAGCACATGTAGCGAAGGATTCCATAATTTCATTATGAGAATTTTTAGTCGAGGCCTGAAATCTCTTGACCTGTTAAGAGGATTATCGTTGCTTTGCGGTCGTGGTCGCATGGCTCATTCACAATATCGTCTGGCGTATTTATGTATTCTACTCTCCTCAGCAGAGGCAATTGGGGAGGAAAATGGGGATTGAGAAACCCTCGCAGCTCCTCCACTTTTTCTTTTCTTCGGCAGTTCCTTTTATCATATTCTTTTTCCCTTCCTTTCTCCCTCCCCAATAGCCTCTGCGGAGGAGAGTATATGTATTCGATCAGCGGTATTTGATGTACGGCCGTGTTTATTTTGAACAGGCTTCAAATGGCTTGACCCGGATTACACTGTGGTTTACGAGTGTACCTTGCAAGTGCAATCAGTAACACCTCTACATACAGGTACGAAAAAGCTATTTTTAACCCAAGGAACCAATCGAATGGCTCAAAACTTTGCACACGGCCAGGATAGATCTCGGATAAGCGAAGCGTGTCTCAAAATTTTAGTATTTGCTCTGGTCTGTCTTTTATAGCCAAATACAGCTATTAGAGGGAAGCAAAATTGTTTGCCAATTTTTGACAGGGTATAGTTTCAAATGGAGGAGGAATTTGAAAAATCTGAGAAACACTTGGTAGCTAAGGATCTGCGGTTTCGCCTTGGCAGCCTAAGTATCTCATCCCTGACTTGAGCAATCGGATATATTCCTCTTTTTGTAAAAGCAAAGACCTGCCTCTCCATAACCAAAACCCCCTGAAAGAGGCGGAAAATTCCTTCTATGCTTAACTATGACAGCGCCTACTGCTGACTTCCAAGGGTACTAACTAAATGCAAGGGTAACAGGTGTGTGGGAGACTGGGGAGAGTTTGCTTTCTATCTCATTGGGCAAGCAAGATTGGCCTAATTCAACTGTTCTTACTATCGCTTTGAACAATATCAAACACAGATGCAGTATGAAAGATTGTGTCAAGATCAAGTGTTTATTGTAAATTTCATTAGAATTGGAAGCAAAACCCTCACAATCCTGAGATTAGCGCGTAATATCGATCGCATTAGACTTTTCTTTCTTCAATTTAACAATAACACGATACATGCTTTGAAAACACCTGGACTTTTTATCACTGTTATTTCTCAAGCAATCGAGCAAGAAAATCATTAATATATAGACTTTTGACAGACATTCTGACTGAAAGTTTTTTGAAACTGAAACCGAGTTTAAAGATCAATTAACTTGGGAAAATTCACGCAACCAATCGTATTCTAGGCCGTAATCAGGAGCTTTGCTTGATGGGTGAAACTAATAGGTTTGAAATCATAATCAGAGCATATTGTTCTTTACGAGTCTGGCTTAGCTTTTAGTTTTGGTCAATGAGGCTGAACTATACAGCTGCGGGTTTGTCGCACCGATATCATCGTTGGTTTGGTGGATCCAATTAATGGTGAGTGTGCTACGTTAGACATGGTTAATTTTTTATTAGACCGTATGCCTTGCAGTGATTATAGTAAAAAATAGCATAGTATGCCTCATGAAAAAAATGCTCTAAAATATGTGAGATGATTCTTAATCACCCAAGACTATGTTTGCGTTAGATGAGGTTGCACTGTTTGTCTGCAAAAATTGTTGTCTGGCATGTCTAAACAGGTGTATACATGCGTTAAGCCAGCCTGCCTATATGTTTTCTGCTACTCACAACCTTGTTTCCAACTCGTCTGGGAGGGAAATTTTCCATGTTAACAAATGTTAATGAACTTGGCGGCCTGGGATGTGCTATGGGAAAATTGGGGGCTAGGATACTAAATAATTTCGTTGATGGAAGATACTGCATAAGAGAGGGGGGGAGAGAATAAGCTAGCCTACCACAAAAAACATGACTAGACAGGGTACTCAGCATTGAGTAAAATTTTGATTTCAGTTCCAACAGGCCAGCAGTTAGAACATTTTAATATTCCAAAACTATTAGCTGAACAGGGGTTCGTCATTTTCCATCAGTTATTGATAACAGGGAAGTTATTGAGCGCGCCAGCCGCTAGCAGCCCTCTTAGGACGGTCCGAGTTATGATTTGGTTTTCATTTAACGGATGTAAAACCATTATTTTTTGTCACGTAAGTTTTATAATTTTAGATTTTTCTTGCATTTTAGGCCTTCAGATAAACAATATCGATTCACGAAATTTAAGGCTTTCAAGTCGAGTAAAAGATGTCGAAATTTTACTTACTATGCGGCCTTCTGTGTATCGTTGCAATTCAGCTATTTGCTTCGATATCTGCCGAACGAATCAACGGTGACTTGATCATTGGAGCGGCAATTCCAGTACATAAGAACAGTAATGACAGTTGCAACGAAATAAACTACGAGGGTCTCGCAGTTGCAGAAGCTATACGTTTTGCGGTCGAAGAAATAAACAAGGACGACAAGCTACTTGGTGAGCTTACGATAGATCGCAAACTAGGCTTTGATATACAAGACACGTGTGATAGCAGTGAAAAAGCAAAAGATATCGCGTATGCATATAACGGAGTACATCGTAATTACAAAGAGGGTACGCCTGGGCAGGAAATACCAGTATCTGCTGTTATCGGAGAATTTAAAAAGAGATCATTCGAGGCGCTGAAATTGCTCAATTTCGAAAAAATTCCACAGATCAGTTATGCGGCAGACAATGCGAGGCTGAAGCCCGATGGGATCAACGATGACGAGGTTGGTGGACTACTTTCTGCTTACCCAGAAGATGTTTCAAAAGGAAAGCCCGTTGCGAGCATTCTAGGGAAAATGAAAGCCGAGTATACAACACTTATAGCCAAAGGTGATCAAAGAGGAAAAAAGGGTTTGAAGGTCATCCAGGATTTGTTATCTAAAGCTGGTCTCTGTTACTCGGAAGGTGGGTTGGTGAACAATGTCCAGGAGATCGAGAAAGCTGTTAAAGATTTAAGCATGAAGAAACACGCAAAAATAGCTGTTTTGCATCTCGACGAACAAGACACAGCAGCAGCATTGATAGAAGCAGAAAAGCAAAATCTAAGTGATATCACGTGGATTAGCACCCAGTCGGTGAAAGGGAATTTGGGAACGACAAACAGCGTTTCAGAGCAAACCAGTGGTATGATATATCTCCAATCACAAAGTCTGGACCCACAGGGATTCGAAGGATATATAACAAACAGGGAAATGAACAGTAAAAATCAAAGTTTTTGGATGAAAGAAGCAATGCAAGATCAGGGGGCCGAGAAGCATTGTACTGAAAGTGGAAAAGCTCTTACACCGGATCAGACCGATGCTTGCCAAAATGCGAAGGAGCAAGTTGTTAAAGAGATTCTCAAGTACAGCGCCACAGCTGCATATGCAATTGATGCTGTTTATATCATTGCAAATGGGTTGCAAGAAAGCATGGTGTCACAAAAACGTTTGAGTCTGTTTGACAGCATGAGAAAATTGGACTTTCAGTCGCCTTTAACAAAAAGTAAAATCAAATTCAATGAAGATGGCCAAGCAGTGGCTATGGCATTTAACATATACAATGTGCAAGGAAATGATTCGTCGGGCATAAGGCACGTGAAAGTTGGCAGCTGGGAGAGAGGCAACGACCCTGCCATGATGCTTGATATGAGTAAAGTGCGCTTCGAGGAAGGAAGTGAAATGGCGCCTGTATCAAAATGCAGTCGTGATTGTCTACCTGGAGAAGGAATCGAGTACCCTACAATTGGACCAAAATGCTGCTGGACTTGTGTGCCATGTCCCAACTTGACTGTATCAAACGCCAGCAACTCCAAGTGTTTTGAATGTGCCGAGCACCAAGCAGCAAATCCACACCAAACCGAATGCAAAGATTTCAGGCTACTCCATATGAAATTGAAAAATACCGTCTCCGAGTTTGCTATATTTCTCCTAACAGTTGGCTTGCTCTTCACATTTTTCTCCATGTTCATCTTCAATCAAAATAAAGATTGTGAAGTAATGCAAATGGCTGGCAATGGTACAATGCAGATACTGCTTGTTGGCATAATAATTGTCTTTGCATCATCTGTTGTCTTGATGTTCAAACCCACGGTCATAAGTGGCATCGTGTATACAGCAATATTGAACATAGGCCTCACAGTCGTAATGGCTGCCTTTATTTCCAAAACATGGCTCTTCCATCGTTCCGGTGCAGGCTCAAAAGGCTTTGTTGTCGGTTTGTTGCTGGTTATCATCGAGGCTGCAATCATTGCAGTCGGGTTCTACCTTGAGAAAGTGTCCTTGCTTTATGATGACACTGATCACTGGGATGTCAAATACGTAGAATGCTCTTTGTTCCGTGGTTACGCGTTCTGGCTTGCGTACGGTTTCGTCGTTGTGCTCAGCGTGCTGATCAACTTCTTTAACTGCGGTGTGCCAAACGTCGAAGGGCGTTTTGGCGAATACAAATGGCTTTGCTTGACATGTTGCTGTTTCTACTTAATGGCATTCTTGTTCATCACAGCTTTCTGGGCTTTTCCATTGCTGCAAAAGATTGAAGCTGGTGTAATCTTGACCATTTGCCACTGCTTTTTAATCTTGATCGCCTACATCTACCCAAAGTTGCACATGGTTCTCTTCATGGAACGAGAGAAGATGCAGGATGTTGCTAAATCTGAGAAGTCCCCACTCTTCTATGAGGATGACGAGGAGGCCCCAGCACATTCACCCACATCTGGCATCGATGTTTTCAAAAACAGAATTGTCCAACTGAATGTAGAATCAGATGATGGCAAGTCAAGTGGAAAATAAGGTAACGATATTTCAAAAGTTAGGAAAATATCAATTTTTACTTCAAATTTTATTGTTGAATCGAGCTTCATAATCAACTCATACTATCGATGTCATGTCATGTCATGTCATGTCATGTCATGTCATGTCATGTCATGTCATGTCATGTCATTTCATGTCATGTCATGTCATGTCATTTTATGTTACGTTATGTCAAATTATGTTTTGTTACGTTATGTTATGTTTGATATATTTAGTTATGTTATGTTATCTCATGTTATTTCATGTTATATTATGCTATGTTCAAAGGGTCATACCAACTTTTATTTCATTTTATACTCTAGGTAGTTTCTGTTGTCAAGATGGCAGCCATTACAAGTCTTTACATCCAAGGTTTTGTGTGTGCATCGAATGTCTAGCGTGTTGAAAAAGACGATACATTTCCCTGTTTATCAGAAGAGCATCCAACGTTTGTAACCGGCTTCATATATGTTACTATTTGGCAGAGTATTTTACATATTCAAGCTCCGTCAAAATGTAATTGCGAAGGTGGCAACAACAAAAGTCACTAGGATCCTTTCTAATTCCTGCAAACATTTCCAACGTGAAGTTTCTTGGAGGAAAATCAATGAAAATAACAAGGACGTATTGTAATTTCAAGACCTCTACAGCATAATTCTCATTCACTGACACTAGAATGAACCTTGAAAGAAAGTGTGATAAATTTAATTTCGTGTAATTACCATTTTGGCCATGAAAACTTAGGCTTAAAAAAGACAAAGACTTTCGCAAATGTAGAAAGCCTTGCACAAGCTTTTGTCTACAGCCCCTTCTACTTGAAAGATTTTCACAAGTGGTTGCTGGAAACAATATTCATTTGTCATTATTAAGTATTTCATTGACTAATAAATATGATTTAGTAATGTAGTGCTGGGCAACATAAAAAACCTTGTCAAAAACAATTGAGAAAGTAATGAAGCTTGCACGAAAAAGGCTTAGATAGAGGATTGGACGAAAAGGCTTAAGTGCGAAGATCAAAATCATTAAAAAAGTAAAAGTTGTAATATATCAATGGATTGATGTTTCATATGCTGATTTTTCTTTCGAAAGGAAAATCAATTTGATCAATTAATTTGCATAAATGGAATTGGCATTCAATTAATAATACAAGTTGGCAGAGTGAATAATGGATATCGCATCTACTATTTGACAGTTTTGATATAGCGGCAGAATTTCAAATAATGTCTCGCCTATGCGAAAATTTACCTAGAGAACTGAGTTTCTTGATAATTGGAGACTGCTCTTAAGAATTGAACGCTTAATTAGTCGCGTCTTGTGTGAGGGATCTGAATCTGACATAATGTTATTTGTTTCTTATGTACTGTTTTTAACAAAAAGAAATAAAAAGTATTTCTAAGAATTAGGCCTTTTTCTGCTGTGACATCTATGGATCTTTGATAACGCGGTGCGTGCACATTTTGTGGACCAAATATCGCAGGGTTTGGGTAGAAGGAGGAAGGTCGCAGGTAGCTTATTGGCCGAGATCGAGGGTTTGGATTGGTGTGGGGATGGGAGAGGGGTTTGGCAAGCAGCATTTAATGTTCCGAGTCACCTGTTTATTGTCTTCTCTGTTTCGAGCTTCCGGGTACAAATTTTCGATTCTAAGATTAATTTTCTGAGTCATATCGAATTGAAGGATTTCCCAAGTCATATCATATTTGAGGGCTTTCCAAAACATATCGAATTATGCCCCTAAAATTTCCCATAGCTATCGCTACTGACTCGAGTTACCCCTACGCAAAACTAATCGCTGCTCAGCAAGTCGCATGGGGATGAAAGGACATTAATTTTTAGTTTAATTTAATATGATTGTCTATCTGCTTCACTCAAAAACAGGAAAGGGTAACAAAGACAAACAGAGAAACAGGAAAGCCTTTAATGACTGAAAACCACTTCAACCTCTTTTGCATGATAGATAAACACAATTAGGTGCAGGGCCGTCGAGAGGCAGCTCGGGCCCAGGGATGATTCACAAAACTGGACCCCCTTAGGAAAATTTCATGTGGCCACGCCCTTCAGTCTACCGGAGAACATTGGAAACGACCTTTTCAGCTACAATTGTTGAAAAAGTTTTTAAAGTATTTCTTACAAGAATGTGCAAAAACATTTTACATGAATCAAAGACATGTGGACTTTTCTTTGCAATAAACATACAGGTGTTGATTTGTAGCTGTTGATTGGTTTTTGCATTGTATATAGATCTTACCACTTTATTACGGACCCCATCGGAGCACAGACCCCGGACCTTTTGCCCCTCCTAACCCTTCTCTCGACGCCCCTGATAAGGTGTATAGATATGAGAGTTGGATCGAAAGAAAAAAAACGAAGGCTACCCAAGTGGAGTTTGTAAGGATACAGTCCTGAAGACATTTTCACAAAAGGGACTCATAAAGATGTAAAAAACAGGTACCGCGCAGCCATTGGGCTAGCAGGGGCTATAGCCTCCTCACCTTTTGGCAATAATAGGCTAGGAAAGTTTTTGCAAGGTTTTCTCTAACGCAATTTTGGATAGTTCACTCCTATGTAGTAGCAGTTCTTCTTGACTGAGAACAATTTTGTTCATCTTCTAGGTGTTTTGTTTTGTTTATGATATGATGTATTTTCTAACTTGGTTAGCTTGGTGTTTTATTATCCTTTTATAGTTATTGATATCTTCTTTGAACCAGACTGCTTATTAAAGTTTATTAGAAATAAGCAAGTATTCTCTAAAATAGGCGTTTCAGCCCCTTCACTCTTAGACTGGTGCGCGGTCCCTGGTAAAAAGTAGGGGAATCAATGCCACGACTATTAGTTTGGTACCTTCCAAAACTATGACCTACTTAGGTTTAAACTATGTTTTAGGTAGGTTATTGCTGTGTAGAAAATAATGTGCTAACTTTTGAACCAACAAAAGGAAAGGGCTGCATAAGATAAAATTAAAGAAATAAAAAAGTTGATTCCTTCTTCACTGAAATTTCAGGTTTGCTTCATCTATCAGACAGAGCTAAATTTCGGGAAATATATAGCCATTTAAATTTTAGTTCTGTCCAAATCTACTAGGGTAATTTAGCTGCTATCACATAAAGTACATATTTGCTGCTTTTTCTTTCAGTAACTTCAAGCCTTCGCAACTGTTATTCAAATTCAAAGATATTTCCCCTGTAATTAAAGATTTTATGTTTTCCTCCGTTTCACTTTTTCCTGTGAAATGAAAGTAAAAGGAAACTTTTAAGAAAATGCGGAAACTGAAAGAACGCTTTAAGTGTTTCAAGTGATTTATCCACTCCTGTCTAACAAACACCCTGAGAGCTACATCTGCTATACGAATTGTAATTAGAAGTCGCTTATACGGAAATCCCAATAAAAAATATTGAAAGCAAGTTACGAAATATACAAATCTGAACCAAAGCTCTTATTTGAAAAAGAAATGAGTTTATCAGTGAAACATGCTATGGAGATAAAACATTTTTTGGGTTTCATGTTAAGTAAGGGAATTTAAATTTTTAATTTTTATTTCATCTTTCCCTCTATCTTTCTCATTACAATCCCTACTAAGACAAAGTAGGAAGTCGAATTTCGGCAAATGGGCACAGAAAATGGGGGTTCAGGGCGTTAAGTCTCTCAACAAAGACCACGATATTTGATTTAAAATCATACAATGATTCATCTTCATTTTGGTTTTGAGCATAATGACTCTCTCTCCTATCAGAGCCTCAAAGGAGAGCCAAGTCCAATCATTTGAAAAATGGAGTCGAACACCTACTTTTCGCCCCCACTCTTTCACCGAGGAACTGGTACCAAGGTAATTCCCCTAAACCTCTAATGTACGGGCCTTTCTGTAAAAAGATCCAGGTTCCAGTCTATCCTTTACAATTGAGGTGTTTTTCAGAGAAGTCGAGTTTCTACCCAGTTTAGTAAATATTCTCTTCCCTACGTTGTTTAGAAAAATTCGGATTGCTGATGCCATAGTATGTTTTAGTATGTTTTTTCCTATGAAGATGGTCAAAGACATTAACATATTTAAATCCCGATTTATTCAACATAGGCAAAGTTCCCTATATAAAATAACATGATTTTTAGCGTCTGGACGAAAACCCCGGGCAGTGTGTAGAATAAAAAGGTGCTTGAGGATCTTTGAAGCAGGAATATACATGGCATGGCAAAAAGTGAAAAAAATAACATAATAGCTAAAAACCATGCACAGATTAAAACGTGGATAATAATGTTAAAATACGCGGAATAAATCCCCCGAGAAAGTCAGCTTTTCCAATCTATCATTTCTTCGTTTGACATAAAATCTGCAAGCTATTGCCCATTGCTAAAAGAGCTGTGTATTTTCATTATTGACAAATGATAGAAGAGACGTTGAATTTTGTAAATTGAAAAACTGGGAGATAGGCACCTGGTTATTCATTCGATCCTCGTTTCGTGACACATGGCCTTTCTATAGCGGCTTTGTTCTGGTTTGTCAAAGCGAACGAAAATTAAAAGCCATGTAAGACGGAAACCAAAATGCGTTGAGGTTTGATGTTTAATACACTAAATTTAACTGGTAGAATCCCATCATTCGTTAAACCACCTCATTCAAGTGGTTTCCACAATCATTAGATTATTTCATCTATTTGTGGATAAGCATCATCCGGATGTCCTCATATTTGAATAAAATAGCTGCGAAGGAGCATCTACAGAAAACGCCACTGGGGAGATCGGATACAAGGGAAAAGTTGCTAAAGCGTAGCATATAGATGTGATAACGGGGGCTGTGTCTTTAGTCTCTTTAAATTTGAGTTTTCTAGTAGCTATGCAAAGACCCCTTGAGATTCACCATGCAAAAGTTTGCTGTGCCTCCCCTCAATCAAAACCGTAAATAAAACGCGCATACTACAATCGTTCCTTTCTTTATTATTATAAATGCAAAATGCACTACCCAATATAGTACTGCTTCCGAAATATAGTACAAATAAGCAATGTCGACATATTGTTATCTTTGGATTTTGCACTTTGTCAGTGGCATCAGTTCGTATCGCAGGAACATTCCTTGCGAAGGAGACAGACAGCTGTCCCGAAACACGTTGTTGATTCAATTCAATCGGGGCAGGAATCTCCACACGGGCAGGTTGCTTTTGATTTAACAACTCTGCGATACAAAAGCTTTCAGGAAGTCAAAAGGCACTTATAAGGAAGGCAATTTGTGAAATGATACCCTATCAGGAAATATAGATCATTTTGTCTTTTGGTCGATTGGGGAATCGGAGCACAATTGAGGGACTACCTATTGTCTAAAACAAACCAACTCGTCTCTGTTTAGCCTTGACAAAACACAAAAACTCTAGCTGCGTCTTGACAAGCGGAATTGGTGGCAGAGAAATACAGTGTCAGCTTGATTTGGGTGTTGGCTATAAATTGGATAAAATGTCATCAGTCATAAACGGGAAAAGAAAGTCAAGTGGAGACGTCATGGCGAATACAAACCTGCAGTTCGGCTTGGTGAACCCGGATGGAAAATATTTAACGGCAGAATCGTTTGGATTCAGAATAAACGCAAATGGCCTGGCTTTGCGAAAGAAACAGATGTGGTCGTTCGAACAAGAAGCAGGTAGCAATCTTGGTTATTTTAAAAGCTCTCAAGGAAGATATCTCGTCGCTGATAAAAACGGAAATATAAGATGTGATGGCGAGGAAAGGGAAGACGATGCTAAATTTGAAATCGAAGTTGGCAATGACGGGCGTTGGGGTATCAAGAGTCACTTTGGACATTATTTAGTTGGTAATGGAGACTTAGTGAATTGTCCAACAAGAAAATTAGAAGATCGAGCGAAGTGGGCCGTTCATTTAGCGCTGCATCCCCAGGTAAATTTGAGGAGTGTTTCAAGGAAAAGACATGTTCGTATGGACGGTGATGAGTTTCATGCCGACGAAGATGTTCCATGGGGGTCAGATGCAGTTATAACTCTGCAGTTTTTAGGAGCTAGATACGCTCTACAGGCTTCCAGTGGCATGTTTCTGAGCAAAAACGGAAAGCTAGTTGACAAAGTTTGTGAAGATTGTGAGCTTGTGCTTGAGTTTCACGATAACCTAGTGGCGTTCAAGGATAAAGACGGAAAGTACCTCATACCATACGGGCCTAAGGGAAAGATACAAGCAGGAAAAGCAGCGCTCACCGCGTCTAAAGATGAGTTGTATCAGATGGGAACCAGTCATGCTCAAGTTAGACTTGTTTCGCATAACGGGAAGAACGTGTCAATTAAACAAGGTAAGCCGTTTGTTTATCATTGCAATACTTGTCTTTTGTTTTTGTTTTTTCTGATCAAATAAAACTAATGTCATACACTATCGAGAGTTTGTCATATCATTCACAAAAGATAAACAACCCTTTGCCAAAGAAAATACCTTAATTATCCTAACAGGAAATTCTTTGACACATCACAAGTCCTTCGCCGGGCTACTTTACACTTGCAACTAAACTAGTTGTACCGAACCACATAATAGAAATTCTGTCACCGAAATGACCTTTTAATTGTCTGGCATAAACAACGAAGGAGGACATAAACGACAAATAGGCGACAACATTTAACTTTCTTTTTGGTTTAGAAAGTGGTTATTTTTAACATTAAGCATGTCAGCTGACCGCAAAAGAAACGCACGAGTATTTCCGGGTCGGTCAGTCAACGCCCATGGTTGACCGAACGGAAGTTACGATTGAAAAGGTTGTATAGCCGTCAAAACAAAATTGTATTTAGGGAAGGGGAGTATAAGCGACAAATCTTGACTGCTTGTGAAAATAATAGCCAATAAGGGAGTCCCCATCGAATTAAGCCAATCATGATTTGAGGCCGATGTTGGGCAGGGGTTTCTGCATAAAATAACAATATTGATGTAACTCCTGATTAGAGACCATTAATCTCCAATCATTATCGGGTTACGCCTTCAGCCCGCCCCTCCCCCCTCCTGATCTGATGGCTCTGTCTCGGTTTGATACTTAGAGAGGCATTCTTAACGAAAAACATATTTTATTCATAAATTACTTTTTCTGTAGTCCCAAAACTAATCCCAAAAGCCCAACTTTGTCACGCCCCCCAAACTTCTTAAAACATGTATTTTTTGATCTTGTCCTTGTCTTTCAGCACTGAATTGCTCTGCTATTTTAAGTGGTTCGAAATTCGAAAAATACAAAACTTTACCCCAAACGAATTTGGGTTTACAGAGAGGGTCATTTGTTGCGCAATGAAGGCCCTTGATAGTTGCAATTTTCACCTCCAAAACAGGGTGACCAAGGAAAAGATGTTTAGTGTGGACGACTAAATTCCGCAGACTCGACATTTCGACCTACTGTTGCAGTTCTATAGTAAAAAAATTTAAGGCATTAAAATGTTTTCGGATTTTCAAAACAGTAATTCAAACAATCCGATTGACCATAATTAAAATATTGTCTAGTCGCTTGCATCATTTATGGAGAATTAGAGATTATTTCAAAACTGGTAAGACTAGACTGTGGATACTTAAAGATTTGGGGTACATTAAATTAACTACATTTCTCCAAATTATTTTAGGGGACAATATTTTATTGTCCCCTAGACGAAGGAGACTCCCCAGTGGGGTCGGTGTTACCATGTTTCCTAGAAAACTCAAAATCGCCGCTGTTCCCAGTTTCAAATAATGTTTCTTGACATCTCCTGAAAAACTATCGAGGTCGTGATCGTGTCAAAATGTTGCCTCGATCCCCGTTAAAAAACAGGATTTTCCCAGGTTCCCTTAACAAACAGCAGGTTGCCTTGTTCTCCATAACCCGGGGAGGGGGGGGGGAGGGGGTCACTAAGAACGATGAACTTTGTTCAGGGGATTAATTGCGAAGTTTCTATCACAAAGGTAGAAGATATCGGTACAAAGTTTTTCGGGAAGTTTCAGATTGTCGGGAATTGTAAGAAAATTTCAAGAAACTTTATTGAGAAAATGGGGAGACTTTAAATTGAATTTTTTTTTGGAATAACAATTGGTCTTAAAACACATGTTGCCATAACTTTTGCTCAGTTAGAGCCAATGACCTTAAATGGAATCAAAAGTGGAAGTTAGAATTTCGCAAATACTTTGATAACAATTAGGAATCACGTGACGTGCAGCGTCGTACGCATCTAGCGAGGGGAATCAGCTTGCTTTGAATCTCATCCTTTAAATTCATTGTAATGATATTAGCAACATCCGACCGAAAGAGGATCATACACTTCATCCCACTGATCCGCCATTCATGGGGAAATCGTATTCATTCAAAAAAGAAAGCATTGATTTATCATAAGTGCAATGCATTTTTGTAAATATCACTATGGGCGTGGTTATATAGACTTCATGAAAACCACACCTATTGATAGTTTCACCAAACGATAAAAAATGTGGTTGTCTTGTATGCACAAAATGTAAAAAGTCCCAATCTAATTGATATTCACTTGCACTGAAATCGCAAGACGAAGATCGTTTTAGATCATTTTAGCAAAAACTTTCTAGTTGATTTCTATGATTTCTAATCGAAGATCGCTGAGATCGTTTTATACAAGTTAATTGGTTGAACATTTTGATTTAGCCTCGTTTGGGGTAAGAAACCGTGGGTAAAAATCGTCGAAAAGAGTTGGAAATAAGTTGTTTTATTAGGATTGTGAACATTGTGAGTTTGTATATCGGGACAAATCGGTATAGTTGTTAAGTTCACATCTAATATTTCCCTGCAATCGTGAGTTTTCTAGTTGTATTTAAATATAATACTTTTCTGAAGTAAACATTACCGGAAAATTTGATCGGGCAAAAATGTTTTGAATCGTTTCAACAATATTTAGGATATAAAAAATAGTTTATCTTTGTCTCCCTTTGCGTGAAGAAAACAATAGCTTCTTGTTTTTGATAATTGTCTCATTTTTTACAGGAGTCGATGTTTCAGCTAACCAACTTGAGGCAGAAGATACTGAAATTTTTCAAATGGAGTACAATACTGGCACTGACAACAAGGTCTCGTTCAAGACGAACACTAACAAATACTGGGTGATGGGAGCTAAAGGCGCTATAACCGCAACTGGCTCTGAAGTTACGAATGACAGTCAGTTTCTTTTGGAGTGGGCTGGAAACAAGATCACTTTGAAAGCAAGCAATGGGAAATATCTCAGCCCAAAAATGTCGGGAGCTCTTGTAGCTTCTGCGGATGCCGCCGCTGAGAAGGAGCAGTTCAATCTCGGAATTGTCAACCGCCCATTGCTGGTGCTAAGGGGAGAGTTCGGATACATAGGGATGCGCAGTGGTGTTTCAAAAGTCGAATGCAACAGAGGCAATTATGATGTCCTCAATTTGGTGTTTGAGGATGATCATTATAAAATAAAAGCAAAGAATGGCAAATTCTTTACTGTTGATAACGATAATGCCATTATCGCATCAGGAGACGAAGCAGGTGGAGACTCGTTTGCCATTATATTGAAAGACACAAAACATATGTACATTAAGGCAGTCAAGAACGGTATGTACTTGAAAGGTGATCAGAGCGGAGGCCTCAAAGCTGTTGCTACTGATGTCGACAAAAACTGTCTTTGGGAACATTAGGTGGAAATTTGGTTTGCAGAGCTTGTTGACAAGATTCATTGGAGTTAATCTCATAAGTCATATTTGCTATTAAAAACCATATGTGCTATAGAAGAATATTATTTAATGAAACAACAATACTTTTTGGGAAATCGTAAATGATTGTTTATTCAGCAAATTATGAAATTTAAAACCAGTTTGATTGTTACTAACCATAGCAAAGTTTCGAAGGAGATTCAACGCTTAATGTGTGAGAGTTCAAAAGCCTTCGGACAAAGCTTCGTTTCCCCACAACTCAGAATTTTTGTGCATTTAAAATTTTGATATTACATTGATAAAAACAAGTTAATTATGCGTAGTAAGAAAGATATGAAATTATATTGTCTGGAGCTCTAACAGCTGTTTTTGAATTGATTTCTCAAGTTCTGTAAAGAATATTTGTGAAAAGAAAGAAAGAGGGACCACGGAAGCTAGAGAATGCGGGTGGAAGTTGGTGGAAGGGGGAGGAAGCATGTTGTAGATATATGGGCCATCACCACCCATCCCCAAAAAATAAGGAATCAGGACGAAACAGAACGGGAATTTGGATCGTCTTGCTGTTGGTTGTACTGCAAACTGCTTATACTCAGCAATGGGCTTGGCACTTCTTAGAAATACCCACCAGGAACTGCAAATAAAACACGCTTTCTTGGAATTGGATTCTAAGTTTGTTAGCAAGTGCAGTACCAGCCTGAGAAGAGGTAGAGAAGAAGCCCGGCAAACTTCTCTTGTATTCCTTTGAATAAATTGAACCAGTATCAGTTAGCTTAATCCTGCTCACCACTGTTCACTTGCCCACGACTTGGAAAACACTCTAGGCATAGCTTATATAAGAGATGACAATGCTTTATAAAACTATCTGCGTTTGAATGTACACTGCTTAGTGGACATCGCTTAATTTTGGTTTTTAAAAATTGGTTTTGCGATAGCTTCCCACTGATGGTTCCATTTTGAGTTTTGAAAAGGCTGTAAGTTGTCTTCATACCTCCTAAGTGTATCATGTTCTTTCGGAAAACCTCGTAACAGATCCTGAAACACAATGAAATAAATCTTGATATTATAGTCATTGATGTAATTCAATAACGAGGCAAATGTCACAGGATAAATGTACTGAGTAAGAGGCCCTAATCCGGAATGGGCACAAAATCGTGGCAAAAAGTTACTCTGGTGAAATCCTGCGCATGCAAATGCTCACAGGCGACTTTTCTCGTCTTTCTATGTGTGTGACGCAACTGCCTCCGCATCTAGGCCTAGAATTCAGCACGGTTTGCTCCCAAGCATACTGAGAACGAGAAAAGCCAATCGACTGTTTTCCAAAAAAAATGATTTGATTTCCAAATATGCAATTTTTTTTTTCGACAGCAACCTTGAATATAATGGTTGTACGTGGGTGATTCAAGCCTGTACTCATGGCCAATGTTGTTTGGTTGCATGTAAAATTTAGTTTTGTCATGAGATATCAAAAAAATATAAAATAAAAAGGTTTATGTCACCGCGAAGTTTGCTAACTGACCTATCTAAACAGTATAATAAAAATGAGAGAGGACTTGTTTACCTCAAACTGCTGGGCCAGTTCTGCGTACGTGTGAAATACTCTTCCGTTTACATCATCAATAACAAGCTCGTTAAGGCTGAAGGAAAGACCGGAGTAATAATTGTATAAACCTCGATTTAGAAAATAATTTTTAATCCAGGATACAGTATATGAGGCAGGATTATATTTTAAAGCAAAGACGTAACGCCTAGAGGGAATTTTAAAGAGATGTATTTGTAGATATATTTCCTAGCAACACCAAATTCTAATTTTGTAACTTTGATCAATTTTGAATCAAGATATCGATTAATGTAGTTCAGTGGCGTAGAAAAAGCGGGGTCAGAGAAGGCAAAAAACGACCCTGTAAAGCTAAACTGTTATTCTGTGGAAAAATTTATCATACTGTCGGAAATATAACATGGTTGCCTTTTTTGCCAGGGAAGGTTTGTGCTACATTTGAGAGAAAAGGTTAAAAAAACGATTTCTGCCGTTGTTTTGAATCAGAATGGAAATATCTTTCAACTAGGCATTGTGCTAAAAATGCAAGTAATATAATTTATCACACCAGACTCTGACAAAATGATAAGAGTTTATCTCCTGTTTTATTTCAGTACCCATGTCGTTACGTTTTGCTCAAAGTTATGAAAAATAAATGCTTATCATATTTTTGTCGGCAAATTTTAATTTCTCGCCCCTCCTTGAATATTCCTATCTACACCACTGATTTAAATACCAGATACTCTATAATGATTGAACAGTACCGGTCTCTTATTGAAGAATGCTATCAAAACAACATTTTGGCAAGTACAGAGAACTATTCACTTTCTACTTTTACAAAATATAGGACATTCATATCATAAACAGACAAACAGAATATTGCTAGCCAAACCAAAAACATAATTGCAGAAACAAACTATTACCAGTCGAATCCAACTGCACAAACCGGAACTCCACAACTGAACATATCGACAACCTATCGAAAAACAAGGTCTCTTAACGCCAACACTTTTAAGAGAAGAGATTTTAATATATGTTTCAAGGGAAGAGATTTTTAATAAATGTTTCAAGGGAAGTGTTTTTTGAACTATCATTGGTAAGGCTAATACGAGATGTAGATGTCTAATATTGATAGAGAAATGATCATGTATAATTATGTTACTATTAAGGAGTAAACAAAGATGATGATCAGGCAGAAGTACTCCGGTCCCAAGGTGCTTTGGGTGGTTATCATAGGTTAACATTCATTTTGAAATCGAAACATATTTACATAAGGCCACTAGACTTTTTGCAGTTGAACATGGCAAAAACTACTAAGTTTTCTGGTAATCACTACAGAAGCTGGAACCTCTAGCCTTAACTATAGAAGAAACAGTAAAAGTAAAGCTGTATCTCAAAATAGGGTATGCTAGATCATAAACCTCTAAGAAATATAGTTGATTATGATAAAATTATCTTCAGATGTAGACGAAAAAAGAGACAAAATAGCAGAGATTTGAAAAAAATATGATTTGGCTGAATAAATTAAAAGGAACATATGGGTAGCTTTCAAGTACGGTACCTTCATTGGAAGATCCAGTCCAGAAGAAGACGTATGCAGGCACACACCAAGATCTGCAGCGCCTGGTGAAAAATATAGACTTTACAAAAACGTATGGATTTTGCCTACTTAGATATAGTAACAAATCGTGGATAGCAAAAGCCTTCAAATCATTAATGTAAAACCCATGGGTGCTTTTTATAGATATGGAACACAAGGGCTCATGTCTTGAACTTAAAAGTGGAGAGGCCACAGCATAAAAAAGTTTTCGTTCTCAAATATTAATAATGTACTTTACTGAACAGTGAGCCTACCACAGCTACTGGAACGTAGAACAGCCACTTGGAGGCTTATGTGGTTAACGCTTAGAAAAATATCTAACTAATCTTTTATTGCACACTAAAAATAAAGGAAAAACAACAGGCTTTTGCCTAAGAGACAAACTAAGTCATATGGAATGGGCTTAACGTTGTCAACAGAAAATCACTAGGGACATTTTACACAGTTTACCACATGGAAAAGATCGATAGCAGTACCTATCATTTGTTGATAGTCTTCGGCTGAGAACCAAGGAGTAACAAAGGTCACATTCTCAAATTTCTTCATGTTGATTTGATTCACATAGTAATCCTTTAAAGGGCCTTTACCTGGAATGCGAAAAATACAGCATGAAAAGCGTTAGTAGCCACTAGACCACATAATGACAAATAATCATAACAAAATAATAATTGGGTTTCGCTTTGTCCACGTTGGAAATCTAAATAAATTCCTGGTGGGTTATAATGTCTTTTCTGAATTTTTGTTGTTGTATTTGTTTCTACCTAGCATCCGAAGGTAGTTTTTAGGACACTGAGAAGCTTGTGCTTATCAAGCAGTGTCCTGGCCCTTCCTCTCTATGTGACCACACCTCATGATTCCTATGCCTCAAATTACAGAGAGCTGGCGACTCTTCTCACTCTGGGTGAAAGTTTGGTCATGCCAGGGGCTCGAACCATGGACCCTTGGGTCTGTAGTCAGCGCCTCTAAAAACTGAGCCATCCTTTTTTGAATGACCATTACGTCTAAGTTGGATATTATTACAAGGAGATTGGTATTAGTTTCTTCTTTTAAGTAAAAGATCAAACATGGAAAATTACAAAATAAAAAATAGGAAGTAAAAATAAACCTAGGTTGTGATGGAACGGGATAGATGTTGCACCGCTTGAATTTAACAAAGTCAGGACCATTTTGCATTGGAACAGTTCGTCAATATTTGGTAGATAGATTTGGCTCGAAATTTCATCACATTATCCCCAATCTTATTAAATAACGGTTGATGCAAAGTTTAGCCAAGAGAACATTGAATTGGTATCTTTGCTGAAGCACAAATTTGGTTAAATGAAAGACACAAGTCTACTTTCATTCAATTACGAGAAGCGCACAGAAAATTAAAGTAGCAATACCACATCATATCGCTTAGAATTAAAACCTACTAAACTCAACTCACGATTATACACAGAATCTCAACACTTCACAAAAAATCAGTTCCAAAATAGGGAAATGATGAAACATGCTAACGATGGGTATAGCAAATGTGAACTGGGCTCTAGCTTTGTCGTGTTACACACTTTTCAACATACATACACAGTTTCAATACACACGTTCATTTTATCAACAATTTGAAAGAGTGCAAAGAGGTTGATAAGAACCACAACAATTATCAACTAGCTTATACATAGAAAGGCCACCTGTAAGGGTCTTCAAGAAAGATTCAAAAACCAAAGCATCTTTAGAAAATGAGAGTTTATCTTTACAAAATACCAGATTGAGGTATAATGGAAAAACAGCATCAAAACTTATGTTTCGTCTGATCCTTTGAAGAATAACACAGTCACCAATATCACCAGATAATTTTCACAATAATAAACGTACCAGTGATGACGCAAACAATCTTTGGCAAAGTATTGTCCATCTCTTTACGAAATTCATACTCTGAAATAAAACGTTATTTGAATAAAATACTGTTTGAAGACAGGAAAGAATATTATCAAAAGTGACTTTATCCGGGTATAACTTCAGTCAAATCGTGGTTTATGATTAAAAACCTTTTCATGCAAGCGATGGTAATTATGAAGAGGGTAGTTGGGGACAACAATCAGATAGGACAGGGTAAAGTTTTCTGAAAAGTCAGATATATTGGCCTGGGAAGTGGAAAAAAACTAAGAAATTTAACAGAAGCTTTTTATATAAAAAAATGTCCAAGCTGCCTGGATTTCTGTTTGTTTTGAACTCCTTTTCGTGGTTCTATGTGACTTCGATTTTGGTGCTACATTATACAGCCAACGCATTCATATTGTAGCAATAAACATGTGAAAATATCATAACATTAATCTAAATTAATCTTACCCTCTAAGGCAGCTAGTAAGATACCAAAATCTTCGTCCTCTAAAAAAAGGAAATGGACTGTCAGAACTTCAGAAGGACTTGAGAAAAGTTAACACTGTAGAAGACATACATTGATACATACAACAGTAAATGGATTATATAAAAAAGTATATGAAAAGTCTTTCAAGTTACATAATAAATTGTAAGAAAAAAGATTATTAATACGAAATGTTACATTTCTGTTTACAGAAAGTATATTCATATCACAAATTAAACTTGTAGTAGATGTGCGAACAATGTCACGCAAATGTTCGTCCGTGAGTTTAGATTGTGGATTTGACTTGTTCAGCTTAAGAGAAAACACTTGCTTTTAGATTAAACCTGTTTGCCTAATAATGACAAATTATTTCTAATAATGATAAATTATGACTTATAACAAATTATAATAATTTTGGCAGAAATGGCACTTCAAAAGCATAATGTTTTCAAATTAAATCTTTATTTGACTACAGGCCCCTCTTCGTGTGTGTCAAGAGTCTATTAGTACATAACTCTAAATTTAAAACAAGGGGTGACAAATTTGACGTTACCTGTCCAACTTGTGCTGCTTATAAGCAAAAACGGTCTATCTTTTTTAAGCTGTGCGGGAAATCCTGGCTCTTTAACAGTAAATGCAGTTACCTCAACACCATTATTTGTTTGTCTATAAAAAATTCAAATGGTAAAGAAAAACTGAAACTAAAGATTTTATGATGAAAAGGAAAGAATTAGGAGGTAACTGATGAACAAAGCCATAAGATTAAATGATTGTTGGAGGATGTAATGACTTTTGCAGGGCTGGGCGGCACAGAAGTTTAATTGAACATAGAAGTATATCTGAGAATTTTAACAGACAAAACTGGAAATCAAAATCGAGCATACAATTGGTGAGTTTTCAGAAGCCTAAAAATTCTTATTGAAATATTTCCATTCAAAAAAGTTGTATTTATGATATTTGAAACTAAAATTTTGGCAAAATTGACCTGTTTGTCAGGATTGTTTGTCAGCCTTTACTAAAAGATTTATATTTACAAAACTATTCATTACCACCCTGTCAGCATTTGAATTATTTAAACTAAAAGCTTCAATAAAGACAAAAAACATCAAGGAAAAAGGAATTTCCTCATCTATCTCAAATTTTCTTTGCTCTTGTGATATGACTAGGTTGAACAACAGAACAGATATGACCACATTTGACTAATAGGTCTAAAGAATTACTTTATCAGCAGATACATGCAACATTTTACATTTCTAAAGAACCATTTTAAGATTGGAAAGATGTTTACATTATCATTTCACAAATTCAAGGAGACATTCCAGAGATGCAAATTATGTTTTACTTTGATCAATGTGTATAATAGTGAATAATTTAGTAAATTATGAATGTTTGGCAATGCCACCAAAAATCTAAATTGAATTGCATTACAAGAAATAATAAGCAGATGAGTATTTCAATTCTATAATCTAAACTCTAAGCACTGAAATTGCAAAACAAACTGCAGATAGGAGACAAAACTTTTTGGTAACTACAAAATAATTGTACCTGCCACAAGAAAAAGCTTCTTTATGTTCAGCTGCTAGTTTCATGAAGAGCTAGAATTGGGCAAAAAAAGAGACTTTAGACAAAAAAGATGTAAAATGTATAGGAATATCAGTCATGAACTATACTGTTTACCCATTTGTCAAAGATTCTTCATGCAATATAGGCAGAGCTGTACATGCCTGTATAGAACAGCTGTATAGAACATGATGGTTATAAGTTGTCAATTCCAGTATCATGCTTAATGTGATCACCACACAAGGGTCTTACTGATTCTATATGGGCAAAGGTGTATATATATGTCTGTATATTCCAATATATCAATATTCAATGTGCCAAAGTTTTGATATACCAACCAAATGAAAATCATAATTCATAATTAAATTTCCTTTAAAGGTAATGTGTCCATGTAAAAGTGATGCGTAAACCCAACTTGTCAAGCAACATAAACATAACAACAAACAATTGGTCAGCAGTGTAGATAAACAGAACGACCCTAATGGCTGGAGTGATGACATGAAAAATCATGTTTCTGGAAACCCCTGCAGAGTTGCTTGCTTTAGCTGGACACATAGCCTTTAAAGTTTACAAAAGTAGTATGCACCTTATGTTTTTCCTCTATGCTTGTTTTTCTATACCGAGCAACAGGCCGATCATACAGTACTGATGAGCTGTACAAAAGAAAGTCAGTCCTAATTTGTCATGCTGGCCAGCTCTAAAGCTTGGTAAACTTATATGCTCAACATTCAAAACTTCATATTGTGATAACCATCAATTGATAAAATCTTTTTAAGCTGGCTTAACATGAATTAGCTAAACTTTTTTGCCATCTTTAATGAAACCCTTTTCTCAAGCAATAAGTAGCATGGATTTCAAATTTGCTTAGCAAATTTTCAAACACCCAAAGGCAGAGCAATGCGACAGCAAACTGAGCTTCTAAATTTCTAAATCAAATCTTTGGCAAGGCCATTTAAAGATGTGATGTGCTTTGGAAGTGCAGATTATAAATTCTGTTGACAGTGGGTGAGGATGCTAACATGGGTATTTGTATGACAAAAAACAGTTGAGTTTTGTCTGAAAATTCTAATTCTAGCAGCAAATACAAGAACGCGAAATAGAGTAGAAAGGGTATCAGCTTAAAAAAAACTCAAAATAGAAAATACTTTAAGAAAAAGAAGATGAGCATAAATTTTTTTCAATATATATATGCAATAACTAGACAGTCTTGGGCTCTTTGAAGACAATCAGAAGAGGAAACAAGACAAACACAAGTGGTAACCAAAAGAGGCAGGAAAAATGAGTTGCAGACTGCCAAAATTTCTCCTCCTTTTTTGCTAGCAGTGCCACTGTCCATGAGAATTCCAAATACAAATAATCAAAGTGTTAAGATCAAGAAAAATATGAAAATATAATATTATTGGTTTGAAAAACCCAAGAAGTTAGTGAAAAGTTTCTTCTTATGTTTACCTAACATCCCATCTGCTTCTGAGATCATTCTGCATTGCCTTGGTCACACAAAAATTTGCATGTGACTTTCTGCCAAAGAATCCCTCGTACCTAAATAAAAAGATAAGCATAAACATAAAACTCATTAAGTATAAATATTGGTAGCTAAGAATAAAAAAGAGTGAAAATCAATTGACATGAACGAAAATCTAATAAATGGAACTCAGCAGAAGTACATTACCATTTGGCAAAATTGACTAATAGAGCTTTGTCACTTTTCAAGTTCATGCTCAGTATAGTGTACCCATAATTGTGCCAGTCAATTACAAAAGAACTTCCTTTGATGCAGCAAACAAACCACACCACTGCTAATGTTGGTATTGAAGGTGGATTCTGCAAAGAAAACACAAAACAACATACATCACTCCTACATATAATCTTGAACAATTGATCTACAATTAAGTCCAAATATTCAGCCTGATGTTAAGTACATTAAAGAGTTACAGAAATCTAGGCTAAAGCAATAAAATTAGTTTTAGGATAGAGTGATTAGGAAGGAGCTCTCTAGAGAAGTAAAGAGAAAAATGAGACAAATATATTGTCTGAAGGATTAAAAATAGTGCAAACTTGTGGGTTAGACTAAAAAAGCAGAGTTCAACCAGGGTTATAAAAATAAACTTGAATTTCTATATGTTTGGTTGAAGTAATGAACTCAGTTTTGTGCATTGTTATACTAAGGAAGTTCAAATTTCAACTTTTCAGTCAAAAAGACAAATTTTTCTGGACAGAATCATATTCAGCATCACCTTTTTTTCCACTGACAGTATACTTTCAACTTTGATTATCCTATCTGACTTCTTTTTAAAATTTCTGAAGGACATTTGTTAAATAAAGAATATTCAAGATTAATATGTGAAATACTGCAGACAGCACAAAAAACAGGGCAAGTATTATCTAGCATAATAGTATACATCTTGCCACATGGCTATTAAGATATATGCAAAGTAAAAATAAACAAAATAAAACTTTTAACTTACCTGCACAAGCATGTGACTACATTTGTCAACTTTGAAAATGAGATAGTAAAATAATGAAATTGACTGGAACAGTGCCTTTATCAACAGGAAAACTTTGTGTGGTATCCCTAAATGACAAGGCACAACTTTATTATGACTAGCAGGAAAAAATTGATGAAAAATAATGCAGCAAATTATTATTTTGCAAAATATATATATTCAAATAAAATTAGTAGATTCATATATTGTCCTAGGTTTGGCTTCATGAGAGTAAATGTCAATTATATTTATAAGGTTTACATTACATTAGCCTCAAACCAGGCTGCAATCCATGTAGCTTACGCCAAATATATCTATAGACTTCACCTTGGCAGTTGGGTGGTGTAAAGATGAATGGGCTGGCTACCTTTGCTAGGTCAGGGTATGAGCTATAAACAGCTGTTGTTGACAAAAAGACCCATGGCAAAGATTGTCTTCAAAAGGGGCATTTTCTGATATTCCTTTGCTCAATCTGCCATTGCCCCAAATCTTACCACCCTGACTATAATACTGCTTTTATTCATTGTATAATGCAATTTTTGGGGGGCAATTAGCTGCTCAATCTTCCTTTCCCCCCAATCTTACCACCCTGAATACAATACTGCAGGCCATGCTGGGAATAAAATGGTAGGGGTGCAATAAATCACACTCCTTGTGGTGCTAAGGCGTGCGATGGTGTGCTATTGCACCAAAGTACTTAATAGTACATTCATCTGTATATAGACTAGACTACATAACTCTATCGTAAGAGAACATAAGACAAGGCTAGTCCAATCAATACATTTTTATTAGGCAACCTTTATTAACGACAAATCCAACTATTAAAGAGAACAACATTAACAATAAGGTAGGTTATATAATTAATATGTAATTCCACAATTTTTAAACCCTGCTCGTCTGCTTCTGCTAAAGAAAGTTAATCTGTTGACTAATGTTGGAACGAAATAAATTGTTAATTACACCTTTTTCTATTTTAAAAGAAAACTACAAGCTAAAGCATCACAAGTCATACATTTCATAAGAATCAAAATTTAAAATTTTTGTTGTAATTTTTCATACGCCTGTGTAAGTTTCTAAATATTGTTGGCCTTTTACCGGTTCCTACAAAGCACTTTCTTATAAAAAATTGTGTGTATATATGTAGTAAAAATTCTATTCCATTGAATCATCATTTTCTTCGCTGTCCGAACAAGAAGATTCTGATTCAATGTTAAAGTCCGAGTCGCTGTCGTCACTGCCGGAATTGTCTTCCATTGCAGAACATTGAGCCAGCGCATTTGTAGATGCAATATTTTCGGCATCTGTGTTTTTGCTTGTGAAAACAGCTGTTCTCCTTTTTTGCATGTATGCATCCACCGCACGATTGATAACCATTGCCTTTTCCTCTCTTGACCAATTTTTGTCGTTGGAAGCAATAATCATGCATTTTTCCATCATGTCGTGTGACATTCCAAGGCGTCGGTCAGAAAGCACTAGAGAAAGAATGTTGAAACACCTCTCCACTGAGGAATTAGATCCTGACATGCACAAGGCTAATTCTACCAATAATGCCATATTGGGGAACTCTTCACGTCGGAAACCGAGCATCTTTTCCCAAAATTGCAAGCACTCCATCTTTGAATACAAGGATCGTTGTAGAATTTTGACAGAGCGCCACTCATCAAAAATTTTAGATTTTTCAAAGCCAGCTGCTGTCAATGGGACATCAAATTCAACACACAACCTGTTTATCTCTGCATTGCCATACATCTTGTTGCTATTGTCCCAAAGTTTTGGGTCTAGCCAGACTGTTGCTCCAAAAATTTCCTGATCGTATGTGGAGAAGCGAGTGTCAATTTTTGGACGTAGAATGTTAGCAGCATCTTTTCTTATCTTGACAGCTTTTTCTATGGTGGCGAAATCAACATCGGTCATCTGCTCCAGATGAACATCAATGTATTCACGATTCTGGGGCTTTCGCTTTTCGTGCCCAGCTTTGGGGAAATTTGCTCTGAGAGTATTTTCGTGACCATGGGCAATTTTGTATTTTGCCAAGTAACTGGACAAAGGTAGGTCTTCAATACAGGCCTGGGAAATCTCTTCAAGTGCATCCATCGTCTTTTCTACAGATGCTGGTATTTCATAAGCCATCAGCTCACTCCTTTCGAAAACCAACGAAAGTGGCCCTAATGTTTCAAGAACATCCAAGTATCCAGCAGCATGGCAAAGAAATTGATAACTTCTCAACTTCTTCAAAAATCCAGTGAGTTTTGCTTTTGTTTCTGGACGGTACCCTTTGTTGGCAGCTAGTGCATTATTAAATGCTGTGGTCAATGCGGGCCAGTTGTTAAGCAGTTTGGCAAATCCTCTCCTTCGATGGTTCAGGAAACGTGTCCCATGAATTTTGGAAAATTCATAATGAGTTATGTTAAGTGCCTCGCAAGATTTTTTTATTTCTGCTTTTAGCTTACCAGAATTCTTTAACAGTGACCACACGTCTTTATAGAAATCATCAACTTTTTTGAAAGGCTTAAAGCCTTTTACAACATCCTTTAAAGCAAGCTCAAGTCGGTGGTTAACACAGTGGATGGTTACAAGCCATTCCCTCTCATTTTTCATTTGGGTCAGAACTCCGGAATATACCCCAACATTGACATTTGCGCCATCTGCAGTTGCACACATAACCTTGGTCTTGTAGTCCGCCAGTGGTACAGGACCATCTTGAACTTTACCACCATCACCCTCACAAAAAATGCCGTCAATGGCAGCTTTAATGGAATCAGCGTTTGCTCCACCCAAATCTGACATTTCGAGCAACGACATCACAAAATACACTGGGATGCCATTCCTTGCTGTCCTGACAAGAACAAGTTCCTTTTCGTCCTTTGTTTTTCTTGCTTGAGAGCCATCAGAAAGTATGGACATAAAATGGCTGCTTGCAATGATTGCTGCGCATTTTTCTTTTATCGCTCCGGCAATGCAGTGAATAAATTCACGGGCAGCATGTCCCCCATCTTTGCCTTCAACCAACCTGATTCCATTTGCACGTTGGCATTTTACAAGCACTTTGAAATGCTTGTGCGGCATTGAAGGTGTTATAGCCATTTCATATGCAGTCCTCATCAATTTTGTGAAAGCTTCTCTCCCAGAGTCATTCAACGACAAGCTTGGATGTGTCCAGCCGTTGCTCTGGGTTTTGGCGATTGTCAAGCATCAATGCAATCTTATGTGCTTCTCCAAGCAAATGGCGATCCACCTGCAGAAAAGTTTTGTTACATTTATTTCAAAATATTTTTATTAGAAACTTAATAAATTTTTGGAACTTTTGGAACTAAAATAAGGTCAGAATTAAGAAACTTCTGCTCCGTGATAACATAGCTATACACAAGAAACTATTTATAATAAACACATTGATAGAAACTCGTTTATAAAAATATGATAAGATATCGTTATTATAAAACTCGCAGACATCAAACAACAATAAAATCGAAATAAAGTCTTAAGAACGATTATCAAATGTGTCAAACTTATCGATTATGAGTGCCAACTAGCTGTTTCGAAACAATTCGACCCCCAAAACAGCTTGATCCTTAGCCCAGTCCTGAATTTATTTGTATTTACCTGATACTTCGTCACAACTTCGGTACCATCCGCAAAAGCTCTAACGGCCGAGACAGCTGCCCCTTTGATTGTTGGATGACTGACAATCTGATCTCTGTACTTCGAGCACAATTTACACCATGTCCGTGTCACATATTGCTTGGAGTCGAAAATCTCAATCTTATGTCCGATGATTTCGCTTTTCCCCCATTTTAAGAAAGTGTGCAGTTCCTTAATGGTTCCCTTACTTTTCTTCACTGTCGAAGCCATATTGGTACGGTAAGATACACTGTTCTTTAAGAAATCAACTCAAAAATGATAACGGCATCAGAATACACAATAGTTATGAACTGAATTCAAAGCCGAGAGGAAACTGACTCAGGGAAAAAGGAAACTGCAAAATCACAATATTTGTGAATTTCACACTTATCGTGATTTGCATTAACAATCAGAAAGGCGGCGACTATACTGCTTCTTAAGCCAATTAGAACATTTCCCAAATTCCCCGTCAAACAGAAATCAAATAGAAACGATTGCGTGATTAGCACCGTTCGTTGATAGTTGAATTATGATAAAAAAATAACATTGGGCAATATTGGTCACTTTAGGGCGTTTAAGGCGTGCGATAAACTGCACTTCTGAGCAATGGAAGGCGTGTGCCAAGGCGTGGGCGTGCGATCGCACGCCATTCCCAGCATGGCCTGATACTGTTTTTATTCAATGTGTAATGCAACTTTTTGGTGGGGCACATAGCTGTCAAATCATGGTACTTCTTTATACTGGCCAATATCCAGTGTGAGAGTTATGTGGATTCTACCCTAGACCCCAAAGGATAGAGCAAGGTGTAGAATTACCAAGTATATATGTGCAGTAAAAAATATCATCATAAAATTTATTTCAAAGTTTAAAAAACCTTTTATTTTCGCTGGGCAATTAACCAGATGGTGGATCTTGATGTTCTTGTTTTGTAAAACTTCTGGAGCTGGTGATGAACCTGAGTCAAAATATTTAAACTTTGAAGAACTAAGTCTTAACAAGAATAAAGAATTAATCAAAATTTCATTCATTAATAAAATTCAATCCATTTTTCATTTAAAGAAATTTATTTACATAAAAGCAATGACAGAAATAATTGTCATCTAAACTTTCTAAGCAGAAAAGGTATTACATTTTAAAAAATTTACAAGTTTACTAAACCTTTTGGACATGTGGAAGAAGCAAATCTTAACTATCGATAGTTATATCTGATATATCTGAGGCCAGAAAGAAAATGTACAAAAGGCTAGATCAAAGTTTCAACTCCTGAGATATTTTAACTTATTCAACCAAAGAAATCAATAATTTTTACAAATCAGGCAATAACTGAGGGTAAAGCAAATCAAATATATCTTACCGGAAAGTCCAACAAAATCAACTTGAAAATCAAATTCGGCAAGAGATATTGCGTGATTTTGCATGCGTGGGCTTCGACCTATATCACCAATGACTAAAACACAAACTCTTTTTGATTTCTTTAGCCTGAATATCATACAAACTATCATAATTATCGCTAGAATTGATTGCACTACAGCAATCAGACAAACCATAGCATAAAGTGCGTCCTCCATTTTGACAAAAACACGATCATATTACTTTGCCTCCCTGTGTTCCAAATATCAAAGCGAGACCGATTCATGCCTAAAGGGGCTGCCACGCCCACCCTTCGAGTCACCCCGACAAAATAAGTATCTACTTTGTTCGGTTGCTCCCGTCGTGAGTGTCCCTGTTGAAAAAGAGAGACTTAAGAAAGGTCTCCGGGAGTTCATTGGGCTGTGGTCATTTGCATAACCTGAAAAATTGGAATTCGTTCTCTCTCTACTTTATTTGAAATTTGAAAAGACATAATCAAAACTTTGTTCCTAAAGAGAAAATCACATGAAATCAACAAAAAAACTCAGAATAAGCCTATGTTATTACAGGCGAGAGAAAAATGACTTAAATCCAGAGATGAAGATGCGCAAATTTGTTCCTGCTCTAGGGGAATGGGTGTCCGGGGGAAAGTCGAATGACTTCAATTCTTCTTTCTTTTTATTTCATTTGATTAATTTTTTAGGATGATTGCCCTTCAGCAGGAGCTTTCCAATAAAAACTTTCAATTTACAAAAGAAAAATACCATACTAAATCAATAAAAAATGAGTATATACATCACTAGAGAACTAAATCTAATAATTTTATACCTCTTCTAGATAAATGCTTTGAAGGCACTTAGAGTGCTTTGCTTTTTTGAGGTTTGGACCCAAATGAGAGGATTTTCCAATCCAAAGTGTTGCTCGGCTGGAAGAAAAGCACTTTTGGACATTTGCTGACTTCTTAATGGGGAATCTCAAGCAGGGGCGAAACTTCACTATTTTCATTAGGGGGGTATGAAGCTTGGATGCCCGAAGAAAGGGCGTGGCATGCTTGATGAAAGGGCGTGTCATACATGAACTTTATTTTTAGAGCACATCGCCTCAAGGGCTGAAATCATCGGGAAGCCCGAGAGAGGGTCTTTAGACTCAGGCTGTTTGTTTAAAGTCAAGAAATATGCCTCTAGTTTTTCTGGTGTTGGCTATAAACATTTGTTTCCGAAAAGCGAGCATTTGTAAGGCCTGTCTTTTCTAGAAGATAGTCTTCACTTTCTAAATCACCTAGCTATTAAAAGAGCAATTCAAAAAAGGGGATTGAAGTAGGGTCTCAATTCTATCAAAGTGGAACGCCAAAACAAAACACGAAATTTAGCAACAGCTACGCAGATTACATTGTTTCAACAAAAAAGAGCTTCAGTTGCATTTTCTAAATTTCATTTTCAATTTTCGGTTGCTCCGGAGGCAATTTCAACATTATTAGACGCCTAAGCACAAAGTACGTATCTCTAAATTCACCATAACAAAATCCCTCAAGCAAAGGAAAGTTTTTTATTGGAAGTATTTTACAGGTACACCTATCATTAAAGCTCAATTTTTGTGTTTTCGTAATCATGGATAATGTTCAGAAATAGAATAAACACGAAACTTTTTTGCAATTTATATCTTAACTACATACAATTTTTTGATAAATTTTATATTATTTCCCGCTTGAACTGATTAAAACTTTCTGTTACTTTTTACGGTTATTCGAATTTTTTCAGTTAAAATACTTTTGCGTCTGTATGACCATTTTCTAGCGAAGGGTGTAATACTTTCGAACTGTAAGTGTAAATCTTTAAGAGAATTTTGGGGCATAACTCCTTATGAATGTATGATTAATGTTTCATGCATTTTGAAAAGAAAGTATTGATCGACTTTTCTCAACAAAGTATTCCGAGATGGTATATCCTTCATGCTTTGATTTATGATGCTTCTAAAACTGTCAGTGTTCCATGGGCTCCGAGGCAGAATGGAATCACAGCAAAAGATTTTGAAAAGAGCTCTCTTGTTTTGCAAAAAGTAGGGGGAGGGGTATGCACAGTGTTCTCTTCCTTCTCGCATCAAACACACTTTACTTTTCGTCTATACTTTCGCTGTCGATCAATACTTCAGACTTCATCTCGAGGCGAAGATAAACTTATGCGTGTCGAGCTAGAGACGAAAGCGCTGATCGGTGGACGAAAGACAGAAATGTATATATGTTGCTGTTCCTAGCCTCGTTTCTGTTTTGTTTTCCCAACTGGGAGGAGATTGAAAAATAGATGGGGGAAAAGACCACAAATTCAAAAACCAAGCTAGGGCAAAAAGTAGCAATATAAGTCCGACCTAAAGAAAATCTCCAGATTTGCCCGACAGATACACTGGCAGCCATAAATTTGCCCGAAAAAATCTGCTTTTTTGAAGATTGGGGGGGTGCAGCACCCCCCATACCCCCCAGTAGTTTCGCCCCTGGTCTCAAGTCTGTCTCTGTAATGTGGGAACTTCGAGAAGTGAAAATTTTGATAAACCTGTACACAAATACTATGGAACAATCTCATGTTGAAGTGTTTAGACCATGAATTTTAGATTCACTATTTACAAGCGCCTCAATGGTTTTCCAAGTTCATTGATAAGTCAGTGCCGTCGGAACGAAATTCATATTGGTGGAGTACCTTTGCAGTCAATATAGAGAGAGGCAACAACTACGCTCTTTATTAAAAGAAGCCACCCTCGAAATTTAAAAACAAAATCGTTTTGAGTCCAAATATGTTCTTAGATATATCCTTATTTCCTCGTATATGATATGGTCTCAGGAGGAAATCACTTGCTCTCGAATAGAAAACACATATTTTGAAAAGTTAAATTGTCAGTTTTGCGATCCTCTGTTGTGAACATTGCAAAGAAGCAACTGCTGAAAAACACGCACGCTGAGCCAAAGGTCAACCTGTCATTAGATTTTAGGCACGACTTTTTCCCTCCCCAATTTCTCCCAAAAAACAATATCCTGTCTTCTTCTGAGAAACGTCGAATTTTCAATCCTGACCGGTATAATTCTTTGTTAAACTTGGTCTAGGAGATGCTTTTTTAGCCTTTCTAGAAGGAATGATTTCAAAATTTTTCTTTCGCGTCGGACCCAACCATGGTGAGTCCACCTATATCAATAAACTTAATTTTTACCCAGGTTCACTTTCGTGCTGCCGTCTCTGAAAAATGTTATCCATCAAATTATATGAAAGTCAAAGTACTAGAGAACATCTTCTATAGAGCTGAACAATTCTAAGCAAATTCAATAACCTTGATTTTTTTTAGATCGTGTATCCCTCAAACTGTTTCAATAACATAACATATACCAAAAGTTGCTTGGTGGTGCCATGACCCCACTGCACAGTTTATATTCATTTGCTCTGCTGACCCCCCCCCCCCCCCCCCTTTGACATGATAGATTTACGGCCCTGAACCTAGGTACTCAATCTTTGGGACCAATTCTAGTTCATCATCATGAACATTTTATGCAGATTCTCACCCCAATCTTTAAGAATTTATTAGTTTTGTTTTGTTTGGTAGTACCCTAATTCAGTTGGGTCATGTTGTACGATTGTATACAAGGACACATGAGAACTTGCAACAGCCTGTGAGACATCCTTTAGATAAATGAGAAATAATGAGAGAGCAAGGCAAGAGCCTTGTGACACACGTACATATCTATGTTCTCTAAAGTTGAATCGGCGATATATGATAGATTCTGATTAAGTGAAAAATTCTCAAATAATTCTCAGCTACTAACTACTCATGCTTTTATGACTCTCGTCTTTTGCCTATTTCGGAATCTTGAAAATCGGCTTACTGCTGTCATAAGAACTTTTTACAAGATTTGAGTTAATTTCGTCATGAATAAGGCACTGCAGACAGGATTTCATATGAATCTCTTTGATATCCTGTCAAAGGCACTTTTATGGAAAAGGCACTTTGGTCTCTTTGTGCCTGACCCTCTTATCAAAAGACAGGGGGCGCGTTTGCCCCCTCTTCGGCGTATTTGCTTGCTACGAAGTTAGTGGAAAGCTTTTTATTGTTAACCTTCTGTCCGTTTTGTCGAACATTTTGTAATTTCTTGCTAGTATGTTCCCTGATAAAGACCTTAGTGTTTTAGTCAGAAAACGTGATTTGGCATCCTGACACATAAATAAGTAGCAATAGTTGTTTTGTGAATTTGATTTCAATCAGTGATTTCAACCTTACTACCCAAAGGTACATTTTGGAAATTGTTGGGGGGTGTAATAGGGTTATTTTGCCAAATGAATGTATCCACCCTATCATTATCTTCGAAACTAAATGGTTCTTCCATCCATGAGAAAAGAAACAAATAGACACAATGATAATGTTGAAACGTCTTTCTTCAGATCAAACGATCTTTCCGCGATAAAAGGTTCTATAAATATAATGTTTCTCTACGGTTGTCCCGTAATGTTGACTCGTCCTCTTAATGTCAGGCACAGTCTTTCTCAAGCACTGTCCTCTCAAATATGTCAAATAATCCACAATAATCGTTTCGCGCGATGTCTTAAATAGCTATACGTGTCCTATAAATCCATAATTTATGCCGACAAGATCATTCACAAGCATCTTGCCACATAAGTGAAACGTCGAGAACCTAAATATACAAAATATCAAAACTTAACCTAATCGCTCTTAACCGAATTCCATTTCCAACTTCAACTCCAACTCCAACTCAAAAACTAACTCTATATGTAACACGCCCAAAATATAACTAAACAAGAACTTATTGTAATGCTACATAGCTACGTAAATTTACATAATAATAGTGAATACAAAATATATTAGTCCCAAGATTAATTACATAAACTGAATAATGATACTAAAAATCCCAAAAGAAATAGTTAATGAATCTAAAGGTGCAATTAGAAAACAAAAGGAATTATAAACAATCGAATGTGCGAACGGTGATAAAATTATTAAGGTTACAGGATGCAAAACAAAAGAAATCCAAACTAGCACTATTACAGGGGGGAGCGGATCCCCGCGCTTCCACGGTCCCGGGTTATATCAGTTGCATTATGGGAAAAGTGAATCATTCCCAGGTCCCAACTTCTTTCGGCAGATCATCTGGACAAAATGGCGTCTTTCGGAGAAACGTCTTTGAGAAACATTGGCTCATATATTGCCAAAAATGGATCTTTGTCAAATGCCGTTGATGCGATTTCAAGATCAGTAACTAGATATCAAGCGAAGTATATTCATTGCAAGAACGCACGAATGACTCCGTTTTGGCACGCAGTTGGTCTCTGCATTGCGTTGAATTATTACATAGAGTACCCACATTTGAAAAGTATGTCCTATGGTTTACGTTCTTTTTCATAGTCATTTCAAGTTTCGCTGAGACTTGTTGACAAAAATTTATTTACAACAATTCAAAATGTTCCTCTCATTAAAAACAAAAAGCGTGGTGCGAACTAAACATAGATGATATGTTGGGCTAAACAGTGAGAAACTGTTCGCATTATTTTCTACATACTACTTTTTGTCTGGATAAAAAGTATGGCGTCCTTCTTTGTTCCTCGACATTCGTAATGAAACAGTGACATTTTATGTGAAATTAAAGGGCCTTTGGCTCCACATTACCTCAATTTAAGGCTTAAAAGCACAAGCAAAATTTGCTAAATGGTCAGTTTAAACACAGATTTTAACATTTTTGTTGATTAATTTTGTCAATTGTTGGCAAATTTGTTTTGATGCTTTTGCTATCTGTTAACTGCCATACTCAACAGCATTGCAAAATGTCCCTGATCCAAAACTTGCTTGTGTCTGAGGAGCACAACAATTGTTTCATCCTAACCATTGTATTAGCTGTTGGTGATTAAAATTTTATTTTCTTACAGAACATGCAAGACACAGAAAATATCATTGAAAGTATGGAGTAATTGTCTCCCAAGTGCAGATGTCAACCAAGTGTGCATGATGGTTATGAAGAACTTTTGAATGTTATATGTGTATTTCTCATTTTTCAATGAAGTATGTTAAAAATGATCTATAAATTTTGTGTATTACTTAGGGCTTGTATTGCTCTATCCTGTGCTAGCGATAGATGAACTTTTCTTGACTGTCTTTCAATAAAAGTTATTAGAACCTGCATATCTAAGATATCACAGTTAGGAAGAAAATCGGCTTTGGATTAGAAATTTTAGGTTGGAAGTGCTGTCAACACATCTTTCTTTTTCTAAGCAATGAAGTCTTGAAAAACTGTTCGAAAGATTCAGCATTAGTATGCCCTCTAGTGCTGCATCTGTCCATGGTAGAAAGGCACAGAGCTGCTACTATTAGCTCATTGTTTGGTTAAATGTGTAGTTTCTTATTTAAAACTTTATCTTTGAGAAAACTTCAGGAAGTTCCTGTGAAAATTCCAAGGGCCACAGATGGGTGGTTGCTCATCACTGATTTAAAGCTTTATGTTTCTGTCTCAAGGAAAAGGCAGGAGACTATTTTTTGAAAGAGTTCTCATAATATTAAGTAGCACTGTATAATTGTCAATGAAAACAATTTGATATCAACTAAAAACCCATATACAGTCACAATGAAACTACTTAAGTTGAAACATGTTCACAGATATGCTTATCGCCTAATCTGCTTTAAAATAACATTCTAAACCGATTTGGTTCATAGGCTCTTGATTAACATTTTGGAGATTTATTTCAAAGTTAACATGCTTTTAACATGCTCTCCTTCATGTTAAAAATTAAGGGGGTTTAATTTTTGTAACCTGGAAGGAATATAAGAATGCAGAGATTGTTTGAGCTGCTTGAAAACTTTTCAAAAATTTGTTGTAATAAAAGGAACATCAAAGGGAAAGATTTCTGTTATCTCCTTAAATACTTCAAAACTTTATTGTAATGGTTTTTCTAATTTTCTTAGCTTCAAATAAATCTCCTGCCTAGAGTTTCTGGTTTCAAATTCAAAGCTTTCTGTGTATGTGATAGTGTGGGACCTTTACTAGTTTAATGTGTGTTGTTGCAGTAACACTGGGATGATTTGATGCTCTAACAACAATTTCCCAATTTCAAATTCTCTAAGAATAAGGGAGGTAATCAAATTCCTCCATATACAGAAATATGAACACTAAACTGAATTGAAAAAAACAAGTATTATAGAATTCTGAACAGATTTTTAAACACTGTGATTGGTATATACAGAATGATATACTAATTAGAAAATTTAACCACTCGAAACCATTTTGAATGATACTTCACAACAAACAGTTTGACATAATTTTTTGATTCATCTGGGCTTTTTAACTCCTTGATCTGCGACTTCTTTTTGGTTTAAATTCTTCCTCACTACTCTCACCCCTGTCATCGTGTTCAAAGTATGGCATTTTACTTCTTTTTTTTGGCTTAGACTCTCTGTTTTCTTTTTGTACAAAGCGCTGCCTTTTGCCTTTCTGCAGTTCTGGAGTGTATGTTAGCCTTGGAGCATCCCTTTTCACTCTAAAAAATTGAATGAAATACTTTCACAAAACCCATACAAAAAATTGATGGATGCTACCTGTACCTTTATGTCTTACTTGATATTAAATGCTTTAAAGACTCATTGCTAACCTTTCTGTCTTACTTGATATTAAATGCTTTAAAGACTCAATGCTAACAATGGGCCTTTGCGAGCATGGCAACGGTCCAAACAATGGAAGTAATTTTCTACCGATTAACCAAAATTGATTTTAGACAGTCTAAAAATGCATTATGGGATGCTTACGTAGCACAATGGCTCATTGTTAGCAATGAGTCTTTAATCAAAGTAAAAATTGATAAAAGACAAGTTTTCTTCCCAAACAAAAGGATTTATTGCTTTTAAAAACTACGAAGCCACTTCATAATTCTATTCAGAATACTATTGTACACATTATATATGCAAACTAAATGCGAAAATAGCACATAATTGAGGAAAATATCATGCTAAAGCCAATTCTGTTTGACACTCCTCAGGGAGAGTATAAACTTCAGATAATGACCAACGATAAACAGAAATTTACATCAAGGTGCAGATCAAAGTAATATGAGTTAAAGAATACTGCTTTGATTGGCTTATCCTTTTATAACCAATGGCCAAAATGTTTGAAGAAGCAAACAGAGAAAACTAAAAATCCTTCTGTCTACACAAGTCTAAATCTTTTTTCCATCAACATTTTTGTCACTGTATGTTTTAGCAAAAATTTGATTCACATTTTATTTGGGCATTATGACTGTTACTGATATACCTTCGTAAAATGATGACAGCTCTTCTGCTTACTGTATCTTGTGGCCTGATACAGTGTGTCACATTGTCTGCTGCATATCCACTAAAAGAGAAAATAATTCTTGTTTTCCATGGAAAGCTAACCATGCTTAGGTTGGCATTTAGTTATACTGTTAAATCTGATGCAAATAAAACTAGTGAATGCTGCTTGTATAAGACAATGATGAGAATAGATCCTCAGGGTTTAAAAAACTACCTTTGGCTTGGTGATAGAAAAAGAATATAAAATACAAACAGAAGTTGCTTAGAAAATTTTGGAAACATACTTTTTTGATGTAATCCTATGATTTTGAAACTACCTTTGATCCTATGATTTTGAAACTACAGGCATTCCTTTCAGGTAAAATCAGCATTCCTTGTTGGGTCGAGGGAGCATATTCAGGTGGCAAAAAAGGGCATGGCCTAAAAATGCTTGTTTTGTCTGCCCCATTCCCAGACTCTAGTGGCTGGCCCGGCCACTGGGGGAGGTTATTACAAAACTGCTACATTTTAATAAAAATTGTCAGAGTGTATGACATAGGCAAATATCATGGATGAAGTGAAACAAAAAATGAGGAAATTAAGTGACCATTAAAAACTAAGTAATACTTGACTTTTTGCAAGACATGCTCTGAGATGAGAACAGCTCTTCTAAAAAGTAAACTTTTATCCTAAGTGCACCTTGGCCTTACACTGTTACAGTGTCACTGTAGAAAAGAATTCCTTGGTTATCTGGCACGCTGTAATATATATATAAAGAAATCAGCCAAGCAAAAGACCATTTCTCTTTAAGACTTAAGCGTTTTTTTCCTTCACGCTTTAAGCTGAAATAACTCAAATTGCTCGGTTGCTTTTGTAGCAGTAGCAAAACGATAAAATTCAAGTTGACATCACAATTACAAACCTTAGCAGTGTGACACAACCGATATCCAGAGGTGCAGAAGCAATTGGCTTTGAAGTACGAATGGGATTGAATGAGAATTTGCAACCAAATGACAAGACACCGCTGCTGAAGAAGGAAACAGAGATGATTGGCCGTTCAAAAATATGCAGAGGGTCGACATGCGAGACAATACAGCCTCCGGGTTGATAATCATTTATGACAACACTATCAACGAAGTCCTTCTCAACAATCCCTGCTTTTACCAACGGTCTTATAACGAGCTTTTGAATCCAGATTGGTATATCATCAATTTCTCCTTTCGGAAAGAGCTTTTCTTGACCAGGGCCTCGCTCCTCCATTTGTTTTCCATATGTATATCCTTCACCGAAAAAGTACTTGACGCGCAGAGGTGCCCGGTCTACAGTGCGTGTTTTGAAATGTCCTCTATTTGCTTTTTCAACAATTTCATTGATTTTATCCTCTATAACAGCAATTTCTTGCTTCTTAAAAAACCGATGTTGCTGAATTCCAGATAAAATTTGCCTTCTTTCAGAAATTCTATCGTCATCACTGTCCGTATCGGAATAGCCTTGGCCATAACTTAGACGACCTAGGCCGTGCTTTAGGCCATCCTTGGTGCGGCTCCTGGACAACTCGTGTTCTGACGAGGTACCATCACTGCTGCTGCTATCACGCCGCCTCTCTCTTATTACAGTCTTTCTTGAACTTTCTCTGAGTTTCTCTCTAAGATCTTTCACGCCAATAATTGAGCACTTGTCACTTTCCATGACCTATGTTTATGTATCATGCAGAAACCTGTCCCTGAGTGACCACGATGGACAAGTGGCAGCATATCTCAAAGCAGAACAACTACAACAACAATAACCAAGTATCGAAAATTTCAGGGTTAATTTTCGGTGATGAAAATTTCGGTCATGTTTTTTAAATATCGGTCTAAATTTCGACGAGAAGTGAAAAAATCGGTGGAAAGGAAGGGAAAAGAAACGTATCGGTGAAAAAGACAATGAAAAAATTTCTATTATTTCATTTCCATATTCAATATACTATCTAGAATGCTATAATAAAAGTTACAAAAAATCAAACATTTCGATGTTAGCCCAATCAATGGAGTAAAGAGTTGGCAAAATGTCATAAACCCTGATTTAGAGGAGGCAGTTCGAACGTTCAAAAGAAATGATTTAAGAAATTACGAAGTGCCAATAGAAGCATTAGCTCAGCCCATAGAACTCAAATATTTTGGATGTAGAGGGGGAAAGAGGGCCAAACAGAAGAAAGTAAAGATTAGCTGGATATCGTTGTTGTTGATGACAAAGGAGAGCCAGAAGCTGCAAATAAAATTGATACTATTTTTGAGATAGTGATGCTCAAAAATGTTGGTAGCTTTAGAAAATCTTTGTCAAAAAGTTCTCGTTGCACTGCAGTCATGCTTTGTGATATCAGATTTGACAACTGGAAATCCTGTACATTCCCAGACATCTTTGCCATATCAAGAAAAGCCCTTTTGGTTGTTGTGAAAGTATCACATAGTTGCGCACTGAAAATCTGGAGATTTTTCTAACATTTGAAAATAGCAACGAGAAAAAAGTTCAGTTTGACAAACTCTCGCAGCGATAAACAAAGTTGGACCAAGTTTTTCAGCTGCCCTGAGTCATCAAAAATAAATATCTGAAGATGGCACAAAATAGAGGAAACATTGCATACGAGAGCACATATCGTCAGACACTCTTCAGAGTTCAGGGTATAAACATTATTTAATTACCAAAAGTAAGCTTTAAGGAACTTCCCGTCAACAAATAGACCTTAGGAGCAAAGGTTAGGCTATAGAAAAAACGAGACTCCATCATTTGATGCAGGCAACAAAGTCTTTCCGAATCAATTTTTTCGACCTATTCCCTTAACCAAGCTGTTACTCTTGGACAATGACAGGGTTGCCAACTGGCCTACTGGGAGCCCAAATTTGAGAAATCTGGCCTTTCTAAAGAATGTTTGGATACGAAATTTTGCCTTTGTCCTCAGGCCTCATTTTCTCTACTTTTGACCTCCTAAAGGAATGTTCGAAAATGAGATTAAAACCACATAAAATCATAAAATGAATGACCATAATATACCCATGAACCAGACAGACACTTAATCCAAATAGACCAGTGGCTGAATTGCTCATGTAATAACATGAAGTCATTGCTATAATTTAAAACGTTTTTGATCTATGTTCTAACGTTATAAACTTATGTCAGACGAGAAGCTCTATTATAACTCAAAATGTTTGCTTTTTCAAACCCATTTTGAAATAAAATTAGCAATTTATCAGTAATCAATAACTAGCATAATAGCAGAGATTTATCTACACATTTGTAACAAGTTACAATGAATAGTGATTAATGCTTTAATTTTCTCAAATTTTTAATTTATGATAACCAAGTGGCAAAGTAAATATGACACTGCAAGGAAGTACAAGAAGTCTTGGGAAGCGCAATATGTTTGGCGTACAGAGTCTGCTGATGGAAAGGGCAACGGAAATACTGTAAACTGCCCCTGTTTTTTACTGCGCTTGCGCATTATGACGTCACAGTGTTATGGATTAATTTTTGCCTATATTGACGTGATTTGACCTATTCTCATAAACAGTTTGGCTACTTAGTACCCAGACCACCTGGCAACCCTGGAAAATGTCCGACTTTTTTTACCAAATTCCTATATTCAATTCTCTGGTTTGTCTTTTTTGGTAAATACATAGTTACCAAGCTTAATCTAAAGTCATTTTCAAAATATTACTGAGTACACTTACTTACAGAATGGTAGACTAGATTTCTTTCCATTTTGCCTAAAAGGATTATTTTGCTCCGCAGAAAAGTGATGGGGCCATGCCCCCCCCGCCCTGTTTCACCGGCCCTGGTATAATCCTGTTATAAGGTACTTTTGTGTAAGGTAATTTCAAATGAAAACGAATACATCATAAAGGTCAATTTTGTGTTCTTCATGAAGGTCATATAGACGTTATTGCCTGATGATCGCAAAATATTGTTCCAAACCTTTCAAGAACACTTGAACTGCCCAGACAATGTTCCAAAGGTTAATGTAGTCCAATGATTAAGTGTCTAAAGTATTCCGAAACATTCACGGTAGAATTTATTTTCAAATCGTTTTGCGGTTGAGATGTGGGTAATTCAGTTCTGTATCGTCACAAAAATGACTGGAAGTGTGTAAATTGGTAAAGCATTTATTTCTCACAAGTTACCGTTTTGCACGAGCGATGAAACGCTCACGTGGTTGGGTTTGCGCGAACGATCGCGCAAAAGCAGGAATGGGCCAAGGACACCGCCTTGAGGTGCTCCATGAGAAATGCCTAAAGTGTAGGAATATGACCTCCAGTAGAGACTCACTTTGAAAACCTTACTAGATAAGATCTTGGCCAGTTTAGCGCCCAAACCCTAATTCCATATTTATTTAGCTTTGACAGAAGACTTTCAGCATCTTCTGTAAGAAATGCCTTTGTAAAGATGCAACAAGGGACGAGCAGTGAGGCACAGTATTAAAAAAAGTACTCTGATTAAAATGCAATGCTCTAGCCAAGTTCATAAATTTTTCTGTTACGGTTATGTCTTGAAGGTTTAATGTATACCGTTTATTAAAATGTCGATTTTTGCCTCACTCGATTTGTATTTTCGAAATGAAACTTGTTTGTCGTGGTCTCCATCTTGGGCAACAAGATACCTTCTTTTAGTACTCTCTATTGGTTCTGCTAGCAGAGAGTGGTGATGTAGAATGATGTGTGAAATTGGAGATCGAAGAAAGCGTTAGAAGTTGACTTTTGTTTTTTGAGTTTATAAAGTATATTGAATGATAACATATCGTTGTCAGTATATTTTTAGGCATAATCCCATCTTCATTAAGTGCTATTCAAACCCTAGGTTTTGCAGTGTTGTCGCAAAAGATTAAACATTTAAGTGCAATTTTTATCCCAATCCCAAAACTATTTTCCAAGTTCCAGCTGCCAAAACCCTAATTCTCAGTGCCAAGAATACAAAACCTGATACGAAATACAAAAACTACGAAATTCGAAACAGAATACCCCTTTCGGGGACTCGAGTAATTTAGGCCACTGGGTGCTGATTGCTAATATGTAGCACCAGTAATTTTACAAGGGGTCACTGAAAAAGCTTTTACTGAGATGGTTTCGAAAGCTAAGAAATTTCCTGTGGTATTCCCAAGTTTTTTGATGCAATTATTCGTTATACGAGTAATCAAACTATTAAGCAGATTGGATACGGTTTTCGATTCTTATTTACTTTTCATCGGTTTCCAAATTCATGCATTGGTTGTTATCTGATCTATTTTCATTTAGGAGGTAAATCATTCCTTTTTAGACATTCTTGGATCTGTTTCAGGAACGTGGGAAATAACCGTTATTCTTGCTACATCGTATAACATATTTAAGATAATCACTTTAATATTTACAGTTTCGATACTATCAATCTTGTTAAGCTTTAATGAAGTTGGCACATAAATGGTTTGATTAAAGAGTTAAGATGTAGCTTGCGGTTTTCAGCTGACACGTTTTTACTGACGTGTGGACAGGGACTTCAATTGAGTATGTTCATTTTCAATCTTGTGCTCTCTTTTTTGGGTTTAAAGAGTCGCTTTTTACGTCCTACTGACAGCTAGTCTCTCAAAGATGTGGAGCACCTTGCTTATTTACTGCATATCATCAACAGTGTTTTTAAACTGTAGAAAACAAGGCATTTGTTTACTATCACAACACTTTTCTAAAAATTAGAAAGCTTTTTATTTTATTATGTTATAGCGGTTTGTGTTTCTACACTGCGCTCTAGATCATAAACAAAATGATTTTTGCTCCATGTGCCATTCAGTTTAAGGAGTGGAGCTAATGACATTCTGGACCATTGTTTCAGGGAGGAAAAATGCAAAATACCCAAAATGGCACTGGATTTTAATGTAGAGCTGTAATGGCCTAATTAGACTGATCGAAGTTCTTTGATGGAACTGCTAAGGGCAAAGCCAGCCAAAAATGGCGATTTTTCATGGCAAGGCCCAGAAAAATCATTCTGCCATTCAAGGTAAGCGTAACGAGTCTGAATTACACTTAAGCATCAGATAGTTTTTTATAATGGGCACTAAACTTTCTTTTTATACGAATAAAAGTTACAAGGACATATGAAGATTACAAGACGATGCCGCAGGGAGCATGGAAATACATAGCAACCCTGCGACCATGATATTTGATATAAAAACTCAACACTAATTTATATATTTGAATATTAAAGATTACATAATACAAATAACAAATACATAAAGTAGCAAAAAAACACTAAACTTTCGTAGCCATCTAAGCAGATAGGTGTTTGCTTCTCCCTTCATTGCATGACATGTTCTTTTGCTCATTCATACAAGTGACATCAACATAATAATCTTTTGGTATGTTTAATTCTTTATCATTTTTTAAATTGGTTCCATTCCAAATGGAACATTTTTTGAACTTAAAAGATAAATTTTTTCAATTGCAAATCAATTATTTAAAACAGCTATTGACTCAACTTTCCACTGTTTGATGTTAAAAGATAGACAAATAACATAAACTGGACATTTTATTAGTTTCCGAACTTCCAGTAACAATTTTTGTCACGATACAATGTTAGGGCGTGGTATCAGCCCCACACTAAACTGGGCACTCCTCAAATTTTTATCTTGATCCACCCCTGATTCTTACAAGATTTAAACGCTTGAAAACCCAGGGTACCCCGTTCAAGATTCAAGACTACCCCTGGGCTTATCCCAAGATTTGAAACTTATCCCAACAATGCTTTTTGAGCTTGTTGATAAAAAACAGCAATTTTTTTTGCCTCCATTTAGCCTCTTTCCCTCTCTGTAGAGGCGAGGTGAGCTTGATGTAGAAACACAGTAATCAGAGTAGATTCTTGCTTTTTATCACAGTTTTATTAATAGTAAATTCTAATTACATCGTGGTATGACCTTGAAGCGACTCATTATTTGTTCTCCCATTCAATTTGTATTAATGAAGCGTGTGGTACCTAGAGGGCGCAAATCAAACAATTTACTGTGTTAATTTAAATAATAAAAATCTAAGGATGAATCAATGCGGTGCTAGGCCATAATATGCAAAAATGTGCATTAAATTGAAATAAACCGATTTATACTCTTCCAACAGGTAACCATTGTCTTGTATTCTAAACACGCATTCAATAGAAAAGCTGACCACTGGATTACTGAACATGGGAAATGCAAATATGAATGGCTGGTGGCTTCAGGTTCTTGGCGCTTTTTATCTACTTTATATCATAAAATTTGCATGCTAACCCGTTCATTTGCAATCAAGTTTAATCTCTGCAAACTAACTAGTACCAGCCAGCTAGCAAGTTAGTCAAAACGATGTGCATCAAAGTGTTTCGACGTAACGCTCTGTTAACCATTAGTTCTTTTGGATTTCAAACAAGAATCATTGTTTGTCACAGCCATACAAAAATGCAAAGTCAAAGCTAGCCTTCGCTAGTTATGATACAAATTCCTGAGAGCAGCACGAATATTAACGATGGATCTTGTAAGTTATCTTGATTTTCATTGATTGTTATTAGCATCAAATAAGTTACAAGCGTTTCCCTAACAAAATCTGTGGCTAAAGTTTAAGCGAATTCACGGTTACTTATAGGCAGATTTTGGCTGTTGTTATGATCTGTTTGCTGATTTGCAACAGTAATACTCAAGGTAACTTTTGCCTATATTTTGGGTAGAAGAAGCTCTTTTAAGCCTTATTTCAGATGCCTGCTATTTCTTGATCAAAATTGATCCGATAAAGGATTTAATTCTCTATATATAGTTAGCAGCGGTTTTATGTGCAATATTTTCGTCTGGTTTTGTTGCGATACTACTAAAAGAAGACTTCAGATACGAAGAAACAGGTTACAGGTGTATATGTTTTGCAGTCAATGATAACAAGTGAGTGATCGAAGAATGCGAAGAAAACATTTAGAAATATGATCGGGAAAAGTTTCTGCTATGGAATCCGCGGGGCAAGGAGCAGGGAGTCCCTACATCAAAGAAACCATGATCCACACATTTAGGATATGGGAATTCAAGTACAATTTTCAGCAATCTGTTTTATTGGTAAAAGGTCCTTATTTAAAACATGAGTTTTAGTCTCTCTTTAGTTAAAAAATTTTTCCTTTTAAATTATATTAATTCTATACATTTTTAAGAATAGTGGAGGGTTTGGGGGGGGGGGGGATTCAGATCTAATCATTTTCAAGATGTATTATAAAAAACCAGCACTTTATCTTGGTGCTAATTCGTAAATTATTCAAATAGGTGAGACCAGATATCATGTACCTGTCAATGTTTGCATGCCAAGATAAAGAATTATCACTTCGTTTTCTTCGTCTTTTTTATAACAAAACTTTACACCCTTGCTCTTACCATATAATTTTTCTCATAAATAATTAATAGCTCTACAAATATTATAGACAGGTAACAACATTGCCATTCTTAAAACACAATCAAAAGACTATTTTTGTCAGGAAATGGGATTAGGAATTTATTAGAAAAGTTTCAATTCGTAGTAAACGTGTCTCGGCTGGACTGCATTTCTAATTAGAAAGAATTAGAAAGTTTTCTCTATTTAAAGCTTTAAGATTTGAAAATAAATTGATTTTCAATCAGTGAGCTAAAATTGCTTAATCTATTCTCAATCAGCTTCAATTTGAAGGATGGAAATGCCATTAGGATATTTTATTTTGAAGTTCAAAAATGCGAGTTATTTATTAGTGCTATTTTAGTGGATATTCAACACTGAAAATTGTGATTTGAGAATGTATTTACGGTGCTGAGTAAAATAGAAGATTATTGAAATTCCTGATTTTTCATATAATTTCATTCCTTTTTATTTGTTCTTTGAGAACACATTTCTTTATTTTTGGTTATTTTTTATATGTCATATTTTATCTTGGTTATGTTTTAACATATTCTTGTTTATATTTTTTCATATATTCTTGGCTATATCTTTTTTATACTCTTGGCTATTTTTTGCTATTCATTGGAAAATGGGAAATGTAAGCTGAATTTGGTTACCTTAACAACAATACTTTGAAGTATCATGTGAAGGGCCGATTCTTTTATCTGTTTACAATTACGTCATGCTTTAGCAAAGGATGGAATAGAACGTGGTTTAAGAAACACTATGCTTGGGAAAAATTCTTGTTGGCCAATGTTTTTACCTACAAAAGAATTTTTAGAACATTTAAACATGAATACGTAACAAAGGGCGGTCATCTCCAATTAGGTCATCTCACAATCCGTTTTGCCATGGAAACAGGGTCTTTGTTCTCATTCTTGGAAATCAGTAGAAGAGTAGAAAGGCGCTTAGTAACAACTTGAAACCTTGTATGTGGGCTTACAAAGTCTTTGTAAACGTTTGGCTTTCATTCTAATTAGAAATTCGAAGATTCCTGATCAATGATGCAATTATGTGCATTTTACGGAGGGCTCTTAGTCGACGAGGGGCTGCAAAAAGGCGATAAGACCTCCTAACTAGAGTACCATGACAACAAACCAAAACTCAGATTTTGGCAAACGGGGTATCAGGAGCCAGGGACGTAAACAAGTAGCTAATTTTGGGGGGTCGTGACAGGTAAAAAATTCCAACTTTACCTGATGAATTTTTTCTTTTGACCTGTTAATCTTCTGTACTTACTAAATTGATTTAGAAATTTGGCTTATTCCAGATTTTTAGGTTCTGTATAATTACCAACATTTTACTTACAATAATTAGTCTTAAGCATAAAAACACTAAAGAAGATAAAGAAAATCTCTAAATTTTGATTAACGTAACACGAACATTTAATCTTTTCGTAAGATATAAAGCAACATCAAAGCCATACCAGTCTAGATCTTGGATATGTTTAATGATAAAAAGTAATATTCTTTCAAGTCAATTAACAGCAATTGTGCAGATCAGTTTTATATAAAATATCTTTTTAACAATATCGAAGCATCAAGGAATTGACCATTTCATCTTTTATTCTTGATCCAAGGGAAATTTTCACAATTTTTAAAGAGCTAAACGTCCTTTGTTTTTTAGAACTGAAAAGGGTGATCTGAGAGCAAGTGCATATGCCCGATTCGTAAGATAAGATAAAACACTCTTCTTTGATCAAGTACTTCTGATGCAGCTTCTATAATATTGTCTGCCTTCACAGCAGCTTTAGCAATTTATGGTAAGATTCAAGGAGGTCTACAAAGTACAGGGGGAGCTTAGCATACACCTGTTCAGAAAGCGTTGAGAAGATCTAAAATTTTTACATTTAAAATCCCAAAATCCTAAGCTATTAAATTCACATGATTGGTCATAATAGTTTGAAAAAAAACCAAGTTAACTTTTAGGTTTAGAAACTGCAATTGGATTTTCCAACCTTTAGGGGGGGCGTCACGCCCCCACGCCCCCTATTATTTACGTGTCTGTCAGGAGCGAGAAGATCCTTGATAGTCTAGCCCGGTGGAGGGGATATAGGACAGCAGGCAACTCTGCACCGTCATCCAGCGACTACTACTACAACATCGGAACATGGAATGTAAGAGGACTGTTAAAACAAGAAAAGCGAGCAAATGTGGTTCAAGAAATGGATAGAGTGGATGTTGATATCTTAGGATTGTCTGAAACTCACTGGAAAGATGTAGGGAATTCAAGACCAGCATACCAACAGTACCAGGACAGTATGGCATCATCTATTCAGGAGGAAAGCAAAGCAGACAAGGTCTGGCATTCATTGTAAATGAAAGAACTAAAAAGTCCACTTCATACTATCATGCAGTTAATGAGAGAATTATGCTTATGAAATTACAAGAAAAAAGCCGTGAACTCCTTATCACACAAATTTATGGTTATACAGAAGACGCGGACAGAGAACAGGTTGAAGAATTCTATGAGTTATTGGATATTACAATAAAGGGACACAAGGAGAGAAATGACAAAGTTATTATAATGGGGGACTTCAATGGAAGAGTGGGTAAAAATAAATTCAGTAATGTAGTTGGTAAGTTTGGACTTGGACAAAGAACACCTAATGGGGATAGACTAAAAGAATTCTGCAAAAAGCACCATCTTTTAGTTACAAAAACCTGGTTTGAGCAAAAAGAAAGCGCAAGACACACTTGGATATCGCCAGACCAAAGAACAAAGAATCAAATAGATTACATTTTGATAAACGAAAGATACCGGAATAGCGTGAGCAATTCAAAAAGCAGACCAGGAGCAGACTGTGGATAAGATCACAACCCAGTTATTGCTAAAACCAAAACCAGGCTTAAAGTTATAAAGAAGAAAAAGAAAAAGAATAAAACATGGAATATCAAAAATCTACAGAACAAAGATGTAAAGGAAAAATTCAAGTCTAAGTTTACTAACATATACCAAGACGAACGCAACATGGAAATAAATGAAATAAGGAATAATATCAAGGAATGCATACAAATAACAGCAGATGAAATATGCGGGAACAACAACAAAGAAATGAAACAAAGGTGGATGACAGTTGAGATAATAAAAAAGATGGAAGATAGAAGAATGAAAAATCAAGCAACCAAGGGCAGTAACAAAAAACAAAAAGAACTAGCCAGGGAAATCAAAAGAGACTGCAGAAAAGCAAATGAAGAACACTATAAAAGAAAATGTGAGGAATTAGAAGAACTGGATAAGCTACATAGCCCAAATCTGTACAAAAAACTGAAAGATCTGACACCAAAGTCCAGGAAAACCCAGCTAGGAATCAAAGACAGATATGGGGAAATGATCTATGAAGAAGAATTAATAATCAAAAGATGAGAAGAGTACATAGGAAGGGAATTATATAATGGTAAAAGAAAGACCTTACCAAATATTGACGAAGTGAAGGACGAATTAAATAGAATAGACGAAAAAGAAATACAAGAAATTATCAACGAGCTACCAAAAGGAAAGGCAGCTGGAGAGGATGGAATATGCGCCGAATTCTTACAAAGTCTGGGAGAAAGGGGAATAGCAGCTTTAATTGAACTCCTCAACAAAATCTATACAACAGGAAATCTTCCTCAGGATTTCATCAAGTGTGTGTTTGTTCCAATCCCTAAAGTCACCAAAGCCAAGGAGTGTAACGAATACAGAACGATCAGCCTAATCTCACATGCTGCGAAAATTCTACTTAAAATAATAAAGAAAAGAATAACACCTTTTATTGAAAATCGAATCAGCGAGAATCAACTTGGTTTTAGAAAAGGCAAAGGTACAAGAGAAGTTATTTTTATCGCAAGAATCTTAAGTGAAAGAACTATTGAGAAAAAGAAAACTATTTATCTGTGTTTTATTGATTACACCAAGGCATTTGACAGAGCAAGACACGACAAACTCATTGAAATAATGAAAAGAACGGAATTCCTAATTATGAGATCAGATTAATTGCCAATTTGTATTGGAAACAGAAAGCAAGTGTAAGAACCAACCAAGGGGAGAGTGAAGAAATTGAAATAAAAAGAGGCGTTAGACAGGGTTGCATCCTATCACCAATCCTATTCAACCTGTACAGCGAATTGAAGAAGCATTAAGCAACAAAAAATGGCTAAACATCAATGGAGAAAATATAAACAATATTAGATTCGCTGATGATACTGTACTAATTACAGAAAGCAAAGAAGATCTTCAAAAAATGATTAATGAGCTGCATCAAAAATGTATAGAATATGGAATGAGTCTAAATGAAAAAAAAAACAAAAGTAATGATAATAGACAAGAAGGAACGAATTAAATGTGAAATTAAAGAAGAAAACAAAGAACTAGAACAAATAAAAGAATACAAATATCTAGGAAGTTGGATAGTTGATAATGGAAAATGTGAAGAAGAAGTCAGAAGAAGAATAGAAAAAGGAAAAAGTAATTTTTGGAAATTCAAGGAATTTTTAAAAAGCAACATCAACCTCAATTTGAAATTAAGGCTACTTAAAACCTACATCTTCTCAGTAGTAGGATATGGAAGCGAGGCATGGACATACAACAAAATAATAAAAGAAAAACTTCATGCTTTCGAAATGTGGTGCTACAGGAGAATTCTGAAAATAAGCTGGACTGAAAGAGTAACCAACAAAAAAGTGTTAGAAACAATTGGACATCAGAGAGTTTTAGTCAAAGAAATGATAAAAAGAAAAATGAGATTTGCTGGCCACATTATGAGGGGATCATCCGGGTTCTTGGCAAGGCTTGGCAAGGAAGGTATGATTGACGGAAAAAGAGACAGGGGAAGACAAAGAAGAACATGGGGAGACGATGTCAAGGAATGGAGCGGGTGAGAGAGCATTGGGAGAGCTAAATGATGTTCTGAGGATAGGGATAGTTGGAGAGTAATGGTAGCCAACCTTCTGATAGAAGATGGCACCTGATGATGATGAGAGTATCTCCTAATTTTATCTCGTTGGTTTCAGCTGTACACACTTTCCCGTTCCAAAAAAAGCAATGTGCAACGGCACAGGTCGAAACTTTCTTTTCAGATCAGCCCCTAGAATTCTTTGGGATTTGATTAAAAAGGGGTCCATTTTCATGTTACGTTTTTGGTCCCAGACTCCTCGCAACAACGTACTCCCTCACTGATCTGTGTCTGAAGCGGGAAACAGGAGGAGGAAGTAAACGGATGATGCCACAAAACAAAACAGGTAAACGGAGAGAATACAGCGTTAAGGACTGTACCAGAGGGAATCCGGCGGCTTTTTTCTTAAAATAATGATTTTACTGATCTTATTCATTACGTGATTGCATCAGGGTATGGGATGAACCTGGTTCACTGGCAGACAATCATGTTACACGTTTTTTATTTTATAAGAAACTTGGATCAGCAGCATCCAAATTTTGGCAAATTTTGACATCCCCACTTTTGTCGAAACATGGTCTACATATTTCGTCTAAAAACGGATTAAAAAGCACTAGGTAGGGGTAGATCATATTTCCTAAGGAAATTTGACCTGATACAAAGCACTGAAACGAGGTCAATAGGGCGTGGTCTCACAGGTAACACTCATTACCCTCCCACTCTGCAGCAGCTGGTGTCCCCAATGTATGGAAGCCATAATTTTCCAATAAGAACGCAAATGGGCAGATGCCTGAGCCCCTAAGCTTCAAATACTTTCTCCCTGTAATGTGAACACTGCAACAAACCTATGATAAACCATATGGGGGCATGGCCGGACTGATGTATGATGTACCACAACCATGCACAACTTCCAGGAAATTGTTGTTAGAATTACCTCTGGCTAGAAGATCTCTAGTTTGATGGTCTTATGTGTTCATTTTTTACCATGAATTTTTGCCATTTTTATGCAGGGTAGTCAAGTTTGGTTTGATGATGGTACAAAGCTTGGCTATTTGGTACTTGGAACCATCACTGAAAATATTGGCACACATGTTAAAATTCTACATGGAAATAAGGTGATATGCAAAGATTTTCTGTTGATAAGATAAAGCCAAATATTGCCTTTATGTTCTTCCTCCTAATGTTTATTTGCATATCACAAATTGCCACTTAAAAGAAACACTTCAAGCAGTTGACTCCCCTTATGGCACCCTGTTAAAGTCCTACAGAGTATGGCATTTGCACACCAAAGATATTTTTCTAAAACGTCCCTGCTCATTTGACAAAGGGTGTGGCATTTTGAGATCTGGGCAAAACATTGGTTAAAGTCCTATTGCTTAAAGGAAATGGAGAATCATGTTCATTGGTTTAAGAAATCAAAATAGCCATCAATCTTGTCCATTTTCTTATCTTCATCGATACCCTTGGGCTCTTCTAGCATAGATGTGCTAACTATTGCACAATCAAAGTAACAAAGTACATACCTGCACATTTGAAAGTTTGCTTTTGCACACTTGAGATCCTGTTGGAAACTGTTGTACTCTGCAGTTTGGTCTTAAGTTTAAGTTTTTGTCTGTGTGGACTTTCCCACATTCTAATGTTTGATTTTGTTTTCAAATAGACTTACACTATTCCCAGCAAAGCTGTCAAACCAGCTGATGAGACCACACATAGTGGAATTGATGACATGGTCAAATTAAGGTAACAAACTATATTATCAGCATTTCTATGCATTTTTTACTTTAACAGTGTAGTGGAGAGGGCAGTGGGAGAGGGAAAATAACCATATGTTTGCCATGGAAGGAGCAAGTTGAAATTTTCTTGTAAGAAAGGCAGAAATTTAACAATACAATCTGTTTCATGGGCAAAGCATAAGCTTTCCTTTGCCACTTGATTTGATACTCTGAACTGTTTTTAAATTTAGACTTATCAGAGGTCTGTTTTTATTCTTATGAATTCTAAAACATTTGAAGCAAAAATTTATATTCAATTTCAGAGATCTCCATGAAGGTTCAATTCTGTGGAATCTTAAAAAGCGATATCATCTTGGTCAAATTTATGTAAGATGCTGTTTTTTTGTTTTCAATGTGGTTTTTCCTTTCTGCTTTGTTAAAGATTTAATACATTAATATGCAGTGATGTAGAATTTAATATTAATCAAGAGGAAAATATCTAAAGTTTTTCTATAAGGAAAATTATCATTTCCTTGGTTTATTTTTGCTTTGAAAGTTGATAAGGGAGCAAATTTGCCGTTAGTAAACACCCTCTAGAAATGTAAATTCAATTTTTCTTTCTTTAGACTTACATTGGAAGCATAATCATCTCAGTGAACCCTTACAAATTATTCAGTATTTATGGCTTAGATACTGTAAGAAAATACCAAGGACAATTCATCGGAAAATTGCCACCGTAAGTTTAAAACTTGAATCAAGTAGTGAGTTGGTTTCTGTAGCACTGTCTTAGAAAAGTGAGGACCCTAGATCATATGGTATGAGAGCAGGGTCAGGATTGGAAGAAGGCATGGGGACATCACACTCCCTGAAACAAGGGTCTGTCAGCAAGCAACTGCTGTTGTCAGCAAATCCATGCTATTGTCAGCAAGTAACTGCTTTTGTCAGCAAATCCATGCTGTTGTCAGCAAATTCATGCTGTTTGCTAGAAGGTCAATTTTTTTAAATTGATTTTGAGTGGGTTGTTTGGAAAAGAAACTTTTCCTTCAAAATCTTTCTTAAGACAGAAAACTTGTTTAACCAAATAGGCTTATTGTAAAATGCTATAATAAAATTTCAAACATTTTGTAAACTCCTAAAAATAGATACTTTGTGGAACCAAGGCAAAAAAAATATATGTATAGAAGTTCATTTTATAATTTGTAGGCACATTTTTGCAATTGCCGAATCTGCTTTCTTTGAGATGGTAAAAGAAAATGTCAATCAAGTCATGGTTGTCAGGTTTGTAGATTCAATTTTGTTAGCTAGTTCTGTGTTATCCATATATATACCCATTAAAAAGTAAAGGATGATTGGTATCCTTGAGCTAAGACAATAAAAGACTTTTTTGATCGTCTAAATTGGTTTTGTTTGATAGATTTAATTGCCAATTATTAAACCCTTTCCGATTTTATGCAGGCAAATTTCATGCTTTCTTGATTTTGATTTAGATCTTTAGCTTACAGGTTAATATTAAGGGTATATGTACCTGCATCAAGTATAAGGCTATAAATTCTTAAAGCTTGAATGTAATTTTATTTCTTTATACCAATAGTGGAGAAAGTGGATCTGGAAAGACAGAGTCGACGAAGCTGATTATGCAGTACTTAGCGACCGTAAATAGGGCACAAAGCACACTTGTGACTGAAAAAGTAAGGAGTTCTTTGATCATTTTATTCAGGGGCTTTTCCTTTTGGTAAACACAATCAAAGAAAACTGACAAATCTGACTTTTGTTAGGTAACAAAAAAATCAAAACTTTGCTTTATCTTTCTGACCTGTATGAAAGGTACTGACATGTACACAATTCAAAACTCTTTAAAAAGCTGTTAAACGACTTAATTTCGTATAATGAATTTCAATCATATTTCTTAAAGGTAATGTGTCCAGCTAAAGCAAGCGACTCTGCGGGGAAATTTAAAAACATGTGATTCTTCGTGTCATCGCCCAGTCATTACGGTCGTTCTGTTTATTTATCCTGCTGCGAGGTCATCTTTTCATGTGAGCAGTTTTGCATCGCAAGAATACTAACCAATCGCAAACGGTTATTTTGATGGGTGGCTTGACAACTTGGGTATACGCAGTCCTTTTATATGGACACATTGCCTTTAATGTCCCTTATATTTGATAGCTGGAGCAAATTCATTATTATTATTATTATCGATGTAAAAGCTAAGAACTACAAGTTTCAAGCCAAAAAGAAATAACTACCAAAATTTGTTAGTTACTACAAATAACAGAAAAGTCAAGTTTATCATAAAAGTATCAGTCTCGAAAATTCATTCATTTATCATCATTTTCGCCTTGTATGAGACCAGACAGGACTTTACGAATAGTTCTGCACTGTCCATTGATATATTTTTTTGCATTTCTCCGGCCACCTTCTTCACCAACTCGTCTTTGTTTCATGCTTTCGACAGCTCAGCCATTGTGGTTTTCATTCCACCGCCCCACCACCTCCAACATTGACATTCGTACTACATACTACATTTTGTTGCAAAACTAAAACATGGACAAAACCAGAATCACATCCTTTTTTAATTCTGGTTGTTTTTGTTTTCTTTTTTTTCTTTTTTTCTCAATTTTCCCTTTTTTGACGACTGTTATAGTCTAGTAAACCCAGGCTAGCCAGTTGCAAACTACTTATGTAATAGAAATGTTTGTAATTGCAGTTTAATTGAGGTAATGAAAAGTTTTCATACCCAAAAGCGTTTACAGCTCTGCCTATATTGCTGTGAATTGCTCTGCATTGAGCACTTTATGCCAGATTGGCTAACAGTAATTTTCATTAAATTTATTAAATGTTTTTCTAGATACTTGAAGCAAATCCTCTATTGGAATCATTTGGAAATGCAAAAACTCTGATGAACGACAACTCAAGTAGATTTGGGAAATACATAGAAATATTCTTCGACCAGTAATTCATTTTTTAATTACCTACCGTTTATTTCTCATACACTGTTAGGTTTTTGGAATCCCACAGATAGCTGCCATATTTCTAGCAGCTGCTATTTCAGTTTTCCCGTATAAATAATCTCAAATAATCTCAAATAATCTCTCGTATTTCCATCTCGTATGTCTTTTTTCTTTTCCCTTTTGGGCTTTTGATTTCACTATTGGAATTTGAATTTTTGATGGTACAAGAATCAGAAATGGCTTTGAAAACAGCAAACATCTTCGAGTATAAAATTTCAGAAAAATAGAACAAAAACTCTACGCTAGGAAATACATAAAACCCAGTTGTGGATGGAAATAGGCCAGTCAGAAACTCGAGCACGTTACTGTAAAGGTTGTCTAATAAGTATTGATAGAAAACAATAACAACGGAATCCAAGGGTGAAAATGAACTCCTTCTATTTACACAAAGTGGCACTGATAGGCTGTCCCTTTGAAAAATATATTTATGATTGATAAATGGATCCATACGATAATTTTTGGCTGTATCAAACCTCTTATACACTGAATTTCTTGAAAACGACCGATATTTGTCGAGTATGATTATTCATCATTATTCTATTTTTACCCTTAACCTATGCTAGCCTAAGCCCCACTTATATTCAGATATGATTTTTTTTGAAAGGGGTGCAATATGCGGAGCTAAAGTTTCTGAATATCTGCTCGAAAAGTCAAGAATTGTATACCAGGTTTGCCTATTCTTGTTTTTATAGTTGTTGTTGTTGTTGTTACCTACTTATTCAGAAACTTGCCAGAGCTAGGGGTAGTTTCTTCCAGAGGAAGTCTTTTACCTGAAGAAGTCTTTGGATCCTCTCAGGCTATTTTGAGAAAGATTTTTTTCATTTTTTCTCATCAGTTTTTCACTATAAGCTTTTACCAAATATCAATTGTAACTGAAAATATAACATGCTCAATTAAATACTAGCAAAAAGTTTTCTACATGTAGCATAAGGCTTAGAATGCTTTTTATAACAAAGATAATTATTTTATTCCAGCAAGGTTTTAATTTTATTGAATATGTCAACTTACGTTTTTTTCTAGAACCCTGGAGATCGTAATTTTCATATTTTTTACGAAATGATCACCGGTCTTCCTGCCGCAGAGAAATCCACTTACGGCCTCACGAAACCAGATGATTTTTTCTATTTGAATCAGGTTTGTGTTAGATCGTCTATCTTTTGTTGAAATTGAGTTTGTTTGAAATTCGTCCAAGTAAATTATAATATTTTAATGTGGCGATTCTAATGAAAATCATTTCAAGGTCAAAAGTGTGAGAATTTTCATTAAAGAAATGGTGACAGTTTACAAAGTGGCAGGGTCAAAGGGGGCTGTTTTGTTATTTTCTCTTTAGAGCCCGGTAATGGTAGTAGTATAACATCCTTAAAGAATTTTTTCAAACTATGAATCATAATACGGGAGCAAGCAGTGCAAAGCTGTCCCGCAATAGCCTTAATTTTGTCAAATAATACATTGAAATTTCACTATGTAGCTTTACTATAGGAATTTGATAGCTTTTTCTGTGTATAAATTGGCTCTTTTTAATTTGATACTGATCGTATTTTCATTTATCCAAAAAGTTTCTCCACTTTTAAAAGCTGTTTGAATCGTTGCAAACATTCTCGTAGTTGTTTGCACGTTCAAAAACCCAATCCCCCCCTCTCCCCCCAAATATGATGTAGTGTGGAACCCTGGTTCCATTCCTTTTTGCAAATGTCTTTCAGCGTGAGTTAATGTAGGTATGTTTTCTTTGGGCTGTTATAAATTTGACTGGTAAGTCTTTACAACTTTGCCTTTGTAGGGATCAAGCTCAACTATTGCCCAGAAAGTCGATGCCAGCGATTTCCAACACACACTGTCAGCCATGGAAATTCTTGGAATTAGCGTATGTTCCTGGTCGTAACAGAATGTAACCCTAATTGATCCAATAATAATTTGCCTTGTTAAAAAGTTAAAGAAAAAATGCTAAAATTCTCCCAAACATGTTGTTGCTCTTATCTTCTACAATGGACTGTCATTTAAAGGTCTCCCAAACAAATTATTGTATTCTGATTGCTCGTGGCACGCAGATTGTGACAGTCCATTGTAGTTCTATCTTTGTGTAATTGATCCTGGGTAGTCACCACACCCATTTGCTTCTCGGGGTATCTTTTCACGTATTGTTTTTTAGTAGCTTAAAAGTGTAGCCTGTTTCTTGTAATTTCATATTGTAAGTTTTAGTGGATGCACAAAAAAGGTGCTCTGATTTTTACTATTTTTTAAGAGGGCGTTATTTCAAATAACTTGATTATTGTCGGTCGAAGCCTAGGTATGCACCAAAATCTTTTCCCGCTGAAACAGTCACAAAAAGACCAAACTGAAATACTTGCAAACGTTGATTTTTCTTTTGCATTGTTGATTTTTGCTGAAGTTGTATTTATTTCCTTAAAATTTATGGTTGCTATTCTATTAAGTGCGTTAGTTTGGCAAATATACAGTAGTCATTTAAAGACAAAAAAATTTGCTAATGTCGGAAATCCTATCTCAGATATTTCTCAGCTAACGCAGCAACCTTTTTTGAAAATGTTGTTTCAAAATCTTATTTTCTCAGGATTTTTACCTTAGAAAGTGTTTATTATTTTCTCAGTTATGACAGTAATATGTTATTGTACTGCTTTTTCTTTCATGAAGTTTAGTTTTATTAACATTTTAGCTTTGTAAATGCCAACAAAAAATAAATTGTTATTATCTTGTTATCTGGAAAACAGCGGAATGTTTTTAGAGGGAAAAAATTAAACAAAAGAAATTAAGAAGTCAAAATTTATATTGAAAGACAGAAAACCAAAAAATTTTGTCTGTTTTTTTTAGAAAGAAGAGAAAAAGGGAATTCTTGGAATCTTATCGTCTATTCTTCACCTTGGAAACATATATTATGGGCGAGCACAGGTTGGTTGAAACTGATAGTTGTTGGTCGGAGTTTCGACAGATAAAGTTCTTTGATTAATTCATAAAATTTCATTAATATTTCTTGTCTGTTTAGTGATTGCAAATGAATTCCCCGCCCTTTCTCCAGAACATAGATTCCTTCTGAATAGGAATGTAAGTTTAAGTGGGCGTGGCATGTGAAATCCCCCTTTTAAAAGGGATCCCTCTCAAGGATCCACATTTGTTATTACTCTATTTGAACATGGCAGGGAAGCCCAGCGCTTAGCAAAGGGCGCTTAGTAAAGGGCCTAGTATTGGGCTAGAGGCATTGCCCCTCCGGCCCTAGTGTCAATTTATTTGTCTAAGCAGTAGAATAATCTCATTTTTATCTTACTCCCCCCCCCCCCCCCCAACTGAAGCTCTATAAAAGAGGCCATATTCTACGTCAACATTATTTCAAGTAATCGATGGCCTCTATATAAAAAATTAAGAAACAAGGTCACAGAAGCCGTCCGAATCACAATACAGGACCATTATTCAGGTCTAATTGAACAAAACAAAAACAATCCAAAACAAATGTGGCAAACTATTAACAAAATGCTGGCAGAAATTCATCAAAAGTATCAGTTACTAGCTTAAACTACGAAGGCATATTTTATCTAATAATAGCGAAATTGTCGATGCTATTAACAAGCACTTTGTCTCGGTTGGTCCGAAAGAAGCGGACGAAATCAAAACTAAATCGGCTGCTGACCCTCTTGCCAAAATAAGTGACAATAACTCTATGATTACTAATTTCAAAACAGTTGATACTGAGCAGATCTTAGAGCCACTGACGCGGCCTAAAAACGGCAAAGCCAGCGGGCCAGATAAAATCCCTGTTAGATTAGCTAAAGATGCATCCGAATTTATTGCCCTCCCCCTTACACTATTATACAACTCATCCTTTACCGCAGGTAATTTTCCAGATATTTGGAAAATTGCAAAGGTGACCCCAATTTTTAAATCAGCCACAAGAGGTGACATGAATAATTACAGGCCTTTATCCGTTCTTTCGATGTTTTCAAGGATTCTTGAAAAAATAGTTCACGATCAGCTGATTGACTATTTCAAAGAGAAACAACTGCTAAAAAAGAATCAGCATGCGTTTCGTAAGCTACACTCAACTATCACGTCTTTAGTAAAAGTACTGATGAATGGCTGTAACATTGATACTCAAAAGATCAATATGACCATGTTTTTGGATCTAAAAAGGGCTTTCGATACAGTGGATCACAAAATATTGCTCGAAAAACTTTCTAGATATGGTGTACAGGACAATGGGATTAACTGGTTGCGATCAGAAAACTTTATAAAATTGAATGAATGTTAAAATTTTGTCTTCCATTATAAGTTTTTTTAGCTTATCATAACTTCTATTTAGCTTTTTGATGGGATATCGTGTTGAAATACGAATTTAATAAAAAAAGATAGTTAAGTCCTAATTAGTCATCGCTCCGGATCATACATATATATATTAATATTTATTCTCCTATCCAATCTGACAATTATTACTCGTCGTTTTGCCTTTATTCATAGAAAAATGGTCAAGAGGCGGCAGTAATTATGAACAACAAAGAAGTTGAACTAGTCGCCAAACTCCTGGAAGTTGAGCTGGAAGGTGTCGCTATGGCCCTGACTCATCGTGTTACGGTTTGTATACCGTCTGTTTAGTGTAGCCCGTGTGTAACTGCCGTGCTCTTTTTATACAAAATACAAATTTCAGACGAATCTCGTCCACATCTAGAAACAGTTTTAAATAGCATGAAGTGTGGCTAAGAAGATTTACACAGTTTTATTGAAATTGCTGTATTCATTTCAGGATCTTTGTAGTCTCTTAACAGTCTTCTTGGTAGAGGCGCATGGCTTTCTCTTCCTATTGCTATGAAAGTGCAAAATCCAATTGATTATGAAAAATTACCAAAGCCACTATCTCAAAGATTTTGAATATAAGCTTAAAATGAAAAGTGTTCATTAATTAGTTAGATATTAAACAAATGTGAACAATTAAGATCTACATTGTAAAGCGAACGGAAGGTTTCCAATGACCCCCTGCCCTCTGCTTAAATGTTTTCCCCTAACTATTTACAGACTTGTGTCTCACGTGTTGCTAAACCATGTAGATGATTCCATGTTTTTGAACGGGCTCTTTACCAATTAATTGATATAGGAGGCTGCTGGAGAACGTTTCTACAGTCCGCTGAATATCGAAAGAGCCCTGGATGCGAGAGATGCCATGACACGTGCTTTGTATTCACGTCTTTTCGGGTGGCTTGTTGCCAGGATCAACCAGAGCATTCACCAACCAGATAACAAAACATCATCGTCCATTGCCATTCTTGATATCTTTGGTTTTGAGGTCATTCGTTGTTCTTTTTTTATTTTGTTTCTGTAAATAAGCTAGGCCCGAAATTTAAAAAATATCGTTATATATTTATGTAAATAAATTTTAGCTGCTATTGTTTACCTACCAAATACAATGCAGTTTCTCGGATCTCTTTTAAGTCACTGTTCCCAGTCAAGATATTGGGAAATGTACCTTCATTTTGCGCCAGTGACCAAGAAGAACCACAGTTTCTCCCAGTTTCTCTTCGTCTACATTCCCTCCCTTTGTTATGTTTATTGGAAATGAAAACAAATGCTATACTACTTCTTTTGAAATGTTTTAAATAATTCTCGAGTCAAAACTCTATTTAGACCCTTCCAATGGTAGCATATCCTGGGAGCTTCTCTTTATAACTGTAACTATCAAGAACGAATAGGAATTTGTAGCAAATTGCTAAATGACTTAAGTGCTCATTTTTTTGTTTTTCATGCAGGATTTCAAGTCCAATTCATTCGAGCAGTTTTGCATTAATTTTGCAAATGAAAGTCTTCAAGCTTTCTTTGTCGATCATGTTTTTAAACAGGAACAGGTACATACAGTCGAAATTTATTATTTTTGCTTCATATTTTATAATGCTTTAACTAAAAGTCAATGTACATCATTTTATTGCCCCTACTTTTCATATTTTGTATTTGTTTCTACCTAGCATCCGAAGGTAGTTTTTAGGACACTGCGAAGCTATGCTTTTCGAACAGTGTTCTGGTCCTTCCTCGTGAAGTGACAAAGAGTTCGTGTTATAAAGAAGCAACCTTTAAGCTAGTAAACTATTCATGGTTGTAAATACATTTTAAAGCAGATGTTCAGTCGCGACCTTTTTTTGATGCCTGAAATTCTCTTTGTTAAAGGCAGAGCTTGAAGAGAATATTCAGGAATATTCTTGCATTAGACCAAAAATCAGAGATTTTTCTTCAACGAGTTTTATCTCGTTTTTTCTCGATTCGTAGGAGGAATATCGCCAAGAAAAGATACAATGGAACACAATGTCTTTCGTTGACAACCAGCTTTGCCTTGATTTGATTTGCAAGCCTCCATGTGGTATAGTTCATGTCTTAGGAGACGTGAGCAACTTTCCTCAGGTATTCACAGCTACAGTTACCTCGTATTCATTTGAAGCCTTGGGATCGTCATAAACATCCTTGCAATGCTAATGTTTTTGCTTATAGGGAAGCTTGAAACCCATGACACCTAAAAAGCAAACTATCTTTTAGTCAACAGATCGTTCATTTCTGGAGAAATGTCACCAACAATTCAGGGACAACAAATACTACAAAAGACCCAAAACAGACTTACTTGAATTCGGGATTGTGCACTATGCTGGGCTTGTAAACTACCAGGTAGGTCAGCTATTTTCTCAACAAAGTTTAAGGGCTAGCCTTCAGGCAGAATATAGTGAAAGCATTAAAACCAGTTATTGCTTTGTTTTTCTTTTGTAAATACTTTTTTATCTTTTTTGCCCAATGTTATTGAAATGGTGCTGCTTGAAAAACATTACTGTAATCAAGGATTTTTGGTGTTGTCACAAGTTTTTCATTGTATTTACATTGACATATGTCATTACGTGTAACTTCTTATTAAATTTGTCTACTGAAATTATATTTAACACGGTCTTTTGTCTTTGGCTATGGAAAACTATGAAGAAACTGAAGAATTTTTTTGATTTCGTGTCATTATATTATAAATGTTTGTACGTCTATTGAATAATTAATAAATATCTAACGAATATAATTGCCTGTAATAAAATTGAATAATTAACTCTTAGATATGATCCCAAGTATCGTTTGAACCAATAATTTTGTTTTTGCATATTCTTTCTGTTGACAGTATTAAAATCAGCTCTGATGCTTTATTTGTTTGTTAAAGAATAGAGTCTTTTTTCATTGACGTCGAATAAAGAAGTAAAAAGTCAAACGAATGTCGGTTGTACAATATTTGGCAAAAAGTAAACAAATCAAGATTCTCAGACTGTGAAGAGAGTTTGAAATGTATTATTTGAAAATTTTGTATTCTCAAGTGAAGTAAGAACCCTAAAATGAACTTTATCTTCTTTATACAGAAAGATTAGAAATATAGTCTTGAGTTTATTATTATCGAGTTTAAGAAATTTTGTTTGCCGATGGTAGTCATATTCAACCGATTTTTAAATTTCGTCATCAATTTGTTGTCGTTTCTTTTCAGGTCGATATGTTTTTGGATAAAAACAGAGACAACATGAGACCTGAAATGGCGGATCTTCTCTCATCAAGCAAATCGCCAGTAAATGATTTCTTGAATCATAGTTATCATTGGTGTCCACAAAAGTGGAATGAAGGGTTTCGGAGCCCCAGCATTTCTTAAATATTTGGCATTCGAAGTTTGTCGAAGAAGCTCCATTATATTTGAACGTCATGAAAATATGATTGATTCTAATTTTTACAAAAGACGTTTTATCGAAAGATGTATTTGAAAGAGATCTGTTTCCTTCTCTGAAAACAGATAGGGTGTAGCTGGACACAATCAGCATAGCAGAATGAACATAAATAAAACATGTAAAATGCGTCTGGTTTGGTACAAAATGTATCTTAAAGATAAAATATGGTAGATGTGCTGCTATTAAAACGTATTGGTCTGACTTAAAAGCTAATTACAAAGAAAATTACGAGAAAACCCTATACTGAATGTGTGAAACTCAAAGAGAAACATTAGAATATATGGAAATGCCAAGAATTTTACGGGAAAACTTTGCTTGGCTAGTTTTCGACATTAACAAGTTTGGTCGGCCTTGGCTCTACAACCCTGCCAAAGTTTCCAAATCTGTTTAGAGGCATCTTTTCATAACCCTTATTTCATCATTTCAGATAATAGCAAGCTTTTTTCCGAATGATGCCTCTGACGGTGTGCAAGTAAGCAACATGCTGATCAACCCAGCTGTTCGACCATCTTACAGTTATGGAGGCAGCCGAAAGAGAAACCAATTCAATATGGTCAAGGTCCCAACTGTAGCCGGGGGTTTTGCTGAATCTCTTTCAAAGCTGGTCAAGAAAATGAAACAGTACGTGGCTTTGATTTTTTCATACACGGTTTTGCTTTCGATTTTCTTCATTTCTTTCAGTCCAATTTCTTCTAGATACCTCAGAGAACTCTTTTATTGCGGCTGATCTTTCCAATTCTTTGCCTGAGTATGGCATTTTTCTCGGTTTTCTCACATTGGGACGGTTTCTTTTACTCTAGGGGCTGCAGCCGCCAAGCCCTCCATCCCACTAAAACCTACCATACCGTACGCTTACTGCTGTGTAAAGTTTTGAACTTATAACTGAAATGTTTGATATATTGTATGTTCAATGCATCCAATATTAGTATTAAATGCAAAGAACCTTGAATTTTCAGAGCCAATATTATTATATTGATTAAAATTTATTAGGGGATTTTTAGCTGTTATATTCTGATTTTAATGAGGTGAAATGATTTTGTCTCTGATTTGTACAAGATTCTTTTTACTTCCCTTTATATACCATATATTGCCGATGGAATCTAAATTTAGCAACATAAATTAATAATTGATTATCGTATTAAGATTTTCAGAGGATCGCAACTTATTTTACAATTTTACAATATGCTGTTCATTGATACGATCAACAACAGCAGATGTAATGCTTGTTTGGCTGGCTGCTATTTAAAGCCCAGATGGGCTAATTTATTGCAGGAGCAGAAGCAAGAGAAACACTTTTCATTACTATTGTATCCGTTTCAGGTGCAATCCATTCTTCATCCGCTGTCTACGACCGAACACAGAGAAAGTACGGGTTTTTTGTTATTTCTTGTTATCTACTTCTGATACCTATGATTTCAATTGTTGTTTGCTAATGCTGTTCACAGTTTTCTTTATCAGATATTGAAAACATTGGTTATTACTGATGCAGTAAAATGTGTGTTGACAATTTTGAGCATGTTGTGGGGACCATTCATAGGCTCATTTGAATAAAGTGCTTCACTCCTCATGTTAGAACCTAGTAGATAAAGCTACCCATTTTTTTCAGAGATAGAGAATAAATTTTTTTATTTCTTTGCACATTTTGTTCGAAAGAAATATTGAATAAAACCCAATCTACGTATGCGAAATGTATTTAAGTGGTTTCTGTTTCACTTCAAACATATCGTTAAATCGTAAATGTACAAGGTAAGAGCTCTTGTAAGAGATTTTTCTGGATATATCTAGATCATAGTCATAAGGAAAGGCCCTTATCTGGATCCTATTCTTATGACTTTGTCTAGATCAACACATTAGCAAAGGTGATTTGAAGCAACAAAAGTGATTGTTTCTTTCACAGTTGTGGTTTGTCTTCTAAAAATGAAATTGCAAATCCTCTGCCTGCTTTATTTACAGTCACCAATGTTGTTCCAAGACTCGCTGGTCATGAACCAGCTCAGGTGTTCTGGAATGTTGGAGACAATCAAAATAAGAAAATCTGGCTTTCCTGTGCGAATCAGTTACGATAATTTCATGCAGAGGTAAGTATCCTGTAACCACAACTTCCCTCCGCACGGAGTACAAAAGAGTAAATAAAGGTCTTTCTTTCTTGGAAATATTTTTTGTTATAGATTTTGCGCTCCCTATGAAAATTCTGACAGATTTAGGAATTCTTAAGTGAAGGTGGAGCAAAGAACTCTTTTTGTAAAAAGCACAAGGAAGAAGCCGTATGAAAACTGTAAATTTTTTTAAGTTGTAAAAAGGCACCTTGTGAGAAATGGAAAAGAAGTGAAACAAGCAATTGAGACAAATTTCTTCTAAATATTGAACCTAATTGTTTTATTTTTTGATAGTGGTTTTATTGAATTAGCAAAAGAGGTGCCTCCAGAATCCAAAGTAACACCTCATTTTGTGTCTTTTTTCTCGAGTTTTCAGGTTGCTGCTTTTTGACGAAACGAGGTTTTCATGCTCTTAAAATATCTGGGGGCGTTTCGACTCTAATGGTTTTTCGATCTATCCTGCTTGCAATATCGTTTGTCTTGTTTTGGTAGGTATCACTGTATTTACAAAGGACGCTTATATCCACATGCATCTCCACGTGAAAATTGTTCCAAAATTCTACTTATGCTGCCAAGCGGGAAATTCAAAAACGAGTTTGCAATGGGGGAAAAGAAGGTAAATTTAATTGGATGATTTTGTAATTAGTGTGCATTGGTAGACAGACACAACTCAGAAACAAACGGATAGAATAAAACACGTTCCCACGAGTATATGGCAAATATCTGTTGGACCACCTTGAAAATTCAAAAGACTTCATTATGCAAGCAAGATCACCTTTTTATTTGGTGGTTTCGGAATCTTCCTTGATCAAAATGAAAAGTCCTTACAAATATAGGATAAGCTCATGTCTCACATGGAAATCTGACAGCAAAGTCTCATCAAATATACCTGTAAAAAGGAAGAACTTGTTTTCTCATTTAGACTCTTCAATAACCCAAGGGGTAACGACTTCCAATTTTTCGAAAACAAAGATCCAATCAAACCTGTCATTTTTCCTCCCGTTTTACTTTCGAATCTTGTCAAACGAAAAGAAGTACGCAATTTGACGCGAAATGTCGCAGCTTTCCGTGCAATTTCGTTGGGCGCAGCGAAGGAGCCAGCTCACAATAAACCGTATGCAAAATGACGTCATTTGACGATAACGCGCCAGGCATTATGGTCGTTGTAGTAACAGGGGCCTAACTTTGTTTACGTTTTTCTTGATATTTACCAGCCCATCTTTATACTAGCTTTCTAAAAAGAATTAAATATCAAGGAAAATGAATAAATTTTCCAAGAAAACGGTAGTTCTATTTTTTTCCAAAACTTTTGCACGGGCATCAGTGGTTCTGCTAGATAGATATTGTGTAAATACTGTGCTCTAGTAGGAATTTACCAGAGTCAATAATACGTCAAGGTCGCGTGATGGCTTAAAATGAAGAAGGAATATTCAAAATTCCTCGTTGGACTGAGTCAACGCACATCCATTTGTATTTCAATAGATGAAATTCATTTATTTCTCTGGAGGGAAGATTGGCTGCTGAGATTGGCTTTATGGACAGCCAGTTTCGTCTTTCCAGTGGATTTATCAAAGATATTGACAGCCTTTTAGAGACAGTTGGTAGATTTTAACCTTGGTAATCACTTTTGATTAAGTTGGTAATCACTTATGATTAAGTTGGTAATCACTTTACATTCTCTGACATCTCCCACACGGATTTTACGATTTACCTATTATCTGATTCAGTGAAATGGTCCACTGACAACATAGAACCAAAATTACAGTTTACTTTGAGATAAAACATAGGGCGATTGTTTCTACCAGTTGTTGGTTACCAGTCCAACGTCATAGAGATTAAACTGCTATTTAAGGTCCCAAATAGCTTTGAAAGAATCAGAGTTTTGAATTTTGTTGTCTTTTGATATAGTCAGTATTGTTTTGTTTCAAATGTCGGTAATTATCGAAAAAAATTATGTATTACGGTGGCATTATATATTTTTCCATAATTAGAGTAAGTTGATTCTTGGTAAAAAGCCCTCTCTTCGTCCTTATTTGTGCTTGTTTGGGCCTTTTTCCTTTTATTTCTGTAAAGTCTAAGACCTTACATATATCTGAAAGATTTTTAAAAAAGCTCGCTAGCAATACAGAGTGTAAACAGACCCGGCACCATGCGTTTGCCTGTTTCCATACATTTGACTATTGTTACTTTATATTGTTTGAAGATAATATTCAGACCTTACACTCAACTTTTAAGTTTTATTGTACCCTCTTGGCTCCCCCATAACATTGTCACCAGCTTCCATTCGCCTTTCTGTTTTCAGATCTTTCTTCGTGAAAAAATGGAGAGGTATTTAGAAGAGAGACGGTACATGACGTTGCGAAACATGGCGGTTGTCATACAAAAACACGTGCGTATTAGGGATTAGGGAACCTTACATCGTTACCTTTTTAGAATAATTTCGATGACGCATTGTTACAATTGTTTTGTCCTTATTGCTAGATGAAACTTCCCTAAACTTGTAGGATTTCGTAAGGTCTGCTCGGTTTAGTTGCTGGGGCATGATGTTGTCTTGGCACCCCCATTCAATTTTATAAACAGGTTGCTCTGGGTTTATCTAACCAAATATTTTAGAACTTTCGTATCTGAAAACCACCGAATATGCTTTATACTGTAATTTCTGGGGCAGAAACATGACATTCTTTCTATGATTTGTTGCCATGCCTCTTTGTGGAATTTCATTTTAACAGTAAAACAGTATTATACAATTGACTGATATGACATAATTTTCATCAGAAACATTCTGTAGATTTACCGTACGGATTAGGTTGATTTGAGTTTGAACGAAATCACCAAATATTTCTGATCATACACCAACAGCGAGAAAAAAGTTACGGTCACATATTAATTGCATAAAAACTTAGTCATGAGCATTTCATTGAATGTAATCCATCCGTCTTTTAAATTGCGTGTTGATAATCAACAAATGGATATTTCGTCAGAAAACTGTTTTTTGTTTCCCTTTCTTGTTTGGTAACGGGTCACTTATTCTCTTATTATTCACATTGTCATTATAATATTTTCGTGAACTTTAGTCTTTGCAGTTTCTATGGAAACAACATTGAAGGAAAGATTTTGTTTACATGAAAGGGCCTGGAACGTGGTTCCACAATCGTTATCTCGCCACATTACAATTTTTCACCCCAGTTAATCTAGTCGTACAAAGAAATCAGTTGTTGCCACGAGAACCCTATTTAACTATGGCAACTCATTACTATAAAGCTCTTTCAAACTCTGTCTTCTTTTCACCGAGAAACGCTCAACCTTTACGTTCAGTGAAATACTGAAAGCCTTTGAACAGGGCGCTAGCTTATGTGTTATATTTTGACGTTGTTATTAAATTGGAGTATCACGATAGTATTTACGTTGTCTAGGTTCGTTGCTGGATTGCTCGCCGTTCGTTTCGCCGAAAGAAGGGTGCTGCCTTGGTAATACAGCGAAGAACTAGGGGATACCTAGCACGGTATGAAGTCATCCATTCTATGACGTCATGCGTAAAAATATGTATGACCTGCTTTATACTTGGAATGATCATTTAAAATTTCTGTCCATCAAATTTTACTGAATGCTTGTGATATCAAGTCAACCGGGGCCATTATACTCAGCGATGCAGTTCAGTTATTATTAAAATAATAAAAATAATAATAATAATAATTCTTTTTTTTTATGATAATGACTTTATTTTTATCCACACAATTTTTATATATATTCAGTATAACAATGCTCTTAAATTACTCCAATTTCACTCACCCTAGGTCACTGGTAGTGACCCGGTGTTTGATCTAAAAATAGCAAATCAAAAGAAATTGACCGTAATAATAATAATAATAATGATAATGATAATAATCATAATCATAATCATAATCATAATCATAATCTTTCATATTTATGCAGGTTAATCTGTTCAGTTAGTAAATTTTTGTTATCAACCAAAGACCTGTAAATACTATCAACCAAAGGCCTCTCAATGGTTGAATTCAATGCTAACCCAATTCAATTCAAAGAAAAAAAGGAATAAATATTTAACGTTAGAGAGAATAAACATTTTTTTATCGCCATCAACAAGAATTTGTTATAAGTAATGAAAATTTGTTTCATTTTTCCGGTGCAGGGTAAGATTTAAGACATCGTTCAACGAATGCTCTTTCCTCATCAGTTTTGTTTTATGAGGTTCAGAGGGGCTTTTTATAAATGGAATAATAATGTCTTGCTGATCATATATCTTATTTTTCAAGCCTCGCAGCTATCTTTCCTCGCCATAGTTACCAATTACATGTTTTTATATTCTCTAGGAAACGGTATCAAAGAATTATCCGAGGAATAGTTTTGTTCCAGTCTTTATGGAGGGTTCATTTTAGAAGGAAGTTTTTTAAAATGGTTAGTTTTTGGACCCACTCGTTTAAAAATGTATTTGTTAATGCCTAATCTGTGCCAAATACGCTTGGAACAGAACTTGTCTTCTATGGCCTGATGATCGCATTAAGTGTTCTGTCTACACTTACACAGCATCGAAAACTTTTTATGGCAGACCAGCAAACAGTAATTTCCATATCTATATTGTTTCTAAGTCAATCGTAGCAGTTACAGTAAGGCAAAGAAATTCCTGGACTTTGTGAGCTGCATTAAATCATGTAACTATGAAAATTGAAATTAAGGGCATCTCAAAAGATCACCGGTCTCGGGAAAATTGACAGACGACAATCCAAATTATTTACTTTAAGTTTATAAAACTTTCAGGTCATATACCAGTATCCTTCTGCATTATGATGAACCAATTATTTCTTTACATTTTACATTTGATATCTTTTGATAACACTTCTAAACATTCTGTCCGATCCGTTATTGAAATATGATTGATTTTTTCATATTGTTTTGTTCCGTACGGATTTCTTTTGGCCTGATTGCACTCAAGTTAATACCTCCTTGCAGCTAAAATTCTTGACAACCTAAGGGTATAACGAATAAATATAATCAAACAGAATGCTAGCTATCTGATGATTGTTATTTAAGTGTCAAATTCACAGTAACAAATTTAGACCTCTCTTTTTAAATGCATCTAACACTGTTCAACAAACCGATTGATTGTAGTCTACAGTATGTTCCAAACAATGCCGGCTCGCAGAAACCATTAATGTGTTCTTTTTAACAGTAGTCTTCAGTATGTTCTGAAAAAGGGCGGTTCACAGAACTCTGTTAACCGGTTAACCGGTTCACAGAACTCTGTCAAGTGTGTTCTGAGCGAAACGGGTTAACAGTGATTTTTAGTATATTTTGAACTGGGCCGGTTAACGAAAACCGTCAGTTTTTCTTATTAGGAGTTATTGTCATTAACAGCCGTTTTCTTGATTTAATTATTTAAATATTTCTCCTGACAGGATGTTCCGGATGACAAAAGCGCCCCCGGGCAGCAGCTCCAATATTACAGCAAATTTGTAAGTCTTAAATGCACATGTTCATGATTAAATCTCACGAATCCTAGCTTTATCTTGGCTGGAGTCTGCTTCAAATCTTTAGTAATCTCTCCCAGCTTTACAAATCAGCAGCAAATGCATTGTTATTGCGACGGAGGAGCCATTCAAAATTATGAAGCTGAAAGTGCTAAGAATGACGGCTTGCAGGATGAATAATTAAAGCAACTTTGCATGCGATTCAATAATCAGCAAGTTACGCATATAGGAGATTATTAATTTACTGGTCTGGTGAAATTACAGGCTTTTGCTTTGCCTGATTGCAAAATCGCGAAAACTCGCACTACAAACTATTCTTGTGTCTGGCAGCGTTAATTATGAAAACCCAGTCCAGCAGGTTTGTTTTTAAGATACGAAGTACAAAGCAAAACAGCTGCGTTGAGCAAGAATTGAAGCACATCAACAAAACTGCTAATTACCATGCTTAACTACAGTGAAAATCGTAGAACGACGAATTCCAGTTTTCTATAAGCAAGATTATCTCATATCAAAATCCGCTCGCAATGAGATGACGGTTTTATCAATGTGAGTTGCGGTTCGGGGGTCTGCGGCAGCTTTCAAGGGCTGGCCTCCAACGGCCACTTGGCCGCGTTGACATCATCTTTATATCGTCTTATTATTTATTTATGTGTATAACATTGGCAAAAGATTCTATTCGTAGTATTTTCGTATTCTTGATGCAGAGCGCAAAAGATTGTTATTATTTAGACCGTAGGTTTTTTTGCCTATCACAATGAGCCTTGCTAAGATTTGCTAAGATCCGGCGTGAAAGGTAGCCATTGTTATGTTGGTTCTAAAGAATAACATGTTACTTCATCTCCTGTGAACAGGAAAAGAAAATGTTGGAACTTGAAAGAAGAGCAAGTGTTGATGTGACTCACTTGGAAATCCCTGCTGAACTGGCGCTTGTGTTCTCAAAGCAACCGTGTAAGTTTCGAGAAAACTATGATTTTGCTAACTGCTGTTTCAGTTGTGTTATTGCATAATGCTTCCAGGGATTGCACGAGCTCTCAAGTGATTCAGTATTGTTTCAGTTACACAATGTTGTGAAAGTTTAATTGAAAGCTACTACTTAGAGTATTCGATTGTGCTCGATTTCACTTACTTTGTAAGAGTGCCAGTTGTTCCCAATTCATGCTTGCAGATACTATAGACTTTGGTTTCGAAGTCTGTGTTGTCTTAACATATCTGGACTGCTATTTATTTGATAGCTCTGTTAGTGTCAGAATGAAATACAGATTTATCAAAACAGTAAATTTGCAAAGATTGGCTGCGTTAATCTTAAGCATGGTTCGGCAAAATCTAGTGTTAAGAACTAGAGGAAGTAATAACATTATATTTTTCGTTAGAGCAGTATCGAGTATGAGAAACATTTGTATGAGAACTGTAGATAAAAAGTTTCTTTGAACGCTTTTTTGGTTCATATCACATCAAAATTAAAACACAAAATTGGTATCTTGTTTCTCTTTTATTTTCCTCCACACAGTGCTAAATTGGTTGGTAATCAGGAAAGATGCTCTTAAATGTATTAATTTTTTGTTCTTGCTGAGGTATTATTTTATGCCGCTTGCTGCCTTAGGATTATATTTTTTAAGCAATCCTGCTAGGTGGAAAGTTTAGTTGTATCATGTTTTGGTGACTATTTTCTACTTAACAGGTATTCTTATTATCTGACTCGGCACCGTGTCACCTGTAGATTACTGCATTCGCTAGAAAACAATGGGCCTATGAATCAGCCTTGTCGTAAACACAATTTCAAATTTACACTTTTCATTGCCACGGAAATTTTTAGATGATGGACGGCCTAAGATATCAACTGACCTAGAGTGTTTTGAACTACCCTCAAGTTAATTCAGCACCTTGACAAAAATTGATATATCTGCACCAAGAAACCAAAATGTTTGTTTTGGGACTATCCGCCTGAGATGTAGGGAGTTAAGGCATCCAAAATTTATACCTAAGCCCGTTCGTAATTAATTGGTAACGCTGCAAATTTTTGTAGTTTCGAAAAATTTTTGAGTTTAATGTGCTAAGCAAATTTTCTGCTCTCGGCATTACATAAATCAAGTCAACTATATTTCATGAAAATTTCCATATGCAATTAGAAGAGACATAATATAAACAATCCTTAAATTTTGTATGTTATTTTCCGAAAGGAAATATTTCAATATTTTGCCAATTGCCATGAAATTCAGACATCAGAAGTTTTTGTGCAAATATAACATTGATCTAGAACTGTTCAGAATCTTTGCACAAGTATCACAAATTGCATTATTTGCTTCATTTTCCAGGTTTTGTAATGTTTTAAAAAATGTGATATGATGTTAAGAATCGTTTTACAATCTCGGTCGGACAAAATTGCCCCTGTAAATTCGAATTCCCCCTTCCCCCCAAATTTATGTAGGATTTTTAGTTTTATCATTTCTTCCGCAAAATCGTGCATTAAACATTACATTGAGGGCGGGGAAAAAGTTTTTTCAAAAGAAAGAGAAAATATCAACTTTCCTAGAAAAGTCTTAAACATTCTTGTCTGGGATTGTAAAACCAAATTGTGATTATTTTTACTTCTAAGTGTGCTGTGCTCTTGCTAATTTTGGACCATTTTGCATTTTCTAGAAATATTCTTTTAGCTTTAAATTGTGTTTTAAATTCCTATACTTTATTTCTTTCTTAGCATGGGAGCCAATTCACCAGGACTTCCATCTTTCGAAAGTTACCAAGGTCATTGAAAATGACTACGCAAGAAGTGGCTTACCTTCTGATATTGACAACTTCCCTTTCTCCAAGTTCATTCAGCAATTTTTCAAGGTAAATGCTCATTAACTTTTATAAGTTATATCGATATAGGTCTTGTCGATAATTACCACAAGTACACGGAACAGTCAAAGTTTCAATCGCATTTTTGTACTTCCTCTTTTTGTACTTGTGTAAGTATGTAGCGGTCATCAACCCCCACTTATTGATGTCACAAAGCAAGCATCGCATCAACAAAAGCTAGTCATAACCGGGTATATTTACCAAGGGAAAATTTTCTTTGTCCGAAAATAGAAATAATTCAAAGATCAGTCGTTCGAATTACCAGGCATTCGAATTATCGGTGTTTGGTTGCATACGAGTCCTGAAAATGAAGCAGATTTTTCCAAAGCATATGTTGAAATAGAAATACACCTTCGACCTTTCTAGGGACGAGAGGATCATAGCTAAGAAGAGCAATATACCTTTCATTCCCGTAAAATCGATCATAACGTAGAAAAACTAGGGCCCTGCCTATAACTTCAAAATTCGTAGTTGCTCGGCTTAAGGGTTGTTTCTTTTTTTCTATGTTCAAAAAATGCCAGCTATCTTAAGTCGATTAGATGAATGGAGTAGGCTTTTGTTTTCAAGTCCCTTTTAGTTGTGTATCAAGTTAATGTTTCTGCAGCAAAAGATACGGGATTCCGCAGAAAAGCAAAAACTATCACACTGAGTGACTTAAATATTCCGCCTAGTTTATACAGAAATCTAGTCTAGTTGTATGAATTTTTAATTTGCACATGTTGAAGTACATAATCAACCTTACTCTGTACATGTGTGACGTATGGATCGTATTTGCAGTAGTGTCTCTATTTTTCCAGCCTAATCTTGCTCTATCGACCTGTCTAAAGTTTGCAAAATAAGAATGAATTTTTGTATCTCATTGCAGGATGATAAAATATTTCACCATTCAAAAGCCCCGATTTACTCGCCTTTCTTGAAAGTCAAACAATCTGAATCTGTCGAGGCTGTGAAAGTTTTCAAGTTGGTAAGTGCGCTGTTAAATTTTGCAATAAGAGTCGGTAAGTGTTATGGCATGCAATGACTTTGCTTCAACAATTTTCAAATTTTTTCAGGTTTCTCTCTTTGACCAAATTTCATGAATATAAATCTTGCCATATCATGAAATGGGAAACTGTAGTTATCATTCATTGATGAACTTATCTTGGGTTTAAGACACTATAAAGTTTTTTGCTAGTTTTTTTGTGCAAAGCTAATTTCCTTTTTAAATTTCAAAATTTCATTCTGAAAGAATTTTAAATGATAAGCAACTTTATACCATTTATAACTGCGATATAGATTTTTTGTGACAATCTAATCGTTCGATAAAGATACTTTTGTGTCCAAATGCTATTTGTCAACGAGCAATTATTACAAAAAAAGACAAATCCACATTGTGCTTTCGAAAGAGTCTTTAATGCCTATGTATCCAGAAATTTTATGCTATGATGATAACAGAGATGGCCTTACTAAGCTAAGCACTTTACTTAGCTATAACTTAGATATAACTTAGCTAAGCACTTTTTTAATTAGTGCTTTTCTCTTACCAAAGCCAATATTATACTCTAGTGCAGGATTCTTGACAAAAGTAGTATGCTACATAACTCAATTTTATGTTTCAAGATAATGAGATTTATGGATGATCCCTCCATCACCGGTAGCAGAGAATTTATTCTTGGAAATTACATCGTACAAATGGTTCGTAATTTGCCTTTTTATACTTTAACATGCGCATCTCCATGCTGCCGGAGTAAATATTTTTCCAAAATTCATTTAGCTTGGGAGGGGTATCGTAGCTAAGTCTATTTTGTTGCTTGGGGGTATAGGTGGTGGCATCACCCTGTTATAAAAATATTAGAACACAATTGTAGCTCTAACAATCAGTGGATTGTAGCTCCAAAAATCTATTTGTTGCAGTTATAGAACGAATCATTTTTTGTAATTTATTTATTAAACTTGATTCGTTTAATTATAGAAGCGAAATCCACTCTTGTCTCTACCCAAACTTCCCTCGTGCATTTATCACGTTGTATGACTTCCCTCGCTGTATGAAGTACGAAAGGTTGTTTGGGAAATTCGTTATTTGAAGTATACACAGATGTCAAAATCCAAAAATTTGACATATGCACTTGGGTTTACGTGCATAATTAATTGCCTTAATTATGATGTCACGGAAATAGAGCATTTATTTTTTAATATCATAAAACTTTTGTGTATCCATTAGAGATTTCAGATTCATTTCATTTCATTGAGTTTATCAAAGTAAACCTCTACATGAAAGATCCCGTGTTAATTTTTGTTAAAATTGTCATTGCCATCGTTATATAAACAGGGAATTGGAAACCCTGATGTTCGTGACGAAATGTACACACAAATTTGCAACCAGATCTGGTCGAACCAAGATGACAAATCACGGCAACGAGGCTGGATACTCGTTTCCCTGTGCTTATGCTGTTTCCCGCCATCAGCGTTGATGTATAAGTATCTCCTCAAGTAAGTCAAATTCAGTTCGCTGTCTAAACGAATTTTCTTTCGTTCTGCATTTGTATGTCTGGCCCCCTACAAGCTCCACGCTGGTTCTTCTTTAGAAATCATTGCTGCCTAGATGCTTACCACTAACCCCTGCTTCAATCTGTTATGACTGCATCAATTTTTGTCCTTCTTTATAATACAGAAGAAACATGTTGAAAATGTTTATTCCTTCTAAAGGAGATGTAACATTTTAGTCCCCTTGAATGTGAAGCAAGATAAATTCACATCATCAGAAGTATTACCCCATCAACGATTTTGATTGTTGCACTTAGTATAGAACAGAGCCTGCCCTACAAGAGGGGCCAGGGGGCCGTGGCCTCCCAACTTTTTCACTTAATAAAAAACTGAAATAAGCTTAAAATATTGATAAAGATAAATACATTGATTGCAACAAATACATTGAACCAAAATCCACAAATAGAACAGCGAAATCATTGCTACAATTGGGGCTAAAGGGGGGAAGGGAAAACTTTCTTTACATTGCTGGCCCCTCCATTTTAGGGTCATTGGCGCGAGCCCTGAAGAACTCTGAGCTCTCTGTTTACTGATTACGTTTATATTTCCTTAAGTTTTAATAAAACGATTTTTGCAATTTTCACTCCTTGGGATTGTTTTCAACTTTTGATTAGTAGCTATCTATATTCAGTAATACAGCATTAACCATAACCCCAAACGTCGACTCTTGCTTTCCAACTGAGCCCCAAAAGATTGTTTGTTTATATTTTAATCACATTCCCTCTCCACTTTCTTCTCTAAACCTATCTCATTGCTCGCCTACAGGACCCACGCCAACGGAGGGTCGGGTGGCCATGGCCGTCCCACTTTTGCAAAGCAAGTAGTTTTAAAGCTACAGTAAAAGGGGAAAGAAGCCTTGCTCCCTACTTTTGCTAGCCTTGGCCCCCAATTTTCAATTTTGTGGCGTGGCCTGGGCCTGAGATATCATCGTTAAAATTTCGTTTCCTAGATTCGTTTCTGACCATGGAATGGGTGTTTATAAGAACATCTGTCAACACAAACTTCTTACTTGGAAGGCGAATCAATCCTCAAGGGCCCTACCCCCGTCTTTCTTGGAATGGAAGTCAATCAAGGATCAAGCAAAAATGTCACTCGAAATGCAGGCATCTGATGGTAAAAAGAAGTCTAAGTACCTTTTAATTTGATTGATATTCATTGGTATCAGTTGTTGGTTCATATTGCTAGAATATTCAAAGTCATGCGTCTAAAATTTACTTTGATGCAGTTATTATTGGACTCGTGAGACAAGTGGTGACTAGTGGGGACTAGTGGGGACTTGCCGCCCAGTTCTTGTCAGTATCGATTTTGTTCTTCGTTAAGATCCGATGAGAAAAAGTGAAGAAGGAGTATTATTTTGGCAAAGTTTATTTTTTGTTAGGATTCTGTGTTTTTCGAACTATCTTTACGCAACCAATAATTCCTATTGGAAAAATGGGCGTTCCATATTGGTATGATGGCTGTTACCTATTGGCAAATTTGCGTACTATGTAAATTCTTTTCCCCAAAAAAGTATCATTTAAATCTTAGTTTTCCTTGATTGCATATATAAAGATTTTTGCGCACAGGTTTATTCGCTGACGTTGAAGTTGATTCAACCACTGTTGGAGAAGAGGTTGCTGCTACTGCAATGAGAACGAGGTTACTATGCTTTATTCGTTTCTACTATATCTAAAGACATGCAAAAAAGCTTTACTGGACATTAAATCTTTATGTGCGTATCTAGCGTAATGAAAAAGGAGACTTTTCATTTAGTTAATGCAATTTTTATCTATTAATCATTATTAGAAAGATATTTTCCTTGGTCTTATCTATCTGATATGTCTATCGTAGAAACAGTTTCTTGTTATCGCGAAGAAGAACTGATAAGAAAATCATGTGCAAAGTTGGGAACTTTTATCTAGGCATATCAGAAGCTCGTTTTCCTCAATGTGTTAGGTCTTTGGCTACAAAATTTATTCAGCAGCCTGGAAACCTATCTACATCAAGACAACAGGCCTAATCTTTTGTAGGCCATAAGATTTCGTTTTCTAAGTGTGTTTCATCGTGCATGCCAAATAGGATCTGCAAAAAGTAGTCAGTTACAGTAATGGCAATCTACTACGACTTATTCCCTACTTTTTAATCTAAGGTCACGTTTGAGCATAAACTTCCCGCGTTACTAAATCTCACTGCTGCAATTGTAGTGAAGGTTTTTTCTATAGGATTGAAATACGGTTGCTTGGAAGCAAGTCGCGTATTTTTTGCTAATGAATTATCAAATATATTGGGAAGTAAGTTCGGTCGAAGACCAGTTTTGCAAGGCTAAATGTTAAGTTTATATGCGGTTGGAAGAAAAATTTGTTTGTGCCCTATTTCTATATAAATTTTACGTTAAAGTTTAAATCGCGTCCTTTAGAGTCCACATAATTATTTCTGGTTACAACCTTTTTGTTAAAACATTTTTAAATCTTCATGAAAGCTTTTTTGTGCTTTTAGAGTGATTAAAGACCAGATAGATGGTTGGTCGTTAAGTCTTCAGTATGAAAGGTCATGCAGACTTGATCTTCCCGGATGTGACTTTATCATGGACCTAGTATCGATCCTTGAGGCACCCCCGCTATTTCCTCCGGTTTCTTCAAGAACGCTATTGTCGATTGATTCAACAAATCCAATACCAACATCAAGGATGGAATCAATTGCCAAGTATGTTTTTATTGAAAATTAGATTTTTTGTTGCTTTCAAATAAATTTCCCGGGTCATTTTGTATGTGTCAGGGCCATATTGATTGTTTTCCTTTGACTATATCTGTAACTTTCTTGTTCTTCTGTTTCCTGTTTTCTGTTTATCCAAGACAATGTTCTTAAGCTTTCTCAAAGTGCCTAGATCATTTACCTTATGATCGATAAATATTTTCTGAGACGTTCTGTTTTCTATTTAACAGCATGCATTTGCAAAGGCCGTCTCATGCTTCCAAGAATTCCATGGTGCTTTTTGACTTTGAAGAAGGCGAAATTCAACAGAATATCGTAGAACACAAGAGAGATGAACTCATCTATCATTTGCACAGCCCAAATGAATCCTCTTCGTTTGGATATGATCACAGAGAGCTTGTTAATGCCCAACCGACCCCCTTGATGATGCTTGCAGCCATGCCCCCTCCACCGCCACCACCTCCTCCGCCACCACCTCCTCCGCCACCTCCTCCCCCACCACCCATATCAGCGCTGCCATCAAGAAATCTTTCCCCGCCGCTACCTTTTCTGAGAACGTCTTCCCTATCACGCAGTCAATCTTCTAGCATTACAAATACAGATTCTGCTGCCTCTGCAAGCAACATATCACAGAAAGAAACTAGGAATGCCTTACATGGTGTACCAGTTTTCAAAGGCGCCGAGTCGTCAATATCTCTTGCTGAAGTGAGAAGCCGCGCTAAAGAGCTCGGGAAATCGCGGGAAAACCGGCTTTCATTGCACAGCGATAAGAGTTATGATCCAATCGTGGCAGAAATAAAGGCAAGAAATTCATCTACCGGGTATGAGAATGATCCTTTAGACAACAATAACGAAACAGTAAAAACAGTTGCTGTGGGTGAAAAGCAGAGAAATTCGTTTGATTTTAACTCATATGATCTAACTGGGAAAGATATTTTACGAAATAGGCCTGTCGTTCATTCGTACCCAAACACAAGTCTTTTAGTGCAGAAAGCGCAAAAGGAAAATGACGTCACAAGAGAAAGTGTTTCAGCAATTTCCTCGAAGGTAAATCCACCGCCACCAGTGAAGCCCAAACCTATTAAGTCACCAGACGTTAATCAAACGAAAAGCGTTAATGCGTATGTCGATAGACTTTTTAACCCCGTCTATATAGGTGAGATGGAAGATTTGCGGAGCAGCAGTGCAGTGAGCCAGAAACTCAAGGGTGGAGGAGGAAAAGCTGCAGTACCGTATCCATCACGTGTCGGTGAGTTTGGCAAATCAACCAATGGCAGTGCGCTTACTAATGGGAGAATCCAAACGGAAGTGCCGTATGAGGCCGAGCAACAGAGAACTCTAGTTCAGCAGCTGTTACAGCAACAGGCCTTGATGCAGGAAACCCTGCAAAAGATACTAGACGAAAACAAAAGAGCCTGGGAGTTTGCTGCTGCACAGCAACCGGTCGCTGCTGCTCCACAGTTACTTAAACACCACAATGTGTCGACCGAGCTACCAGAGAAGGATTATGGGTCAGTGAAAACTAATGGGATTAAAAGGCATGATGTAGGAGATATTGAGATTGCAACCGGGGAGGATGAAAATGCTAGCGAAGATAGGCTGCCTCGGCAAGCTGGATCGTATGATTCAAAGTCCGTTCGCAAATTGCCTGGTGGCATACGACATGCTATTCGCCAGTTTGAGGCACAGCAAAGTTCGGAGGAAAAAGACTATATGAAGGTAGATGATCTACAGCATGTAGCAGTGGATCGTTCGAATACGCCTGTCAGCTCTAATGTTACGAAAAGCACCAAATGGGGCAAGCTATCACCTGGCAACACCCAGTTGTTTCAACAGCAAACGACTAAACTTCTAACCAAGCCTGGTAGGGATTTTCTCACATACGGGAACGTGCGATGGCAGTTGCTTCTCAAGAAGGAGGTTAATGAAACATTCTTATTCGCGTTGCATTTGACCTTGTATTTCTTGTTTTCTCGTTGAACATTTAGGCATGCAGCTTTTATATCAACTTCAGTAATTAGGTTCTGAATATATTCTCAGACAATACTAATGATAAATTGTCTTGATATCGAGCTATTTGCTGTATAAATATGTTACCTGACTCTCGAAAGTAACTGTTAGCTTCTAAATAGTGACTCGTAATTTTTCACCCAACAATCCTTTCACAAGACCCTCAATTCTGAAATGTGATCTTTTCTTTTCTAGATTTTTTTACCTAATGATAACACGGACCAAAACCCAGTCATTCAAGAGCTCATATATCAACAGGTACTCAGCCTTGCCTCCAGTTAGAGACTGTAGAGTTCTTTCTTATATGCTATATTAGAATTTATTTCTCAAATACTTTTCGTAACGAAATCTTAATGATTTCAACAAACTGCTCTTCTTTTAAAAACAGTCCTTAAAAAGAGTGTGTCCGTATTTGTAGCTTCGTGGGAGGGCAAACTCGGCTTAAACCAATCGAGGTACAGCTTGTCTAAGCCAATCAAATCAACTCTTTGAAGATGGTGCATTTAACTGCATGGACACGCTGCCTGTAAATCATGCAATCTGTATGGACACACTGCAGCTACTGTAGTGATTTATTGATTTTTTTATAGATTTTGCAGGACATGTATTGCCGAACCTGTTGTAGACTCTCAGCGCAAGACAGGGCGGCCATCACCGTGATACTAGGTAGGAACCTTTCTTTGAATATCATAAATGTGTTTTATTCATTTAAATGTATTTGAGTATTTTAACTGCATCATATTTTACTACTTCAGATAAACTTTTAAATTGCAAAAGAACAACCATTTGAATTTTTAATGTCACATTTTTATCGTAATTTTTGTCACATTTCCAAATTGCAATATTTTTATCCAGTCTTTATACAGCCTGTGCTCACTAGAGGATGTGGGCCGGGGGTGGAGGAGAGAATCGATTTTCGTGAGGATAGAGAACGGGACACACCTACTTATTTCTCTTCCCTTCTCTGACGACTATAGATTTAGGCTAGGCGTAGCATATACACTGTCTTTATACATTAAGCAGAATGTAAGCTATGCTTGCTTCTTGCCCTTGCACGAGGAAGTAGGCAGTTGATTTCTATTGTTGGCAATTTAGCCCGAATCATGAAAACCGATTCACCTAGAATAGATTTTCTGATTTGGGAAGAAAAGTGGGAAATTCGACAGGTATTCATAAGAGCTCAAACTGTTTCGTACCTTGTAAAAACATAGTTTACCGGTTTTATAGAATCGACTGAAAACAGACATTCGGACATCACTCCGCAAGCATCAAAGGATATGCTGATCACAAAAGCCAAGCAATTCAACTTTTACTTTTCCAGGATATATCCTGTCACTGTAAGTTCATACATTTCCCTTTGTTGTTTAGCTCTAGTTTTATTATGTCTTCTCATCAAACAATGCATTGGCTCTCTGAATTAATGTATAGCCAATGCAACCGTGGATGGCTAAAGTCTCTTACCAGTAAGCTCTCATTCAAGCTTGAAAGTCAAAAGTTTTGAATTCAGACTACATTTCGAACTCACTGTATTGAAATAGTGAACAATGCTTTCTCTGATACTCTTTATTGCAAATGGATTTGTATTGTCGTATATTGAAAACCATTTCTGATTTTCAGGGATACTCAGATTCGAATAAAAGACACGTTTACCTGGCCGTGTCACACACAGGAGTCCGATTTGCAGTCAGAGATCGTCTAGATGAGGAACTTGCTCTCCATGCTTACTTCACGTAAAGCCTGCTTTTACTTACAGCATACAAATGAGAATCAGTTGCATAACTTAGTGTTATGTAGGACACACGTAAATACGTAGTAGTTAGGAAAATTCAGCTCCATCTGGACTGGATCTTTGCACTTCACATCTAAGAAGCTCAATAGTCGTGTCTTAAGATGCTTGCTTTTTCAAAGCCATTTTTGAATTTTCTATATAACCAAAAACTGATTGCTCTGTGCTGTATATCTGCTGACTTGCAGACTGAAAGCTATTTGATCAAACTTTTAACTTAATTAATCAAACTTGTTGCTTGCTGGATAAAATTTGGGACATTTCAAGTAAAAAACGGTTAAAGTGAAACGAATTCTAACGTATTGCCAATGGCTGATTTATTTTGTCTTCAATACAACCTTTTTGAAATTTCCAGGTTTCCAGAAATTCTATACGTGAAATCCTTCAAAGACAAGTTGACTCTGGACACGATTTCGCATAAATTCACATTGTATACTGCACGGGTAAGAGTTTGCCTTCAACATATTTCAGTCTTTCTCCTAACTGATAATCGAGTCTTTCAATCTTATTCTCCACGAATCATTGATAAACGAGGTTCCCCTTTGTTTTAGAGTAACATGTTAAATAGCCAGCCATATTACAGTGCATTTTGTTGTGTTCATCTCCTTTATAAGAAGGTAGAAAATGCCGGGCTAGTTTTGTATATAACAAAATGATTTAATTATAATGACACACGTTGATACAGAAATGAGTACCAGTTGATTTTGTGTGTAATAGGAGTACCAGTGAGTTTGTAGGCTCTCTTTCTTCTTTCTCTTAGTGTTCTGCCAAACGGTAAATCCTATTCAAACCATCTGAACTTTGAATGTTTATTTTTGTCATAGGCCTTCACAGTTAAAAAGCTGATCGACAGTTTTCTGAAAATACACAAAAAGGTAAACTATATGTGATATTGTTCAAAAAATCATTTTAGTCAGCAGTCGATTAGCAGATCTATTTGTTCAAGTTTTACTGCAAAGTTTGGGCTATTTTTTCAAAGTGAGTACTTTGGCTCGAAAGCTGAAAATATGATTGACTTTATCTTTATATTTATATTATAATATTTATTGCAAGTCCTGAGTTCTGGAAAAAATCTCAAATTGTCCAAAAAATGCAGCTTCATTCCTTTTTAGATGCTCTATTTGCAAATAATTTGATTCAAGGAATATTCTAGGCGGGTGATTGTGTCTGACTTTGTATCCCCACAATCAATCGTATGTTACCTCTTAAGCTTACAATCCATTTTCAAGAAAATCTATCCTAGAACTTCGTTATTTACTCAAAGTCAATAGAAAACCATTAATCAGTTGCTATGATCCCCCTCTGCTACTTTTCTTCAGAATGAGGTATACGTGCATGCCCTGTGTGATTTCAAACCTACCGAAAATGGGTTCCTTTCTTTCAACCGTGGGGATATCATTCGCATTTTGGACAGGACTGATTTAGAAGACGGCTGGCTGTTTGGCATTGTTCAGGACAAAAAGGGCAAGTTTCCTGCAAACTGTGTTGAAGACTATGACCCGGTCAGTATCTTGTTTGGTTTCTATTCGTTAACAGTTGCGAAATTGCTGCAAATATGTTATTTTCAATATATAGTGCTTGCTCCTCAATGTGGACATGTTTCCGTTCCTGTTGCACATATTCTGTCTATGAAATATGCAACAGATAAGACCGAACATTGGAAAGAGGGAGGCGGAGGAGGCACTCAGTCTTTTCGAGATTCATTTTGCAGGTTTTAAGAGCTTCGCCTCCCTTTATTTGGTCCAGTCGTTCAGCTGAACTCAGTGCCTACGATTTCCGTGGTAAAACGCCTGATAAATTTTAAAACAACGAGCCCCAGGGACGTTTAATGGAATAACAATCGAGTGTGAAAATGATAATTAACTCATTGTTTTCTTCTCATGATGTCATAAGCTGAACATTGTTTGTGTTTTTTGTGCCTTTCCCATTTAAAATTCTTATGAAGAGGGAATTCAATAAGAAAATTGATGACATGCCGACTAATGAGTTTCTTTTCAAATGTTGCAAATTTTTTTTATATTGCCCATGTAGTCATCTTTAAAATCTTTTGAATAAGGCTGGTCTTGAATGGCAATTCTTGAAATTAATCCTTCAGATACCCTGAAGGCAGGTTCTTTTGTCATTCCTTACACCTTCAATGTATCTTTATTAAAACGTCTAAAAGTGAGAAAATAATGTTGAATATGCTTGTTTTCATACACTCTAGCAAACTCTTGTAATGATTTCTATAATGATTTTAACATTAAACTTCTGTTTTGTAATGTTGTTTGCTTTTTTTTGCAATTCCCCGTTATCTAGACATCAATGCTGACGTCCAAATCTCAAGATCGCATCTGGGCAAAACCGATACGACCTGCGGATGATACGGACAGCGTCGATTCGGAGGAGTTCACAACAGACGATGGAAAATTTTCTATGATGGAATTCGCGTTCAGATATTTCAGACAGGAGTGAGTAAAACAATATTTTTATCATCATTTGCCTTTTTGCAGAATAAGGAATGTCCAGTCTACCGTTGCTGGCTTCTAAGGTTGGATGTTTATTTTTACCAGTATCTAAGGTATGCAACGAGCCTCTTCCATTGATTCAAATATGTGTTTACTGTTTTTGTTACGATCTCGGGGTGCACAAGCCGTATTTCCAATCAGGGAATTGTGCATAATCACAGTAAAAAGTCTGGGACACTAAGGGTAAGGCTGAATTCGGCAACCCCTTCCCCCGGGAATAATATTGGTTTACTACAGAGTGACGCACGAGGCTAAGTAACATTTTGTTATTGTCTGATTTATATTATATCTTTCTTGACTATCTATTTTTTTTGGGTGGAAGAGAAGGAGCAAATCTGATAATATTTTGGAAAAGAATTCGAAAATATAAAACCCAAGATAGGTTTGCCAATGCCCTATTTAAACTTTGAACGCAATTCCAGTAGCGTATACCGTGTAGAACTGAGTGGTATTTAGAGCAGATGTGTTTAACGTTTTAAGCCAGTCTTTTCACACAAATAGACCCTTGCTTTCCATATCTTTCAATGATTTTGATCAGACTCAGAGAGGTTCAGAGGTGATGCAAATAATTCTAAAATCTAAATCGATCAATAAGGGCAATCAAGACATCCTTTAGGACTCAGACCTTGCTGTCTTACCAGTTATTTTGCCTTGTATCATATACTTCCGAAGCCATGCTGTTGAATACAATTAAACCTTGTAATATTCTCTGATTTGTAGCGATGCAAGATCATCTAGTCAGAGAAAGAAAGGCGTAGAGAAATGGACATGGAAGACGATGACAGACCTCATAAAGTATACTTCAGTGCGTATCTCTAATGATTTGCTAATTTATTAGCTTGCCATCTTTACAGCATTCTTTCCTCTCTATTTTGCTGCCCTGTTAGAAGTATTTTCCTTAAAGACTCCTTGTCGTAATATCCCTCAGTCGTATTCATCGTATTTTTTCTAATTCCAGCGACGAAAGCGACGAAATAGCGCTAGTAAATATCTCTAAAGCTTAAGCCCCTCTTTTCAGGAACCTCTAAACAGCTCTTTACTCAATTACAACAACAAGCAACTTAACAAGCAAGCAGTGGAAATCTCAAAGGGTTTGTTTTTTAATATAGCATTGCTATTAATTTTTCTATTTGCATTTGACGGTATTTTACGAATTTTTTTATCAGAGACTTTGAAGAAAAACATTAAACTTTATTATGATTGTTGCTGAAAATGATAGGAAACCACTAGTTTCTGTTTCTTCCTGTTTCTAAATTCTAAGTTAGATTTCTGTTATTCTTTATATCTAAATTTTTGAAATACCAGTGCTAAAATGTAACTGAAAATACACCACTTAAAATTGAAAATATAGAGGTACACAAAATTAGTTCTCAGATAGTTTAAACAAAACTACGTAACAACCTTACTTTCGAAATTTCTCGGTAACAGTCTTACATACATGACATATTTTACCCGAATTTACAAAGTGAATCATCGTGATTAAAGAAATTTATAAAAATTTTATGAAGCGTTTTTCTGAGAAATATGACATTTTTTATACTGGTTTATTTTGATGAAAACTCAGTATATAGTTGTTTTGATATTTTGCAGCAATTTGGAAATTTATGGGTGACTTGCCTAAGGCAAAGCATCAAAGTGACGCAGAGCTTCTGATTTTCATCTTGAAGGTAAATACAAAGTGAAGCTATTTACTGTTTAAAACCATTCATTTTAATGGAAGAATATCCTCGGAAAGTCAAATTAGTTGGATTTTATAAGCTGTTGATTTGTTCAGATATCAGTTGAGGGCACCTTGTGTAATTATTTTGCATGCATGATTGATTTCGCGTAAATTTCCACTGTTTATTAACATTTACTTTCAAAAGGGTTGATAGTGTAAAGAGTGATATAGTTAATACAGTTTTGTTTTCAATCATACATTTCAAATACAAAATCTTATATCAATTTTCTGTACAGCTATTGATATAAAAAAGTGACGGGGCACTTGGGGGGAGGGGGGCACTTGGCTCTCTGCCTCCTTCGATGCAGCTTATGTGTAACAAATATGTTAAGCTGCTCAGTTATGTTCTGATTGTGTGCATCTCTTTCACATATCTAGTCCAACACTAAGCAACACTACTCTACTTTCATTATTTCTTCCAGACCGGAAGGGACGTTCTCGACCTCAGGGATGAGATTTACTGCCAACTGGCAAAACAAACTACAAACAACAAAAGCAACACAAGGTATGTGAAGCAGCCAGTACCTAGAAAGCAGCCACCACCTTAAAAGTTAACAATGAACGCAGTATCGTATCTCATAAACAGAATATAAATCAAATTGTTTTCTGTCCATTTCAGGGACAGCGTGAGCCGTGGTTGGAGGCTTATCATGATTTGTACGGCTTACTTTGACTGCTCGCAATGGCTTAAACCTTATCTTCTAAAGTATCTGAAACTGGCAAATAACCCAAAGAGAGAAATTCAAGGTGAGTAGACAAGCTGATTAAAAGGAACATTGTTAAAGAAAGATCATACTCATTCGCGACACCTATTCTTTTAACATATCTGATGTTGGCTACTCTTTTTTTATGTTATTTCCTACTCTAACAAAGCTATGAGAATTTATCAACAAGTATTTAATTAAGTAGTTAGTTGTTTTGTACAATATATGAAACAAAGTAACCATATTTTTCTTTAGTAGCTGATATTCTGAAGTTTTAAATTCAGCTTAAGTCTTCGTTTCTGTAGCTTAATCTGTTTCCGGAGTACATCTTCACTTATGTGACTGTCTTTGATATATCTATGACGTAGAAATTTGCATATTTAACAAGTGAGCTTGAATCAGATGTTTTTTCAAAGGGGCTGCTGCTGTCAGTGAACAGAACTTGACAAGATCATTCAAATATGGCGGAAGAAAACACTTACCACCTCCAAATGAACTGGAAATGCTTTTGGTGTGTATCTCCTAAAGTTTTCTGCAGAGCTACCATTCTAAAGCTTTCAAAATTTTTGAAAATCTCTAAAAAAAGTCGCCATTAGATTTTTTTGACTGCAAAACAGAGTCTGAACTTTGTAAATCTGTATCTTATTTTTTTATGAATGAAATCTATTAATACTTCATAGATCAGATTATAGAACAGAACCAGATTGTAGAAAAACCTGCAGTTGTTTGATACCTATCCAAGGCTACCCGTTAATTGCTTTTCAAAATTTGTATTTCGAGGGAGTTTACAGACCGTTACTGATGTATAATGGTCTGTCAATTTTATATGATGTCAGATACTGTTTTCCCATGGCCCCTTGTTTCCCAGGCAATTCTCTATAATACCTTGCCCTTTATGAACCTAATTATATAAAAACAAGAGCTGATTCGTTTGCAGCAAGGGAAACATATGAAGCAGCAGATTGTCATTCTCCCAGGCAGCCTGAAATGCATGGTCAGAATCAACACGAGCACGGTAAGATACGTTGGATATTTCTCTTAGGAAAATTCCTTGATTTCGGTTTTCATAAGTTACTGTTTCTCTAAAAACAATAAAATCAATTATGTTTGAATTGAACAAATAGAAATGTCATTTGCATCATTTTTTTATTTTCTAAAGTATATGTCACTATTTCAAGAATTGATTGATCTCGATAATTAAACTTGCTCGCTTCTAAATTGAAATATATATTTCTCACATATGTTCCAAACTTTTATAGGTTAGAAATGTTTTGTAAACTATCGTAGTGCGATAACAATTTTAGTCCCCGATTATCTTTTAAATGTGGGTTATATTTTTTATCATAGATCTTTAAGAAATATAAAAGCATTGATTGTTAGAAGTAACAGAAAACAAAAAAAAACAACTATGTTACTTAAAGTATCTTCATTCAATTTTGATATGTCATTTTAGACTGGTGCAGATGCTGTGAGTGAAGTCTGCCGCGAAATGGGATTGGAAAGTGAAGATGACATTTCTGAATATGGGATCTTTACATACCTAGAAGATCGTACGTATCAAAGCCTTCATAATTTATTGTAAGATTTAGATCAGAGATTCTTAATCATTTTAAGTGCCGGGCCAGAAAAAACATATAGATTTTCTTCGGGGGCCAGTTGATTTTCAACTTTTCCATACCTTGTGTTAAAAGGCTGCTCAAAATGAAACTCAAATCTCATTTTTACCAGGCTAAGTTAGTGATGAGTTAGGCATGCCTGTTATGTCGTGCCTGCCTATTTTTCCTACCTTAGCATAAGCATTCGGCGGGCCGGGTGAAATTTTGCTGCGGGCTAGAGTTGGCCCGCGGGCCGGAGTTTAAGAATGGCTGCTTTAGATGCTACGCGCTATAGAATTTAATACTTGATCAGGTGTATTAATCTACATTACGTCTTGTTCTATCAAACGTATTATTGACATGTGCACTATCATTCCAATTTTTACAAGTTTAATTCAAAGCCCGTTACCCTATTGAAGAAAACCTAGCAAGATTTCTGCTCATTAGCAATTAGGCATGTAGTTGTTTTTTATGTCACAATTTTGTGGTTGAAAGCGCGATTAAGCGAAACCTTTTTTATTGATTCTCTTTCAGAAAAGTTGCTTCTGTCACTGCAAAGGGGAGATTACATTTTCGATGTTTTTGCTGAGCTTGAAAAACAGGATATCAAATTCTCACTTGCTTTTCGAAAAGTTATTTGGTTTCAGCCAATGAAATTCAATGATGCGCTTCTGGTAGAGGTTATTTACAACCAGGTATTTCTGAATTTATTGTATGATAAAGCCCGAAGGGTGTTCCTTTTATATCCTTTACAGAAAGATGATCTAATGATAAGACATTATCAAAAGCCCAGTCACTAATGATAAGTTACTACACCAGGGGTGTGTTTTTGCTTCTAAACCTTTAGTGCCAACATAAGCTGTTCTTTTCTAATAAAACGTCTATTTCCATTAGTGCAATAGATTGTCCTGCTTTGAAGGCATTTGACAAGCATAAGTACAGTGAATCCAAAATTAACTTGATCAGAGCATGCGCGTTTGAAAGTAATTTGAAACTACTCGCGTGAAACCACTGTGAGTCGCTCTAGGGTTTCGCGGATTTGCAGAAAGGCGGAAACTGTTCACATGTTTTTTCTGTGTGCAACTTGATTGGGCAACCGCTTGGGATCAACTGGCTGTAAGCCACTTTTACCCGTGTCAAATGCCTTTAACCGCATAGCAGGGCTTAAACTAGGTTTTTTGGCTTCTCACAGATATCAGATAGAGCAAAAAAAGAAATAGATGGAAAATAGACAGGAAAAAGATAAAGGACAGAGGAAGGTGATATGATATCAGAGGACTTGACAAAATATTGTGCTATTATGTGGAAAGACCTATCTTGAAGATTCTCGTTGTACTGTTAATAGGAGTTAATTCAAGAGCTAACCATATTTTCCAGCTGTTAATTTAAAGCATTTCAAAAATTGTTGATAGAACATCAAGATAGAACATTACCTAAATATCCCATTCTTAGAGCTTCATTTCCATTTCCTTATTCACCAGCGATTTTCAACTGCTACTTTTCAGATTTTGCCGGACTTTATGAGTGGGTATTTGTTGCACCTCAAAGATTACCGTGATGAACTTTTGGTGGTGAGAAATCATACATATTTATCATTAGATTATTTATTTCAGGACGAGTTCTAGGCAATGCTTTTAAATATGTGGCTATTAGATCTTTCGCACATACTACCTAATACATACTTACCTATAAGACTTTTGTTCTTTCGTGGTACACTACTTGTCATGGATTCTTTGATGACTTAAGTCAATTTCATTTCAAGAATCATTTTGGCAATTACAAAATACAAATCATTGAGGGAAACTTACAAGATTTTAAGAAAGCATTTGATACTAAGTAGTTTATTTTAACGTCATAATTATATAAGTTTTATTATAATCAACGTAACATTTTGCCCTTCCATAAACAAAACTTTAATTAGGCCGTCTGCCAGATTCTCAAAATCCTGTGATGAACAAGAATAGCTGTCAACCATAGTGAGAAACAACTCAACTTAAAACAGAACCAGACAATTTAAAGAGAAAGTGACTTAAAATGTGGAGACAATAAATTAGATTAACTTAGATCCTCGTTCTGCGAGTTCTTACCAGCTTGTATTGTGTCGATTCTGGACAAATAAATGAACAACTCGATTTATATTGTATCGATCCATTGTTCCTGTTAGCTTGACATTTCAAAACAGGGCTGCTTTCTATCGAGTATTTTTTGATCTCATCGTAATATTTCTTTACATTTTTCACGTATCCCACTCATCAGTCTTTTTCTCTTCAGACAAGTGATTCAATTGCATTACTGGCTGCTTTGCAGTTCAAGGCATCTGGTGGCAAGGGCATCCCATCCCTGTAAGTAACCTACATTCTTTCTTTTACCCTATGTAAATTCTATATCTTTACCATGTTACTTCCAAAAATTCTTCGTAGTTCTCAATAACAATACCGGTAATATAAAAACTCGTGTTTTAGCTGACAAAAGGATGAAAGTCTTCCAATTGTTTTTAATAATGAATTCCCTACATTTTACATATGCTGAAGACAAATGGAAATTGCTGTTTATTGGTCTATCATATAGTGCACAAACCCGTATAAACAAAGCTTTACACGCTGATGTGTTGAACAGACCGGTTTTGAGTTGCAAATCCGAGTTTTACTCTTAACAAGAATGTTCTATTGAAAGTTAAATGCAATTTAAAGAGAAGAGTCAAAATTATTATTCAAATGTTACAATTTATCAGAGAGACAACGTTGTTTGATAGTCTTTGATAGTCAATGTTTCAACAGTGGTAACGAGCTTGTATCATTTGCCTTTCTGTGAGTTGCTATCTAAGAACTTAATTTATTTATGAACAAAACTGAACTAAGTCATGGACTTGATAAGATGTTTTTATGTAGATATATATTATCGTTTCTCTAGCTAAGTTCATAAACGGTCTATTGACAAAAGCTTCCTCGTTTCGTGTATTTCATCGTGTTTTTCTCTCGATTTTTCAGACGCGAAATCTCAACCCTGATTCCAGTTGTTGCTTTGGGCCTACTGACACCAAACCAGTGGACCATGAAAGTTCAAGATAGCCTCAACACGTTACAACGATTCACAGCTCTTTCAGCAAGGAAAAAGTTTTTAGGTTAGAGTAATGTTTATGTTTGACTGTAAAATATATCTTACTTTATTTTAACACGTCTTATTTCATTAATAAACTTTGTAAATGTTTGTCATTATTCTGATGTTATCAAACACATTATTCTGATGTTATGACAGTTTCAGCTTAGAATAACCTATTTTCTAATAATTTTTCTGAAAGTCAAGTTATTTCACTTTGTGTATGCTTCAGGGACATTTAGATTTATCAGATCTTAAATAGTTTATATCTGCTAGCTTTTTTAAAGATATTCGAGCTTGGAATCAATTCACACCTACTTCTATTGCTATGTTGTAACGCTCTCATTCTTAGTATTAATTTACTTACTTTACCCATATTAGAAATCATATCAACATGGCCATACTTTGGATCTTCTTTCTTCTACGTCAAGGTATACTTGAGTCGTCTTTCTTATAATCTTAAGTTTGAAACACAGTCAGATTCTTTGCTAATTGAAGGAAAGATGATAAATACAATGTTTATTAGCAAAATTTTGAATATGCCTTGATAGTTTTAAAGCAAGGTTTTGAAGCATTTGTAGTGCCATAGTCAATATTCTCTTAGAGTTGCTTTAAGTATTCTATCATATCTTATCAGCAGTCATGCCTTCAGGAATGCTGTGAGCTTACATTTAAAACAACTATTTCGTTTCTTCATGCTTCGTGTTCATTCCTCTTCAAAGTTTAAGCCTTTCCCCAGACCATGCTTTGCAGATGTTGATTTTCTTTTCAGCATGTTTCTCATTCAAATATTCAAGGCGAAAGTATACTAGCCATCAACAAAAGTGGCGTTAGTTTTCTGAATACGTCCACAAACGTGAGTATTGCCCTAAGTTCAATAAAGAAGATATTATTTTCATTAATATGCAAAAATATGACTTTGTTGCTCTTATCTTTGCTAGAACTGATCAATTTTGATTTTCGTAGAAGATCGAGATCCTGAATTATTTCATTCCACACCGATTTTGCTTTGGAATTGAATGTTTTAAAATGTGGTCATTTATTCTGAGCAACAGATAATAATTTTCAGCTGTAAAAAATGGTACTTGAAAACTACTTCAGTCAGCGGCTTTGAAGTAACATGCTGAAACGTCATTTTCTTCTTCTTAATTACTTCCATTGCTTGTACTTGTGATTTTCTTGCTGCATCAACGATCATTTCAGAGTGGATCATTCCATACTACTGCTATATAAACGTGTACCTTGAAATGGCTATCCTTTACCTCTCATTTGTTTTTCATCAGGAAACAATGGTTTTCTTCAAGTATGACGAGGTTTTGTCAACAAGAAATTTGAGAACAGAAGCTGGACATTTGTTTCTGGATTTGAAATGCGGGGACCTCATGGTGCAGAAAGTGACAAGACTTGAGACACCGCGGGTAAGCCTCTGATACACTCAACTTAAACTCAAACATTTTTTTCAGCAGATTAGTTTGTTACAGGTTAGGTCTTACCATATCAAGTGGTTGATAGTCGTTAACTACAATAATTGCTAACTACAAAATAGCTAAGGTAAAACAACATAAATAAAGTTAAATCAGCCGATGGACACATGAAAAAACTCAAGAAAGAGCTATCGAATTTGCCATATTTTTGGTACTTAGAGTCAGATTAGTTCTTCAACGTCACGATTAGTTCTTCATGTAATTTGACAGCCAATCATTATCAGAATAACCTACGTTATTTGCAAATCTCTATTTTTTTTCTTTTAGTTTAATTGTTTATGGTTTGTCTTTCTTCAACCCGTCCTATTCTCAACTGCCGACAACGAAGAAGCTAGTTTATTTGTTGGGGTTGATTCTCGACATAAATGTGTCCATTTTCTGCAGAGGTTGTAAGATTAGGAGCAAGGGGACCAGAGTTAGACTAGCTTAGGGGTCTGGCGGAAATCTTTTGACAACGCCCTTTGCGATTATGTGAATAGTCCTTTTCGAAAACTAACATGAAATAAGTTATGACATCGGCTTATTGGAGAATTCCGCTTTTCTCAGAAACCAACTTCTTGCACTTTTGCGAGCTGGGGTACATACGCTTTTGCTTCATTCGACCTATGCTTCTTTGCCTTTAAAGATGAAAGTTTGATTAATACATATTTGTCTAAAGCAAGTAATTAATTTAGCCATATTTGAAGTATTCGATTTGCTGTTTTCTTTAACTTTTCACTCTTTTTAAGGGCAAAGAAATTTCAAACCTTATTGGCCAATACATCAACAAAATAACAGAAGAAGAGCAGCACAAGGAAATGGTGAATGGGGTTATGAAAGTTCATCATATCACAACTGCAGCAACCAAGCTGTAACGAAATTGATTGCTAACTGAATACAGCTTTTAATAAAATCGGGGCAAAGAATGGTAATGGCAACAATATAACGAATCTCTTCTTGAGAAGTGTCGAATATAAAATGTGACTTTGTGCACGCATAAATTTGAGAATTTGGAGTAATTTTTTTAGGTTTTATGGGATTAATTTTGTATTCAGAGCAATGGCATGCTTCGACAGGATATGAATGGGGAATTAAAGCGTCTTTTCCCTCCACTAGCTTACAGGTCCAGCCTGACCCGACTGGTACCACCTGGCAGGGTTCCCTAGCTCAGGGCTACGAACGATGGCTAACGGCTAACTCGGCGGGAGACCGGCAAGGAGGGCGGATGAGCTACGACTCCAGGGGTCAACGGCTTCGGGCGGAAGAACTCCTGGCAAGAGGGATAGTGTCCCTTAAAAGACACTGTAGAGGTGGTTCTGGGGGCCCATCTCTACTATTAGCCCCTTAGTTTTATCTATGACCATGACAACAAACCAAAACTCAGATTTTGGGATAGTTGGAGGGTCATGGTAGTTGGAGGGTCAACCTTCTGATAGAAGATGGTATCTGATGATGATGAATTTTGTATGCATAATGTTAATCGTTTTTACAGCTCTTTGCCGTGAAAAAAATCAAACTAATGAATTGAACTATTCAGTAAGCCTAGAGCAGAACATATGACAGCTTCATGGCCATTTTTAACCTAACAAAAGAGATGCTTGCTTGATAAACTCTGTTTATTTGATCTTAATAATAATGACTAAGCACGGAAAATCATTTTGCTAAGATCCAAAGAACTTTTAGAATAAAATGCATTGGATTTGACCTGGCAGTAGTAGAACAAATTAACATGAAAACCTGAAATTCTTGACCCAGCAGCTTAAGAATTTTTGGGCAATAATGTTCGTGTAAATTTGGGATGTGTCTCTATCATGTGTTAAAATTTAAAAACTTCACCAATTATGAAGTAGCTTTTTTCTTACGAGGGAAGGTATATAAAACTTACTGTCTGGGGGTGAATATTTTACCTGCATTTAGATCTATCTGGAGTATTTACTATGGCAATTTTTGAAATGGTTGTATAATAGTTTTTATGAATATTTATTATCTGCTTATATTTTGTGTTTTTCGCGGAATATTCTGCCACGTGAACACCCATTTGATTACGAGTGAGCCAATATCTACCCACCATTACATTGTCCAATACACGGCCTTAAGCAGGGATTGTAAATAAACGATAAATTCACGTAATTTAGCTGCAAATATTTCACCGAGATCAATGAAAAATGACAAAAAAGCCTAAGCGTAATGATAGGTAAATTTTCCATGCTTCTTTTTCTCTTGATCCAGACATGATGATCATTGATCGTTGAATTTTGTTATCACAAGGAATTTATAAGTAGCATGGGAGCGGGGATGGTTATATTAAAATGCCTGCAAGAAACGATTGCTATTAAGAAAACGTTTAAGAAATTTGCCTAAATGTTGGTATTAATGCATTAAACTTTTGCAGAATCGTTTTTGATAAAATTAAGTTATTATAGATACAAATGGGAAAAATTTCACTATGCTTTTAGCACATCCATTTTTGTGTAACCTCGCTTGTAGAGTGAGGCTCAGCAGGCGGGAAATCCGTATGCTTGTTGCTTACAGCTTGCGTGATTAGCATCGTCTACGAAATTCAAATTTAAAATGCTGCTTGTGGAAATAAATAGCGAAATTATGTTATACGGTATGAATTCTGAAGCTGTTAGAAATAGCTTGCAATCCTTCGAAAGATTAAAACCAACGAGCTACAGAGAAAGAACCAAGTTCTGGAGAGCTTTCACTTCTGAGACACTCCCCTGCTGGATAGAACGAAAGGTATGAAAAACAGCTGTTAATAAAATGCGCTAGGGGATAAACTCAGGGACACCGGAGGGGGAGGGGGCAAACCCATTCAGAATAGGGGCGAGGAGGGTAAAGTGCATTTATTTCCATGGCACTTGTATGTAGTGGAATTTCAAAATGACCTGAAACTGAGCTGAACTGAGTGCACTCTTCATGGAAATGACCTTGACCATTTGTTGGTCATTTTCTACTACAAAGGAAACTTATTTCACTTCGTTTTCCATTCAATGTTATTTATACACACAATCAATATATGTAGCATATAATTACGAGGATAAAAACCTAAAACATAAAAAACTGTATCCCCATAAAACTTGTTCAAATGATTTATAACTAACTTTTATCGTTGATGACTTAGTGTTATATTGGTTTTGTGCACTAGTGAGAAGGATCATTTTATGTTCTTGCGAGAGAGATTTTTGCAGATTTGTGTATTCTTTGGATACCTAAGATTGCAAGTTCCCAATGAGAACCCACAATTTTTTTACTGATTTAAATGAAAAATAGACAGTTTCATGTGTGAAAAAAATTTCACTCATGAAAGAAAGTTCCACCCAATATTTCCGGGGGCCCAAATGGGAGCTAAATATTTGAAAATTTGGCCTGGTACCATTTTCAGGGCTTGATAACTTCTACAAAAACCATTTCTTCCTTCTCATTTCTTCAAAATGTACAGTTTATCATGCAAAGGTGCTTAAAAAATAAAAACTGATATTACTAATTATCTAAATTTTCAGCCATGTTCGTTCAAAATTGGAACTTTTTACTTCCGGAAGTCAATTTTTACCATTTTTAAGCCGCCATTGTGGCCCAGATTTGACAAAAAAATACTTTTTGATACTTTTTGCTGAAATTGCATCTGCCAATGTCTTAGAGGATGACATTTGAAGGAACTGTGATAATTGGATCAGGAAATAAAAGACTTCAAAGTTTGGAAAAATTGTGTTTCCTCTGAAAAATCGGTGACAAAGTGAAATTTGAAAACTTTAAAGGGTCATATCTCTGTAATGGTATAAGATATCAAGCTAGAATTTTCAGGAAGTTCCTATCTTATATATACAAACATTTTGACAGAGTTTTATGAAAATCTGAGGTGGTGCATGTGAGACCTGATTAAAATCTGGACCTCTTGGCATGGAATGACCCCATTGCTGACCTTCTGGGGAGTCCTGTTTGAAAAGTCTAACTCTTTGGATGCGTTTTAAGTTATTTTTGAACAATCTACGCTCTTTAAGAATGCTGTTTATAAGAGTATTCAGGCTCAATCATCCAATTTTTAAGAATATTATAAAAATATTGCTCAGCCTCAACAGTAGTCTGTTTTGCAAGGTTCATAGCAGAGAGTTGCATGAACTGTATATTTTCTTTTTTAAAAAGCAAGTTTCCTATTGCAGGGCAGCTGGTTCCTTTGAAAAACTTTGAAATTCAACTTTCTACTATGTTCCCCTGAAAACATTTAAGATTTGAAAATATATCTCAGTTATCTGAGGAGATCTCAGTTAGTATTTGTCCCACAGGCTTTCAAGCAATGTCTATGCAAAGTCACAACATTCCTACTGTATTAGAAAATATTTTTTAAGTTTAATCAGGTGTTGGGGAGTGGTTATTTCTGTTTTTCATTTTTAATCATCCTTTAAAACAAAAGTTCATATCCTTACTGCTCTTTTCACTGCAACTCTTACTCAGTAAAAAATTGTAGAAAATGAAACAAACAGGCACAGTACTAGCTTGATAGGTGTTCCTTGAACTTTTGGCTTGAAAATCATGCTTGCTTTGTTTGTTTGTCATATACATAAAAAGTCAAGTTGTTGATGAAATTGGAGATTGGGTATAAAATTCTTAACTAATTCCTAAAATTCAAAAATTTTGAGCATCATTATTCATATGTGTGTAGTTAATTCATACAACATTCATACAATGATAGTTTCAGCCAGGAAAAAAATTAGAAACTGTGATTCATTGAAAATAGATGAAAAGATTTAGTAAAAAGAATTAATAGCCTGGTTAATAAAATCCAAGTTAGTGTATCAGTACTTAGAAAAACTGGTAACTTTTTTGAAATGTGGTTTCATTTTAATATCATTATAATATTTGCATGTAACATAAAGCTATATTTAATACTGATTTTACTAGTGGTGGTTGAGAAAAATGTGTTCTTGATAAATTTCACTGATATTCAATACATCCATATACTTTCATTAAAAGATCCCAAAAGAATCATTAAGAAAGAAATGTTTATCAACATTTCCCAACATAAGCAGCTAATTGAAAAATCAAGGCAGAAAGAAATTCTGGCAAAAATAGGAGCAAGATGAAAGAAAGTTGATTTTGCTCATAAAATGATGTTACGATAACTACAACATACAATATGGTTAACAATACCTTCATAATCAGAACTATTACAGCTTAATATTGTACCTACAGTAGCAACTATGTTCACCTTCAGTTATATGAATGGCAATGCCAACTGAAGCAGTTTTTCGATAGTTAAAAGGGAATGAACATCTTTCCTTAATGGCCAGTTGCCCCCCAGAGGTATTTTTATGAAAAGTCCCTTGCCACATATCTGTCAGGATCATAATATGATGTCACCACAACACGACTTGCAAACTTTCGTCCAGAAAGCGAATCACTGGCAGCATTTGATTCGGCTGGAGATGTGTATTCAACATAAATCTACAAAATTATAATAATATTTTAACAATAGGAAAATGAAAATTCTCTAACCACATTATTGTACCAGGGTCTTGATCAACAGCTATGACAAGGTATTTGTTTGACAATACTATCTTTATCTGGCAATGCAGGAGTATTTCAATTTTTAATAAAACACCAGAAGCTTCAACGTAATATTTTGGAAGCTCCTAGAGAAGGCTTTTCTTTAGATTTCTTTCTTTAAAAACATGTAAAGGAGTACAATGACAATTTTAAGCAAAGAAAGAAGTTTATAGGCTTTTTCTTTTAGGTTGCTTAATGGTTATCCTCTCACTTTATTTGACAAAGCCAAGAAGAATATTGCGCTACAGAAATAAAGTTTGAAAATGCATAGCCCTACCTTTCCAACACCGGGAAGTTTGTATCCATCAACTGGTCGAGGTATTTCCATGCTTCTAATTCTACCAAATTTAGAACATTCTTCACGTATATCTTCATAAATTTCTGCCAAAAGAAAAAAGTAGAGTTATCTTTTGAATGATAAATAGTAAGTAAAATTTGATATATATATATGATAAGGCCGCATCATTTTGCAAATATTTAAATATTAATGAATGACCATAAAAGCAAAATATTGGACTTGCTAATAGTGAAGGGTAAAAGGTCACATTCTTGTAAAAAAACAGGGAAATAGATTTGGGAAATTGTTTCAAAACAAAATCTAGTTTGGTTTAAACATTTAAAAAAATTATAATATTGTTTGAAGTGAAAGCACTTAATATTCGGTTACAAAAATTTTTCTTCATATCTTACCATCAAACTCTTCATCGTCTAGAAGGTCTTCATCACTGACCATGTTCATTAGACATAGCACTGTTGTTGGGTTATTTCCTGTTGCCTGTAGATCTAATCCTTGTACTTGTACTTGAACAGGGAATACTCCTGACATCTGAAATTATAACAAGATAAATGCATCACCCATTGTGGAAACTATTCTGTAGCTAGAAGGAAGCAGTGCTTCCACTGTTGAATTTAATACAGTTAAAGTGAATTGTCCCTACCTGGTAAAACCACTCCTTGTTTATGAACAGGGCAGTAATAAGATTTGTGATGACAATTGGGTGTATGCTAAATATTTTTTAGAATGTACACTTTATATTTTTTTCTTGTAGTAAGCACTCTTCATTAGTCCTCTTAATATTAGATGTGCAACATTAATGCATCTCTAAAACACCCTAGGCTGACTTTCTTTTGCACACGTGTTGATACACCCTCAAGCATTTTCACAAGTATATATTTTATATATTTAAGGGCTATTAGGTCTTCATAAAAATTATATTTTATGGGTCTCTCATCGACGCACGCTTTAAATTTCAAGGTGTGCCATTACCAGCACTCCAGCAAATGTCATATTAACAGGAATGTCTTACAGTTACAAAATAAAGAGGATGTATGCATTTTGAACTTACTGCTCCAGGAAGCTTGGCTCCAACACTAGCACGCTGTACAATGAGCTTCTTATCACCAAGTTGCATGCCATTCATGCCAGCAATTGCCTGAAATATTTACATAAATTAATTATGAAAGTATAAAAAACACAAAGCAACAAACTTGAGGTCACATCTAGTCAATGGCTGATTGACCTATCAATTTCAGACAAAACAAGATTTACATGTCTAGATAAAAGGAATTTAGAAAAGTTTTAAGGCAACTGTGACCCAGTGAAGAACTATAAACAATGGCACAAAACTTACAACATCTGTGAGACTCAGGTCAACATATTCACAGAACGCATAGCCTTTGGATAGACCAGTTGCACTGTCTTTTACTAGGTTGAATGCCCTGAGTTCGCCAAAGGAACTGAGAAGCTCTTTCACCTGTGGAAAAATGATAAGTAACAGTATATAGGATAAACAAAAACTTAACTACCATTAATGGGCCTATGCTAAGCTAAAAACATGAGGCAAAAACTTAATTACCTTCAATGGGCCTACGCTAAGCTAAAACACGCCTTTCCTAGATAATTGGGTGGTTGGGAATAATCATTGGCATAATTCTTACATTCACCATAGGAAGAATTTTAGAAATGGTCTTGGGTTGCATTGGACCTAATGGTGTTAACAGTTTTGTTGTCAATGAGGCACATTATATTGCCATCTTCCAAGGAAAACTTTCCGAAATTACCAGAAAAATGTATGGATATATAAATAAGTCTTTTATTCCACAACAAGACCATGCTTTATGTTACACAACCAAGATTAAAATGGTTTTTTGTTCCCAACATAATTTTAACTCTTCAATGGAAGTCTTAAAGTCTATATTTGAATGTAATTTAAAATGCATAGCTTTACATGGAAAATGGAATGGAGTTATTTGTGGAACAAGCAAGGGTTAATTGATATAATATTTGACGTCAGGGTAAATATTATATGTCATTTTGATAATTAAATTTTCACCAATCAATTTCTCACCAGCTCAATGCATGTTTGTCTCATGCCCCCCCCCACCCTACAAAATATTGGATTCTAACTCACAAATAAAATGATATCAGACTTGAGCTAGTTGTGCAATTTATGCTTTGTTCTTTGATTGGATAAAATACTGACATGGTTCTAGTTGTCATTCTTTAAATGAATTGGATATCTTTTAATGTTTTGTTTTTGTTTAAATTTAGTTGAACAGGTATGGACAAAACATTGGCTTTCCTTCCATTACCTTTTGAGAGGTATGTGATACCTTTTTTAAACCAAACAAAAATTTATGCAACTTGATTGATCTTGATATACTTTGAAGGGGGTACCAGTGCAGAAATAATTACTAGGGTTGACAAAAGATTTTTTACAAACAAGCAATTTCTTACTTCTCTACCCTTTCTTCACATTATTGATGATTTCACCTTTGCAAACACATAATTTGGTTTTCTGACATATTGCCAGACAAATGCAATATGATTTTAGGTAAAGTTGGATTCTGTCTTAAAACAAGCCTTTCTATACTATACTAGGGTTACACTTGATCACCCTTCAAAATTATTAAGAAATTATCAAGAAAGTCTTTAAGAATTATTTACGCATAATAAACACCCGCTCTACTTACTTCTAACCCTGTAAAAGAAAACAGCACACAACAGAACAACATACAATACAACACCACATGACAAACAAGCACACACTAGGGAACAAGGAGCCTTTTATCCTATTTGAATACTGGCTGAACTGCATATAACAGCACCAGATTTTGTTTTGGAGTTTTTTGGGTAGCCAAGTAGCAAAAGGACAAACACAAACGAACAAGACACAACATTTAGAAATAAGTGTTCCATTTTATCATTTATCTTCAACAGGCATCCTGAGAAACCAACACTTGCCTTTGCCAAGTATGCGCATTATGACTTTTGGCCCCCTGGGCTACGACAAATTGGGGGAAACAAAACGAAAAATATTAGTATTGCTTTTCTCTTTATTTCTACTCAAGCAAACTTGTTTAAACATTGAAAAATATATGTTATTAAACCTATAATAAATTAGAAAATGTTTTGGATTTATTTTTCTTCCAAATATATTGTCACAGATACTTGCAATTTGATTAATTATCTCAAAGAAAGAGGCAAACCTAGACAAACAACAAAATGACAAGAAATTTAATAAACATCGATAAGAAGTAAACTTGAGTGGTGTTTTGAATAAATCATAAAACCTTGATACAAACCATCAAAGCACGCTATAGTTCATTTATTTTGTGACTTCGGAAAGAGAACTTACCTGGCTGGATATGATTAGGTGTATAACAGCTCTGAAATGCATGTATTCACAACTGCAAATTTTAGCAAATACCTCAAGACCAAGCCCTGCTTTCTTGGATGTCTTTTAAAAATACTTCAAACAACTAAGTGTGGTATCCTGATCCTTTGTTTATCTTTCTAACACTGAAAAACTCACCTGATCTTCGTTGAGATAATTCGGAAGTCCACCAATAAACACTTTGTGTGGTGAATCAGGCACAACAGTAGATACAACACCAGGGATGTGAACAGTTGCTGATTCTAAAAAGAAATTAAAAAAGTCACTATTAAGAAGTTTACTGTAAGCCCTACAACAATTTCCCACCTCCAAATAAGCCCCTCCCCAAGGAGCCCCCACTCTAAGGTAATTTTGTGGAAATAAGCCCCCATTCATGGGCTGAGGTCTTGCCTCTTCAGCAGTAGGTTTATCCCAATATATCTGCAGTTTTAAAGAAACTGACTCTTTACCCTGGTGATATTTTGGCTGCTGTTTGATAAACCCTTGCCTTTGAGTAAGCCCCTCCCCTCAAATAAGCCCCCCCCCCTCATATAAGCCCCATTCCAAAATATTGTTTGCACAATAAGCCCCCAATTTTTCCCCTGAAATACTTTTCCCTCCAAAAATAAAAAATGCCATTTCTCTACCTGAAATACCAGGAATAGGTTGGTAATCTTGAGGCCTTCGAATTTTGACAGCCTGGCCCTGTGAAAGAGTAGGTAAGCTGGTTAAAATGATTCAAATATACATATCAGGAGTAGCTTAACACAAAGTGTTAAGTATAACTTCATAAGAATATCTTAAGTATAAATATTTTGATGAAAGTGGTAAACTTTTCAAACCTGTAACATGATCCCATCAAAAGCCATTGCCTGGGTTGTTTCCTCAACACTGCGAAACTAATGATGGAAATGTGAATTGTTACAAGCAAATAATTTAATCTGTTTTTGTTAAAATGATTAAAATAATAGGTACACAACTTTGTAAATAAAAAAACATTCATTTCATTCAATTAATACTAAGTGTCAAAACCACTCAAGTCAAGTGAAATCAAGTCAAGGACAACTATATATATAGTTGGCCATTTTATTTAACGTCTTGAGATCAGTGACTCACAAACTGGAAGTTGAATACAGAATTTCAAACACAATTAAATCATATCAATATTTGTCCAATATTGAAAATTAGAATCTCAAAATGAACAAAATTCATACTCAAACAAAATCAAAACAAAACCAAAATCTCGAATATGAAAAAACTGTGCATACCTCAAGAAAGGCAAAGTTTTTGTCCAAATTGATTTGGCAAGCAAGAACTGGATTGCCAGGTTGTGTTGTTAATTTAGCTTCTATCATTTTTGCGTTGAAGAAATCAATCATCAATTCCTAAAAAGGAAACAAGGAATGAGCATAGTTATACTTGCCTTGATATTACTGTAAAAATGCAAATAAGTCTTTGGAGGGGCTTGTTAAAAACATAATGCTATGGAGCGGTGATTTGAGAGTTTTCAGAACTATATGCTTATGCATTTGTTATTCATTATCAATTCATACTACATATAATTCTACTATAATACATTGCAACTAAATATTAGACTTTATAAATAACATCAAATACAAAACTTCAAACTACAAAAAGAAATAACATTATATGATTGCATACAGTATAGACTGATTAAAAAGGGTACCCAAGAAGATAAACAAATCAAGAGCCCACCCTCCCCCAAAATAAAGTGCTAAAATTATAATAATAAGCAATAGGGGAATTGATTTTAGAAGGTGATTATTCAGGAGAAGGGATCTAGCCAAATTATTACGGTATATGATTCATGACACACACAAATCATTAATGACACATTAACTAATCCATAACTTGCTCATTCTTCACAGCAAACCTGAAAATCATCAAAAAATGAGTAACGTAAAATTGTCATATAGCCTTGTACAGTGAGTTAGGCAAAAACATTTATTAACCAATACATACCTCCGTAATACCAAATGGTATGTTACCAACATATAGTCTTCTTGCCTGCCTTGTCATTTGGGCACCTTGAGGCAATGCAACAGCAGGTACAGCTCCACCAGCAATAGGTGCTGTTATGGCAATTTGCCCAGCAGCTGAAAATTATAAACATATATAAATTTCATAAGTTTTAAGACTTGTAAATCAATTTTCAAATAAGTAGGTGAATTTAAAGAGTACAAAATCTTGCAAAATAACAAACACTATTGTCTATAAAGACTGACAAGCTTTATGATTTACTGCATCTTTCCAGACATTTATAATTGAAACATTTATATATGATTTATTGGTTACTTGTGTCAAGCCTGAAATACACAATCAGTTTTTATCAGTTTTTGCTAAAAACTGATAAAAACTGATAGTGTATTTCAGGCTTTACATAACTAAAAATCTAGGGGAGGGTTTTGATATCCTTGCTCATGAAATATGCGACTGAATATAAGTTTGTATATTGCCAATAATACTGACCTCGGAGAGCTTTGTATTTAACAGGTGTTATGTCCTCATAGCCAGGTGGTGGCACATCCCACATAGTTTTTCTGATAAATAGATATTCAACTTCAGAAAACAGCTTTATTTAAAAACAAACACCTTCGGAATTGTCATTACAAAAGAGAAATACAAATTCAAGAGGTATGCTTAGAAAACCAAAGTTCTGTGTAATAGGTGTCTAATAATTTTATGTAAGAAGGAGGGCACATTACATAACATAGACATAACATTTCAAAGATCATATCAAATTGTCGACGAAAGGTTAATTTGAAAGCAGCATGATTTGATTTTTAATTAACTGATGTTCTTTGCAATACAAACTAGCATCAAGTATAATTTTTAACACAACTTTTGACAAAACTTTTGATGACAGCCATTAAATGACTGAATAATATTTTACCCACAAAAACACCATTCATTCTTTCATTTCATTTCAAATTGATGATCATAACCTGACAGTGCAATAATGAGTATCAACATAATATATACAGTGCTACAAAATAACCTCTTCACAGTCTGTGGAACTGGAGGACTCTCCTTCCTTCTTCCCTTTTCCTTGCTTCTGCTTCTTCTACCTCTGCTTCTACTGCGTCTTCTTGGTCTTTCCTTACTTCTACTTCGGTTTCTCCTTGGACTTCTTGATCTACTCCTAGACCTCCTTCGGTTTCTTCTCTTATCCCCCCTGTCATCCCTTGAATTTCTGTCACTTCTATCATCTGCGAAGAAAATACTTCTTATGTTTCATTGTCTAGATAACAGTCATTTTAAAATGTTCAAGTTAAATCTTCCTGTAAAAAATGTAAAACTAACAGATTAACACAATGCCTAGCCTTTACTTATAAACATTTGAATAAAATCACACAATAAAACCATTAAAACCTCCTCTTACATAATAAACATTAGTGTGTGAAAAAGAATAAAAAGAACTTTCTAATCACCCGATTTTGAAATATCTCAACTTTTATTCTATTCTATTTGACCTTCTATAATTATACAGAAAGTGGTGTAAGTTTCAACAATAATATTTGAAATATATATAGTCATGGCGGGTAATTCTTACGCACAGCAACATGTCAGGTAATTTTTATGCATGCAGTTTATTGCGCAATTCAATTGTTGTTTCCTACAAAAACTTTTTATTCATCCAAAGCAGTTCTTCCTCTTTCTGCTGACATAAAACTTGGCAGTTGGTTTGAGCGACAGCCTTTGTGAAAGCGATTCGCAGACATGAATCGCAATGTACCTAGGTACAAAGTTATCAACACTACCCATCAATTTTATTGCCCTGGCATCATGCAGACAATAACTAATCCTTTTAAACATTCAAATGACTCTTTTGTGGGTCACCTTTGACCTATTCAAGCACTGCTGAGAAATATGCTTCCGTTCCTCAGAAAACAGGTGCGTAAATATTACCCGACATTCATTGATTAGGAGGTTAATTTTTACGCACTTTTAAAAAAATTGCATCGGGGTTTGGAAAAGACGGCGCAACATTTATTTAGTTGTTTATGAAAAAGAGGAAAGCTAAATGTTTGGTTTCAAATTCCTAAGGCTGACAGAAAAATCCCCAAAAATATAGCAAAGAAAAGGTAATGACCAAGCTCTAGGTGAAATTCATAGCAGACGATTGACAAGAAGCACTGCACAAATATGAGATGGCTGAAGGAACACTGTATGTTATCATTTTAAAATGGTAGAAAATAATGAACTCCTTAAAGGGGGTGGGGGAGAGGGCGTCTCCGAAGGGATTCCATCAAATTTTGGATGTAGACGTTTCTGACATTGAGAATGTTTTTGCAAAATCACGTGTTCGAAATTTTTAAAATATTGACCACAAGTATGAGTATTCCTTGACTATTTATCCTTAGAATAACCCTCAAAAAACAATAAAAATGAAACTCTTTTTAGTGTGATGTTGGTACGCTCAATGTTTTGTCGACATTTCAAACTTTTTGTTGCTTTCAAAAGCAAAATTTTTTCTATAAAATTCTGGCATTTCAGTTTTTATATTGCATCCTTTCTACATAAATTTCCTAACAGTAGGTCTGTGATGAAGGCTTGTGCTCTATTTGAATTTGTAGGCAGCCACAAAGATTCGTAATAATTCTGTTCTATTCAGAAATTGATGTGCGTAAAATATAGCCGACTTCCTGTAAGAATTTGACGGAAGGGTCGGCTAATCTTTACGCAATTAAATTTAATTATATATATAATTAGTAAGAAGTTTCGATTTCATCACCTATTGTTGTCTGCTAATTAAGTGTTGGCTATGAGTGCACCTGGTATATTCAGGTCATAAAATTACTTTGTTATTGTCTGTAAATTTTAAAGTTTATAAAAAATGTTTAAAATTTGCCCGCCATGACTATATATAAAAATGGAATACATAGAAATTTTTCTGCAATAATTTAAAAACCTTAAAAAACTTAAATATCCAAAAACATAAGAACTTAAAAAGCTAGGCATGTAGAAAAATGACTATCCTTTCAAGAACATATTATGAGCAACCTCACATTTCTTAAAAAAACATGTGTCATTTGATTCACTTCTTTGTTTACACACAGCTGGGAAAGGCACAAACAACTTTAGCCACTGATATTTGGAACAAAAAGATTGAATCACCTTTCAAGATCTGGGAATGATACAAACACTTTTTTCCCATGTGTGTGTAATAATTTTCAAAGCTGAAACTGATCCCTATACCTGCAAACTTGGGTGCGCCAGAAGCTCTTTGATAAAAGTATGATTAAGAAAATTTGTAATAATGTCTTCAGGTGCAAACCGAGAGGGCCCTACACAGCTCATACAAAAAGTGGCGTAGCGTCCGGGTATTGAAGGTATTCAGTGAAGGTATTCAGTGAATACCCTGAGATTTCTCAGAAAAAATATTTCTATAACGTAAAATTATAATAACTAAAAAATGCTTTGGGGCTATTGACTCTGGTTAAATTTGTTGCCTTCGATGTGCTACATTTTGTGCAAATACAAAATAACATGAAATTCATGGAATCAATAAAGCTGGGAAGAAAAGAGAAGCTGGGTGATCTTTGAAGATAATTATGAAGATTGAGCTACTTCATGTTAAATGGCGATTGGTCATGAATACGCAGTGAATACCCTAGAAGGTACTTCAACCAATCAAAATGCTCCTTCCCATAACTAATATTCACCGTTAATCAGCTAAAACAATGGTCCTGTATGCCGAAAAATATGCAGCGTACAGCCTCAAAAGAGATTTATTTGCATTATTGTGCAGTCTCGTCTCATTACCTTCAATTCTTTCAAACATTAACCTGTATTGAAATATCATGATTAGGTCATGAAAGAAAAGTCTAGACTGCATACCACAAACTATTCAAAACTCATGTAATGCCTTATGTGAATAACTTTGAAAATTTTGAAAGCCTTTTTGCATTAATGATATCAAGAGTAGATGTTTACAGTTACTTCTTTTTTACATCATTGCATATTTTAGAGGATTCAACAACAACTATTGCGACATATTTCGACCAGTATATTTTTACTGACTTTCAATGATATGTTTTAATTTGAATTACTTTTGATGAAATTGTAATTTGATGCAATGAATGAGTTCAAAGAAGGTATTTGTGTTGGCTTCTCTAGCAAAAGTATTGTTTTCAAACGAACCAAAAGAAAATTAAATAAAATGTCAATAACTAGCCCTTTTAATCTTTCTAACTTTCCCCCTGTTTTCACCAAACCACGCCAAGCCACACCCTCTCAAACTACGCCATTGCATGCAAATATATTTAAAACTAAATGGGCATCAATAAGCTCAGCTGCATGATGAATTTGTCTACTGACTAAGAATGATATAAGCAAACATCATGATAATAGTTCAAAACCAGATATTCAGACTAAAATCACCCTTCAAGTTAACAATTTTAAAGTTATCAAGGCCAGGTTTACCATCTTTCACTGATCCCAGGCAGGTGTACCCCTAAAGCATTTTCCATTCTGGGGGCTACTTTGACTTATTCTGTGTTTGATTCATAGTTACTTCATCATAGCTTATAGATTTTGTTAATTCTTACTTGCTTTTCAGTTAGAGAAATGTTTTTAACAAAACCATTTTTGTTGCCCCTTTTTAACAAACTGAAAAGACTAGAGCTAGCTTTTAGTCCAACTCGACAAAGTTTTGTAAGTTTAAAAAGCGGGAAACCGGATGAATTTTAGATCATCTAAACGACCAGACAAAGACCATCTCAGATCCCATCGAATCTTGGATGGAGTCCTAAACTGGTGCCATTATGCTCCATATCAGTTGCAGAGGAGCATGAAGATCCACGCCTTTGGAGAGCTTTCTTATTTTTGCATTTCTTTATTTTAGAATCTAAGTTATATCCTTACCTCCGGAGCCACGCAGCTCTTTGATCTGCTCTTGAACGTCGAAGTCCGCCATTTTTCTTAAGTTCTAAGCATGCGAACAAAACAGAATCATTCCCGTCGTGCAATGGAACATAAACGCTCCACCGCAATCTCTTATAAGCACACTGCTCAGTGTATAAGCAGAATTTCTCGCTCGCAAATTATTACAGCCGGAAACCTTGGGAAGGCATTGATTCCAAAAAGGTCCTTTTTTGAGATCAATGGCAAAAAGCCTTTTTAAGGCCTATCTCATCTTAATACGGAATTCGAAATTTGGGTGATTGGGGTCATTCCATACCATACGAAATAATGTATTTTTGAAAGCTTTGCCCAAGTATCGGCGATCCTTTAGCCCAAATTGTTTTAGAGTAAGTTAAAGAACTCCTTGCCTCAACCACTAACGTTTTTTCAATATGACGTCGAAAAATGCTATCGACAATTGCCTGCAAATATGATCTCTTCCAATTCTCTGTTAAGCCCAATACAAATCTCGCCAGCCACTGGTCCCCCTGTTAGGAGAAAGGCATGCAGCAGTATTCAACTCCTGTTTCTTCAAGCAAAATATTTGTCTTGTTCCTACAGTTTCTTTGTACAGTAGTTATTTATGTTGTATCTGTCCAAAGGAAGCGTATTGATCCAGATTCCAGAATAATGGACAAAGAGGGACACTGGTGAATGCAGGGCGATATGCAGGTTGAAAAACACAGTAATGAATGTAAGGAGACATTGCTCGGTATCGAAGGATTTTTTAAGTTGCTCTGATTAAGAATTAAGAATTTTCATAATTAATGACAAATATTAAGTTAAATAGCTGATTCAACAGAAAACTGCTTCCTATGTTTTTCTCAATTAACTGTATCAATATACATATCAAAATATTTTTCAACATATCCAGTTGCATTAAAATTGATTCAGCAGAATTCAGAGCCAATGGCATTTGGCTTCGGTGGCAGCTCCTGTCAAACATCAATATTTTCTTCTTCTTTGAAATATCCTCCATAAATTTTGTTTTCTCCAACCTTCAATCTTTCTTTATTTCAGACATATGGCAGCTTTTTCCACATTTACACCCTTATCTAAATCCCCCTTTCCCCTCTTCTTGTTTGCCCCTTTCTTTCTGCGAGAATCTTACCAGTCTACTTATAGTTCATTTCCCAACCAAACACCATTTAATATATATTCCTTCTCGCTTTACATGTTTTCATTCAATGTCATATATTTATGGTTAATCTATAAAATGATTCAGACATCTTTCTTCTTATTTACAGGATGCAATCTGAAAATTGTTTTCCAGGCCTTACTCAAGCCGACAAGATAATGTGGAAGTTTGAAAAAATTTGTTGAGAAGAGGTAACTTAAACAATTTTTTGTTCGCTTTTATCCTTTTTTCAGCTGCTTTGAAGACAATTAAATTTTGTTATTCTATCGAATCAATGGCTATAAAATTGTTTTTAATTGCTCGCCAGATGTTTGATCTATGAATAATAAATCTGTATTGGTTCTAAACTTAGTATATTTCAACATGGGTTGGCCTTCTAAAATGGATCTGTAGAATTGTAAACTTAAAGCATGAATGTTGTTAGCTACTGAATTTTATTAATGACTATTAATGCCAACTTTCATCTCCTCGAGCAGATTGACTGGAACCAGCCACGATTTATAGCCTAAGAATAAATTTCGGCAGTAGATGCGATTGTATGATTGGCAAACGTAATGCCAGCGAGGATCATTTGAGTAAGGCGATTAAAATTAATGGTTCTCGGTTGTTGAATAAAACATTGAGTCTTGCTTAATATCATCTCTACCGAAAGTTTATTGGAGATTTGGGTTATGTACATGATGTAAGCCCTGCCTTGTGTCTCTACACAGCGTGACCATAATAGGATTGGGTAAAACTATTCTGACTTTTAGCTCGTTTCAAACTTTAAAGATTCATAGAGTTGGAAGATTTTCTGGTGATTTTAAATCAACAGAGAGATTTTTTTTGAAAGAGTAATACTTCATAATTGCCAATAAGCCTCATTAGAATAAACATACCTGAATTTTATCTGTTTTATTTCATTGCAAATCAGCAAATGATAATGCTTTGATTAGAGATTGAACCGCTCATGGAAACTAGACAGCTCTTTGCTAAAGAGTTTTGCAAAGACTCAATACATCCTTGCATATTCAATTAAAAATATATTTTCTTTATCTCAAGGTTTCTTCTGTTCAGAATATCAACAATTAAATATTTAGCTTCAATCTCATTGTTTTGTTCCTCTCTGTTTTAACTCAATGTTAGGTACAAGAAAATTGATAACGTGTTTTCGAATTTTTCACCGAAATTGTAAGTGCTCTAGCTGGTTCAAAGACTGTTGGGGAAATTTCTTTACAACTAAAGATTTTTCAATCTCGATGGGCAGGAGATTCATGCTTTGATACTGTGAGGCGGAAAGAAAACATTCAACAAGATCTCTGTAGAGAGTACGGTTTTCTGATTGAATGATTAGTCCTACTTGCTTTGATTTTGGGTTATCATTTGCTCTGCAATAGTACCAGGCAATAATTAGCCTCCATTTTAGTAAAGAAATTATTGATTTAGATTCAGCGTCTAATTTGGTACATTAAAACCCCGCAAACAAGAACCTACTTCTCTAAAGAACAGACTGACTAGGTTCTTATAAATGTGGTACTCATGATATTTTCAGGGTGTGGCTCTTATCGCAAGGACACTAACAACTATGATGCACAAGGTATGTAGACTTGAGAATAGCCTGACCGAATTTCAAATTGTAGAGGATATGGTATTATGTTGGGGACAAACCAATTTAAATCACATGTATGAAAAATAAAATGACATGGCTCTGAATGGCTGGCAATTAATCAAACCACAATGACGACTTGATAACTATACTTTCTGACTTTGAGAATTTCATGATTTATTTAATATGATGTACAATCTCGTAAGAACATGGAAAGAGATCAGTCTGCTTTTGGTTCTTATCTTTGGGTGTTATTTTCCACAAAATCAGTCTGTAGGTTCTTATTTTCCTATGTTCTTGTTTGCGGGGTTTTACTGTATTCTACGTACACAAAAAAAAGCTGACTGATTTTATTGCTTCAGTGCAAAACCAGATATTGTAAGGGTTTAGTGGGGGCAAGAGCTGAACCCCCACTAAAATTTTGAAGAACCGAGCGTAACTTTCTTTTAAAAAAAGTGCAGTGTCGTCTTCGTTCATGTTTGTGAAAGATTTTTATAGACAACTGACAAAATCACTAACAAAGGTTATAGTAAACAGTGTCCTGAGACACGATCCCTGTGGTACAACACGAAGTGGATGAGGTTTCTGGCGATAACATATTTCAAGCTTCTCCTCCATTGAAAGTTTAAGACTCAAGGGACGCACTTCGAGTCCCAAAAAAGGGCACCCTCGAGTTTGACCAAAACATGCCCCCCCCCCCATCGTTTCTCAGTGACGACGAGTGGCTTAATGACCTTGCAGTTTAACAGAATCGACACGTCATCTCTCCGACCTTAATGTCAAGATGCAAGGAAAAGATCAGCTACGCATCAAAATGTTTCAGCATGTTTTGGCCTTTGAAAGCAAACTGAAGTTATTTTTAGAACAGCTCAGTAAAAAGGACACATCCCATTTTGAACTTTTAACATCGAGAGTGAACATTTTCCAAGTGAATTTTCAAAAATACACACACTGCATAAAGACATTGTCAGCAGAATTTGATTCCCGATTTGAAGATTTCAGGACAAACCAAGACGGATTTCGATTATTTGCTGATCCGTTCAGAGTGGACATTAATGGTTATCAAAGTACCTTTCCACTCGAACTTCTTGACATGCAAAACAATTTTGAACTAAAAAATGCTCATTCAGAAGTCGATTTGCTCCGCTTTTCTCAGATGTATCAGACTAACATAAAAGAATTGGCAAGAAGATGTGCGAAGAACAAGAAGAAGATTTCTAAAATGAAGCACATTAAAACAGAATACAGGGCACAACTTTCTGACCCTAGTTTGAAAAATCAGCTAAGGATTTCGCTCTCTTCCATTCGAGCTGACATCAACAAACTTGTTGACGGAAAACAATGCCAGATATTTCATTAGAAATGCCGAGACATAATGCTTTTTAGCATTGTAAATATTACCATTCTTTGTTAACTCGCAAGGTCCGTTTACTTCAGTTTAGTTCAGTTTGCTTAAGTTTAAACAGAGCTACATAAAAAAGTCTAATTGCTTTATATGTATCCTTATTATTTATCATTATCATTTCGATTTTCTGGCCCGCCTAAAGAAAATTTTTGAAGGATCTGGCCCACTCGCTTAAAAGGTTGCCCACCCCTGGCCTAGCCCATTGGCTCGATTATAATCCAAAGTCACCGTCTTAAGAAGAACCCATATCGTTACATTTTGCTGAGAAGAACACTTTTAGATATTTTTCGACTTGCAGTGAATAGGATGCTAAAGATTTTTCATTTTCATGGTTGCAAAATGACGTAGTCATTAATTCTTGCGTTAATTGCTGAGAAACCGCCGAACAGTTCTTGCTGTTGGCTTTACTGAAGGAAAACAGAAATTGATCAAATTAGGAAAAAGGTTATTGGAATTTTCATTTTATAATAAGAGAAAACGAAATGTGTAAAAGAAACTAGAATTATATATGGAGCAAATGGGGTGAATAAGGCCGATCGGTGCTGTTTGTACGCGTTCTTGGCTGTGACGTATTTGGCCGTCTCTTTTGACTGTCAGCGATTGCAGCGTTATTATGCTATCCGCCTTTTGAACAAGAGCTCTGTTGCTGTCTACCTAAGCCTGCTGCTGGAAATTATTAATTTAATCTGCTCCTTTTCCATTTTCCATTTTCCTAAAGTCCTCTTTGTTAACAGCTGTCGACGGTCTAAATCCTTCTTTCCACCATGCGTCGACAAAAACTGAAATTGCTTTTTTTCTAATCAATTTGAAAATCCGTCTTTTGCTGTTGGCTCCAAAACCGCGTCTTTAGAAGCCGAGGCTTGCAAATATACTATAGCTGGACAGCTGTCAATATTCCAAACCAAACAATCTTAAAAAAATTCAGACGCCCCAAAAGTTTCGAAACAAGTTATCTCTTTTATCAAGACATCCTTGTCGACATCTTGTTCAAAAATCATCACTTTGTTTCTTCTATCTCAGCGTCCGCCACATTCTGAATTGGATCTACGAAAGGAAACTGATGTGTGACGTGTTTCTTCTCCCTTTGCCATGCCGTTGGTGTTTCTACAAAAAACCTGATGTATACTGATTATGAAGAATGTTTCTATACAATTCACTCAACTTCTTCTCTAAAACACCCTGCTTTACTTATCATTCCACAAACAGCGTCTTCACCGAAGTTAGCCATTTTCTGTTAAAATATGCTTTTCTTACAGAACATTTGCTTCTTCATTGACTTTCTGTCAAGATCATTACACCAAAAACGTTAAATAGCTCGAAGAAATAGTGCATCCTAGTCTAATTACATCTTTGATTTCGCCAAAGTGAACTCATCAGGTCGCTCAAATCTGACCGCCTTTCTAACGATACTTTTTAATAATGGGAAAGGAAACTCTGTTGTTAACACACAAAACCCTTCAAGAAACCTATAAACGGAACTTAAATTTTCTCCAAAGTTGCATTCACCTTCCGCTTACTCTATTTAGTTAAAAATTACATCACTTCTACTTCTAAAATCTCTTTTGTTCCTCTTCGACCGACCATGGATGTGCTTAGTTGGTACTGAAGTTAGCTGCCGTTTTAATCAGCTAAACAGACTCAAAAGCACTAACATTGTACGTAACACAATGAAACCTGTCGACAAGAATCAAATAGAGTCTCGCCGCTCACACAGCTTTCGTTGATTAGTTTCTATTTTCTGTGTCAATTGATTAGTTTCTATTCCCTATGCATGTTCTCTGTGTCTATTGTCTAAAGTATTCAGCTTTTGCGTCGTTTGTAATGTTTGGAAAAAGTGGTTGCTGCCCCCCATCTGTATTAGTTTGTTATTGTCACGTTACGTAGTATATGACATCTCACAATAGGTTGTTATTGTTTTTTGTTGTCTCATTCTAACACTGTCGAAGAAAGATGCACTGACTGTACATAGAGTCAGGACAGTGTAAAAGGAATGAAGATCTAGAATCTGTCGAAGAAAGATGCACTGATTGTATGTAAAGAGAGGACAGTGTGAAAGGAAAGAAGATCTAGAATCTGTCGAAGAAAGATGCACTGATTGTATGTAAAGAGAGGACAGTGTCAAAGGAAAGAAGATCTAGAATCTGTCGAAGAAAGATGCACTGATTGTATGTAAAGAGAGGACAGTGTGAAAGTAAAGAAGATCTAGAATCTGTCGAAGAAAGATGCACTGATTGTATGTAAAGAGAGGACAGTGTGAAAGGAAAGAAGATCTAGAATCTGTCGAAGAAAGATGCACTGATTGTATGTAAAAAGAGGACAGTGTCAAAGGAAAGAAGATCTAGAATCTGTCCAAGAAAGATGCACTGATGGTATGCAAAGAAAGGACAGTGTCAAAGGAAAGAAGATCTAGAATCTGTCGAAGAAAGATGCACTGATTGTATGTAAAGAGAGGACAGTGTGAAAAGAAAGAAGATCTAGAATCTGTCGAAGAAAGATGCACTGATTGTATGTAAAGAGAGGACAGTGTGAAAGGAAAGAAGATCTAGAATCTGTCGAAGAAAGATGCACTGATGGTATGCAAAGAAAGGACAGTGTGAAAGGAAAGAAGATCTAGAATCTGTCGAAGAAAGATGCACTGATTGTATGTAAAGTGAGGACAGTGTGAAAAGAAAGAAGATCTAGAATCTGTCAAAGAAAGGTGCACTGATTGCATGTAAAGAGAGGACAGTGTGAAAGGAAAGAAGATCTAGAATCTGTCGAAGAAAGATGCACTGATTGTTTGTAAAGAGAGGACAGTGTCAAAGGAAAGGAGATCTAGAATCTGTCCAAGAACGATGCACTGATTGTATGTAAAGAAAGGACAGTGTCAAAGGAAAGAAGATCTAGAATCTGTCCAAGAAAGATGCACTGATTGTATGTAAAGAGAGGACAGTGTCAAGGAAAGAAGATCTAGAATCTGTCCAAGAAAGATGCACTGATGGTATGCAAAGAAAGGACAGTGTCAAAGGAAAGAAGATCTAGAATCTGTCGAAGAAAGATGCACTGATTGTATGTAAAGAGAGGACAGTGTGAAAAGGAAAGAAGATCTAGAATCTGTCGAAGAAAGATGCACTGATTGTATGTAAAGAGAGGACAGTGTGAAAGGAAAGAAGATCTAGAATCTGTCGAAGAAAGATGCACTGATGGTATGCAAAGAAAGGACAGTGTCAAAGGAAAGAAGATCTAGAATCTGTCGAAGAAAGATGCACTGATTGTATGTAAAGAGAGGACAGTGTGAAAAGAAAGAAGATCTAGAATCTGTCGAAGAAAGATGCACTGATTGTATGTAAAGAGAGGACAGTGTGAAAGGAAAGAAGATCTAGAATCTGTCGAAGAAAGATGCACTGATGGTATGCAAAGAAAGGACAGTGTGAAAGGAAAGAAGATCTAGAATCTGTCGAAGAAAGATGCACTGATTGTATGTAAAGTGAGGACAGTGTGAAAAGAAAGAAGATCTAGAATCTGTCGAAGAAAGATGCACTGACTATACATAGAGTGAGGACAGTGTAAAAGGAATGAAGATCTAGAATCTGTCGAAGAAAGATGCACTGATTGTGTGTAGAGTGAGGACAGTGTCAAAGGAATGAAGATCTAGAATCTGTCCAAGAAAGATGCACTGATTGTATGTAAAGAGAGGACAGTGTCAAAGAAAAGAAGATCTAGAATCTGTCGAAGAAAGATGCACTGATTGTATGTAAAGAGAGGACAGTGTCAAAATAAAGGAGATCTAGAATCTGTCGAAGAAAGATGCACTGATTGTATGTAAAGAGAGGACAGTGTCAAAGGAAAGAAGATCTAGAATCTGTCCAAGAAAGATGCACTGATGGTATGCAAAGAAAGGACAGTGTCAAAGGAAAGAAGATCTAGAATCTGTCGAAGAAAGATGCACTGATTGTATGTAAAGAAAAGACAGTGTCAAAGGAAAGAAGATCTAGATTCTGTCCAAGAAAGATGCACTGATTGTATGTAAAGAGAGGACAGTGTGAAAGGAAAGAAGATCTAGAATCTGTCGAAGAAAGATGCACTGATGGTATGCAAAGAAAGGACAGTGTGAAAGGAAAGAAGATCTAGAATCTGTCGAAGAAAGATGCACTGATTGTATGTAAAGTGAGGACAGTGTGAAAAGAAAGAAGATCTAGAATCTGTCAAAGAAAGGTGCACTGATTGCATGTAAAGAGAGGACAGTGTGAAAGGAAAGAAGATCTAGAATCTGTCGAAGAAAGATGCACTGATTGTATGTAAAGAGAGGACAGTGTCAAAGGAAAGGAGATCTAGAATCTGTCCAAGAACGATGCACTGATTGTATGTAAAGAAAGGACAGTGTCAAAGGAAAGAAGATCTAGAATCTGTCCAAGAAAGATGCACTGATTGTATGTTAAGAGAGGACAGTGTGAAAGGAAAGAACATCTAGAATCTGTCAAAGAAAGGTGCACTGATTGCATGTAAAGAGAGGACAGTGTCAAAGGAAAGAAGATCTAGAATCTGTCGAAGAAAGATGCACTGATTGTTTGTAAAGAGAGGACAGTGTGAAAGGAAAGAAGATCTAGAATCTGTCGAAGAAAGATGCACTGATTGTATGTAAAGATAGGACAGTGTGAAAGGAAAGAAGATCTAGAATCTGTCGAAGAAAGATGCACTGATGGTATGCAAAGAAAGGACAGTGTCAAAGGAAAGAAGATCTAGAATCTGTCGAAGAAAGATGCACTGACTATACATAGAGTGAGGACAGTGTAAAAGGAATGAAGATCT